ATAAGGACCGAAAATGACGTTGAGCGGAGGCATTCTTGGATCCAGCCTCTCCAGGTAGAGTTAAAGCCCATTTTGTCCAAAACCGCATGGAGAAATGATCATTAGACTCTATCATAGGCCTTTTCCATGTCAACCTTTAAATCCATATACCATTTCTTGCCTCGTGTTTTGATTTTTAAATAGTGTATTAGCTCATGCACTAGTAGGACATTCTCCACTATTTGTCAGTCGCGGATGAAAGCATTTTGTCCCTCCGAAATGATCCGTTGCAAGAATCGGGCTAGTCATTCATACATAATTTTTGTTATAATCTTACACACAAACTAACTGGCATAAGCTTATCGACCTGATTTGCTTCATGTCTTTTACATTGTCCACTTTAGGGATCAATGTCAGCCAATTGTTATTACAACTCTAGAGAATCCTGCTCATACTAAAGAAAGAATGAACAACTTCAGTCACAGATTCACCCATCATATCCTAAAAGGACTTGAGGAATTTCCCAATGAACCCATTAGATCCCAAGACCTTCTTCGATCCTATTGAGAAGATTGTTTTACGAATTTCACTAGGAAGGACGTCCGTCGTAAGACTAACATTCATCTCAGCCGTTACTTTATTGGATATCGGTAGATCTGCGACCCTGACTTCTATGTTCAGCACTTGATTCTCTGAAGTGAAGAGTGTTTGATAAAAATCTATGGCAATGTTAGCCTTCCCTCCTTTTCCAGATGCATTATCTTGTTTTCAGTGGATTTTTTAGGGGCTTCTTTTAAGTTTTAACCACTTAATTTTTTTAAAAAGTTGCGAGTAATTTATTTGCTTGCCGATCTAGGGGGTGAACTGTGGATGTTCTTGGATGGGCTTGCCAAAGCTGAGGATGATGTCGCATCCTATGTGAAGGCACATCCTGTTTTCCCGGCGAGAAAACTAGATGAACAGAATTGGATTTTGCACTTTTGACTTCCAAACAAACGATTAACAAACACGGTCCACACCTCTTTGAACAAAGTTCAAACAAGGGTGTTCGATGTTCTTGGTGATCTACGAGGCAAACTAAATTACATTAATTCTACTCCTATGTAGGTTCAGCGAGAGCTCTGAAACTATAACTATGGCTATGACTACATTTGCAGAGGAAAAGGTAAAGATAAAAGGATAAATTTGACAATAGGCTATCTGGTGTGATTTTGGCGAACCCTTTCTCTGTCATCTTCACCTCTTATTTATAGCCACCAGAAGTAACTGCCCCAAGAAACTGCTCTGCTGACGTGGAGTGACGGTTACCCTCTCAACTGCTATGACGGTTACCCTGATGTTGGATGTGGGATCCTCTTCAGTCTTGACTCCCTCCTCTTGAGATCTCACTCCCTGCTCTTGGTATCTCCTCCATAGCATCGCTTGTCTATAGAGAAAAAAAAGCATACCATTGGGGGCATCCCCCATGGGGTCATATGGATCACCCCCTCACACCCTGATCATACCATGGGGGTGCTATGTCGGTGGTCCCCAGACCGGCCACCTCATGGGAGTGCTCATTCGACCCTCATCATCTGCCCACCCCCCCCCCCCCCCCCCCGATACCTCCTGGGGGTGGCAGTATGATGCCCACCCCCCCCCCCCCCCCCCTTACCACGTCCTGGGGGTGGTAAGATGGTGGCCACCCCCTTGATACCTTTTGGGGGTGGCAGTATGATGCCCACCCCCCTTACCACGTCCTGGGGGTGGCTTCACCATGTGGGTGGTGGTATGATGCCCACCCCCTCTGGGTGTCATGTTAGTGGCTCCCATACTTAGCCAAATTTGGAGATACATGGCGCGCGTGGTGGCACGGAGTAATGGGCCCAAAAAACCCAATCTCCATGGTCCACTCAACTGATTTAAACTGATATGATTAAGTTGGCCTTATAAAGTCATTTAATTCCTTGTTTTTAACCGATGTGGTACAAGGTTAATTTTTATGGGTAAACACATCCATTTGGAAAAGACTGCCATTATATCACTGCATCTTGAATTTGTGATTAGGCTTACTACCAAAAGATCTTCCAAGATCATGGTGAAATCTACTAATAATCATCATTAAATTTGTTATTTTCCATATTTTTTGTTGTTTTAAATTGGATTTTGGTCAGATTGAATGGTTTCTTCTATGATTCACTTTTTGAAATTGAATATCCATGATCAGCTTGTTCTTCTAATTTAGCTACAATCCCAAATAAGAAATTTGTATTCCGAAAGACACTTATTTCAAACTCATGCATAAACATCAATTTAGAAATAATGAACCAAAAATTAAACTGGTTTATGCCACGTAACCCGACGTCCCCAATGACCGATGCACCTTCTTTCTTATGCCTCGCTCCGGCCTCGCGCCTCGTTCCTACACACGAAGGCGCCCACCGAGCCCCCTCACTTAGGCTCGTTAGCACTCCGACGCCCAAGTTAGAACAGTCTTTCTAGAGAGAAAAGTGAAGTGTAGTTTTTAGAGAGAAGTTCCAACTTGAGTAAATGAGCTCAACCCTGCCCCCAAATCCGCCCCACGTCATCATCTCATTAAGTGCACCGTACTTTACTCTTGCCATGCGCCCCGACATTCTGACACAGGCTCTAGATCTTGAGGCGCATGGCCATGCATCCTGTTCCCTCCGTACGCTTCCGGCCGTTGCTCCCTTTTGTCGTCATGCGCTTTACGTCATGCCCGGCCCCACTACCTAGGTTATGGTCTCAGGCCCCCTCTGGGCTGGGCTTTTCCCTTGTTAGGCCTGCACCCCAAGCCCACTTCGACTTCCTGGGCCTCCCCTTGCGCCCTTGTATACCCCCAACAAAACCACATAATTATAAATCCATTGGTGATCAAAAGAATTGGTTCACAGTTCTTCTCTCTTTTGCTATCCTTTTGATCTATTTTTTCTTAGTTTCTCCACGTCCACTCAGACCTGTACTAGTTTTTTCATCTGCTTCAAACCTCTTCCTCAATTCCATTATGTTATTAGCATCGTCTTTCTCCTCCACTCATATAGTTTGATGATATGAGGACTACTAAAAAAACCAACTTCCTTTAATTTTATCAGGAGTCATTCTCCTCTCTTCTTGAATTTAATTTACTCCAACGTCTCATTTTAAAACACATCTTATGATTGAAAAGTCTACAAATATATCTCAATCTTATGCCTTAACAAAAACAACAAGGAAATATTATCACAAGTCACAACTCTTCCATCCCAAGACTAATCATATGAACATTTCAAGAGCAAAAACTACCTATGGAACTCTCTTCAAAATTTCTAAAATGCAGCCAGCCAAAACCTAACATATATTGGAGTCGATCATGAGAACCAAATCAACATGCGGTTAGCATGGATACCTATGTTGGTAAGAGTTACAAAGAGTTCTTTTTATTTACTTATAACTGTGAATACCCAAAGTCCGATCAGTATGGATATAATTTTGATATTCTACCTATGTTCTTGCATAAATATAGAAATGAATAAACCTTTTTTTTAATAGGGTAATGAATTTGCACTATTCAACCACCCAATTTGTTGCCATCACTACTTCTTTGTGGCCTAAGGGTAATGAATTTGCACTATTCATCCACTCTATTTGTTGCCAGCACTACTTCTTTGTGGCATCTCCTCGCCCAAAGCCCTATCGCCGACTGCTTTTTCTGTGCCTCACACCAGAAAACAAATACCTCTCTGTTCATCCTCGCCCACCATCCACCCATGACTTTCTTCTCCTTCTTCGTACCGTTCGAAGGTTGAGTACATATTAAATGCTATGTTGGATTTTGAACTTTAATTTTCAAAAAAGAATTTGAATAATTGAATTAAGAGACTTTGGATCACGAATCTAAATGTCGGTCGCTGGTTTTACTAAACACCTTTTTATGTGGTAAAAATAGGTGATATTGGATGACAACCGCACTCCACAATCAACCTTTGGGAAGAATGAATACTACATCCTATTTAGTAGGGTTCAAGAAGGCGCGCCTAGGCTCAATTAGGCGCTAGGCGGTGGAGGATCGCCTTGACTTGGCCATAAGCGTTGTAAAAGGCGCTGGTAGCGCTTAGTAGGTAGGAATATCGCTTAGTTTGCGCCTAGTGGAGAGAAGGCGTGCCTGGGCGAGCTTAGGCGGTTAAACCCAATACTCTTCGTTTTGTCCTAGAAAATCAGAAACTTGCCTCTTGCCCTAGAAAATCAGAAACACGGGAAGTAACATCTGCTGCCACCCTAGCTCTCGCCCCATTTGCTGCTCTCTGCCGCCGCAGGAGAAAGTCATCGATCACTCTTCTCGCCTTCACACCGCTCCGCTGCTATAGTGGGAAATAAAGTCGAAACTCGTCAATTGCTGCTCCTTCCATCTCTTCGGTACGTAGCACAAGCTTCTTGCCTCTATAAGCACCTATTAGCAGATGATTGGTCACTATTTGTTTGTTATTTGTTATGTTAAGTGTTTACTGTTAAGAACTAGGCATTGCTAATTTTATATGCACTTGGATTATATGAATTATTCTAGAAAACAGGAAATATTTGAGAATTTTTTCATTTATGCTCTGAACGCCTAGGCGCCTAGGCTACGTCTAATCGGGCAAGGTGCAAGTCAGGAGCCGAGCGCCTGCCTTACGCCTAGCGCCTTTTAGAACCTTGCTATTTACTAGTAGTTGTAGTAAAATGGTGACCCATCCCGACGGTTCTTTTGTCCTTATTAAAGTGTGTAATGATCGGCTAATGTTTATGGTAGGAATTTTGTTTATAATGGACCTGGCCAGGAGTGGACCCAAGTAGTGGGCCGCCCAAAAATTTGTTGGCATAAAATTGGAATTCGGGACTTACGACTAAGAGTGGGCATCTGGTTCGGTCTGGATCGGACCAAATCTAAGAGAATCACGATTTAATAGTGAAACATATTTTAGGATCAAGAATCGGACAAATAGTGCATTTGGTTCTTTTTGGTCCACTTTGATCCGGTCCAAATGTCAATTCAGATAATTTTTCTTCAGTATTTACAAAATTCATTGGACCAAGGACCAGATCATATTATATTCAATTCGGTGTGGTCCGGTATAGACCAACCCATTTCCCACCCCCTACTTACGACAATGTTTCGATAATTGTATACTTTTAGCATCCAACAAACTGAATTCGGGACTTGCGATAATGTTTCGATAAATATATACTTTTAGCATCCAACAAACCACCCAAACAAATATTATTCTAATTTTAAAGTGCATCCATGATGAACAACTCTTAAAAAGAAGAGCGATTACAATTTACATCACAACGATACACATTAAAATCACCAAAAAAGTAGACAAATCCATAGTCAATCAAAATCCACCGTTCACCTACTTCATATTAATTCTTAATAGAAAATACACGTCATATCAAATGCACATGAAGAGCCACCAACCGGCCAACTGGCCGGTCACAGTACTAGTTAATATGATATGTTTCGATCGAACACTTTATTGACATGATCAATTCATCACAATAATTAGTTAAGTGCTCGGAAAATGTCAAAAGATAAAATTTTATGTCATATACTTATAAGTTATAAGACATCTTAAGATAGAGGCACTGAATATAAATTAGAATAAGTTCGCAAAACCAACATTCAGTGTGGACCGTTAGTTCTCTTTACTTGCAACCATGTGGACTCTTAGTTGGAAATCGAAGCAAGTTGTTCGACATCATTTTCACCATAGAAGATTTTGAGGAAAAAATAAATAAATAATGGGAAAAGGGAGGAAGCCAAAAATCCGGCGGCCGGAATCCCTTGAATTTGGACGCGCTCAAAAGCAAATGCATGCTTTACTAGGAGAAATAGAAGTAAAAAAAGAGAGAGAGATGATTCAAGGCCCACTAAGTAAAATATTTAATTATAACACCAAACGGATTTATTAAATCAGAAAATTCATTCTTAGTACAAATCCAAAGCATTAAAGTCGACAGCATCTATTAACCCATAAGTTAAAGTACAATACTATTGAAAATTTGAAATCATTCATCTCTCAATTCAACATATCTACTAAATAATAAATAACCAAAATAAATTAGTTTTCAAGTGAAAAAGTGAAAGAGTGAATGTCGAACTAAGGGAAAGAAATTAACGTTCAGTTTTGATGACCACTCAAGTACATTTTAGATCTTTATTTTTCTTAAATTACCCTTCCTATGATTGATAAGTTGCCATATGATCCTTTATGCATGAAGAAACACTCTTAGTTGAATGTTATGGATATTGTATGGAGTGAGGCAGTGAGCAAGCCTAAAACCAACCCTGCCCCATTTCCATCAAAAAATTGTGCGTGGTTACTCATACTAGCCACATATCCAATAAATCTAGAGATATTCATGTTGACTAGATTTGTGGTGATTGGGTGCCGACAGTCGCAGATTTGATTGTCATCTCTAGTTATCAATCTCATAAAGTGTTGAGTGACCAAGTGATAATGTATATGAAATGAGAAAATTATAAATTTTATGAACTTAAATTTGAGGTCAGCAAATATCTTTAAAAAAAGTATGTGTGTGAATATTAATCAAACTATGTTTTTATTCCACTAATTACGCTAGCTGACTCCTAGTTACCCATCAAACCAACAAGCACAATCATAGTAAAACCCAGGAGCCATGCATAATAGTTAAGTAGGGTTCAATATTCATATACAAGTTTACCAAAAGCCTCCCATTTATTAATAAATACAAGAGAAGCACTTGTACATATTATAGTACTGCTGCGACCGAGTAACCCGCCGCAATCGTGGAAGTCTAATGAGATGAATGCTGCCTGCGACGACGAACGTGGGTGATCAGGTGGCTCAGATTGGCAGCAGCGAGCTCAAATTCAGCAATAACATTACTGTAGTCTGGACCAACGGAGGTTCCGTTGAGGAAACGGGAAAACCAGTGGGCAGAGAGCTTGGGATATCGGGTCAAGTTCGGGTCGTCCAGATCCACGTAATACAATCCGTATCCGGTCTGGAATCCGCCCAGTAGCTCCAGCACATCCATTAGCGACCATACAAAGTATCCTCTCACATTGCATCCATTCCTTTCCAATCAAATTTTGTTGCAGATCAAATGAAACACGATTTAACTAAAATTGGCAGAGAGAAACAGAGCTGGAAGGCAAGCTAGCTACAAAGTTACCTAATGGCATCCAATACAGCGCCAATGTAACGATGGAGATACTCCACTCTGCCCGTGTCTTTCAGGCTTCCATTGCGTCTCTCGACTTGCCCTGCATCGAATCAGTTAGTGAATCCTGTGCGAGGCCAAAAGAGATATGATGGAGATTGCTTATGTTACCATTTTCATGGACGTAAAGAGGAGGATTGTCATACAGCGTCTTGAAGTCCTCCAGAACTTCTCGCAAAGCCCCCGGCTTTACTGGGAACTAACACAGGACATTAATCGAACCTCAATCAAACTAGAGCGGTCGAGTCGATTACAAAAGGTAATAAAAACATTGACAAGAAGAAGTTTTAAGTACGTAATGGAAGGGCTCACCCCGTGCGTATAACTGTCCAAGCTCACTGCCAAAGTAACAAAGATAGAAACCAATAAGAATCTACAGGGGGAGGGCGAGATCGATCGAGCTGAGTAACGGAGTAAATGAGTGAGGAATACTAATCATAATTAATACCCATCATCTGAGCGCCAACATCAGCATAGAAGTCCCGGAGCTCCGAATTGAGGCTTTCGCGGTTGTCTTTCATAGGTATCTCCATGTAATGTATGACGCCAAGGAAGTCGAACGCTCCCTTCACCAGTTTCGATTCTTCGATCGTGAAACGTGGCAGCCTCGACCCAACATTCCTCTTCATCACCTCCGGGTAGTCCCCAAACACCAACGGATTTGCAGCCCTGAATGCACGGCGCCAATTCGATCAACATGTCTGTGCCAAATACAACACTTGATTAGTTAAAAAGGAACAGAGGACTGCTTCACTCACCAGCCAATGAAGAAGTCTTTGGCCCTCTTGGCTGCGGCTACATCTTCTGCAGAGTTGGTGTAAGGAACTACGCCGAGTGCGAAAAGGGTCAGTCCAATTAGCCCTCCTTGCTTCCTCTGATATTTTTCCCTGTACAATTTTACTGTGGATCCATGGGCGAGGAGGATATGGTGGAGGACCAAGTAAGGCTCCGTCGTGGAATTCCCTTGAGCACATGTCGTGACGCCGAACGGCGGCGAGCAGCGATGGGGAGGCCCGAGCCCTTGACCGTAGCTGCCGGAGGCCAAGATGTTCGGCTCGTTCACTGTTGTCCAGTGACCAACTCGGTCACCAAACTCCCTGAAGCACACCTCCGCATAATCTCTGAAATCTCCCCTGCAACAAAAATTTCACTTCCACACTCAAAATCCATATCTAGCTCTCTGCATCAGCTTAAATCAGTTAGCTAGGATGTACGTAGTTCATACACCATTCTTCGACTAAGCCATCCTCCGTACTCATCCTCGAGAACCTGGGGATGATCGTAGTTGTACAACGACACCTGCGGCTGGATTCCTGAAATTAACCAACCCTGTTCATGAATGCTGCTAAGACATAAAAATCATGATTAGCTCCTACTAAAATTAATTGAACAATGATTGCCCACCGTGGCTAATGAGTTCATTGATGAGGTTGTTGTAGTACTGGACGCCTTTGGGATTGACAGCTCCTCTCCCGCCTCCCTTGGACAGAATGAAAGAAGCAGAGGAGGAAACAGAGGATAAGGATGCAGAGCATTAGTTTGAAGAACAGCAACGTTAATTAAGCAGTTATCTATTACCAGGGATGAGCCTGGACCAGGAGATGGAAAATCGGTAGGAATCCAGCCCGATTCCAGCCATTAGTAGTACGTCATCCTTGTATTTATGGTACTGGTCGACGGCGACGTCCCCTGTAGCTCCACCGGCGTAACCCTCTTGGACGAAGGTGTCCCACACGCTGGGGCTCCGGCCGTCCTGGTCTGCAGCTCCTTCCACCTGATACGCCGACGTTCCTGCGCCGAAGATGAACCCTTCTGGGAAATCACCTCTGCTGTACTCCTCCTCGGCTCCCAAAGAAACACCTGCCGCTGCCGCGCTGCTCAGAAGAAACACCATGAGGCAGAGTACCCAAACCCACCCACCACTCGCCATTTTTCTTTGAAGTTTCACTAGGTGATGTTCTGGCTGGCTGTTACTAATTAAGGTAGTGGGCAGGGCAGGCGATCTCTGGGTTAGTTCCCATCCACCATTTATGTGGCCAGGCTTTGCCCTGGATATATCATTTTATGAGTCGCTGTTGCTGATAAACTAAAACCCTTGCTCTGTTTTCATAATCGCCCCTGTGGGTCTTCTTCTTCTCCCTCTTCTTAGCTCTTGTCGTTTTCATTGGTTTGGGCAGGATGGAGATGGTGCATTTCATAATGACAGGTTGCCAATTACGTTTTGGATTCTGGGAGCCCATTCCCGGACACTACAGGGATGTCCATTTCATGCTCACAGTTTGAATTGTTCTCCATTTAGAATTAGAAAAAGGTAAAATCATAAATGGTAGAATCAAAGTGTAAAAGAGTAAAATTTGTTATACATAGTGTAAGATAACTGTAAATCTGTTAAGTAAGACATGTACCATGTAAAATATGAGTGTACATTATTTAGATAAGTCAATAACTACCTGCAATTCATGTTTAAAGTAGAGCAACTCGTAGCATCTTAGCAATATATCATCTTCCTCTCTATGCTAATGAATTTGGGAAGGGCCCAACTGCTGAATTAGATTACTCTATTGAAACCGAGAATGCATCCAAGTGCCTATATAGTATAGTATATATATATTTTAATCTCAAATGTATCATATTGTTGGTGATTTACCTTTAAATATACCTTTTTAATAATTCATTTAATGAAAATAATACCCATTTAGTGAACTAAAAGCGTAACATCGTAAAATGTATTGTTGAACTAGAAGCGTAAAAGCGTAAGAATTTAAACTTATAAGCTCAATTTAGTCTGATTTTATGCACCAAAAATTTTATATGAAAACGAAAGCATTTTGATGACCTAGTAGCGTAAAACAATAAACTTTTAAATTTTAAAATGCGATTTTGACTGCATTCGTGCTCATTATATTAACAAGTTTTCCATTGTTTCATAGTCAGTGTTTAAGAAATTTAGCCCTAACCATATAATCAAGGGACAAGGGACCAATTAATCTATAGACATAATCAAAAGATTTAAGCCACCCATAATCAAAAGAACTCAAGCGATTTAACATGGTGTCTCTACGGATAAAGATCTAATGCACGGGAGTGATAGAAGCTCATAGTCAATTGTATTAGCTTAGTTGCACCGTACAAAATGCATCAATGAGTATAAAATAGCTTAATTGACTGTACATAATGCAATGGGTATTCCCTAGTATTGGTCTTCTTGCCAAGCGAAAAGATTGAGGGATTGACATGTCACTTCGGTTTTTGATTGTCATATTAACAAAGTAACATTGAAGTGACAATCATAGGCCAATATGCCAAACAAACAAGGGGTCGAAAACTTACCCAAGAGTGCTTGAAGAATATGTATTTATGGTTGGTGGGTCTTTATCTACGGAACCGAATTAGTAAAATCGTTACCAAAATATTCTTCGCACTTCCTCTTCATTTCATTTTTCAATTTCCCTCTATCTCACTTTTATCATTTCCACTTTTGCATTCTTTGTCCTACCCTAATTAGTATAATATTTATAACTATTATAATTTATAGGTATAGATGGTTCCATAAATGACTTACCAACAGGTCTATGCTAATTAATAATTGAATAATGAATCATTAACTTTTTCATCGAAACATCAAATTCAATTACAAAACAATAATTTTGTTCTACTTACTTATTAGTACATTTTGTTTTTCTCGATGAAATTTTAAGGCATGAAATTTTAAGCTGAGTAGTGAGTTCCACTTTCTATTCTCATTGCTTCTCTCTTTAGGGGGTCGTTTGGAAGTTGTGATTGTTATAGTTGTGTTTGTTGAATACATGTATTATGCACAATACAATGTTTGGAAGTGCCAAAGTGTTAAATAATGCATGCATTGTTTTAGGTAGGTCCCACCAACAATCACAAAAAATGATGCACTATACAATCTCAACTAAAAGTTGAGATTGTTGTGATTGTTGGTTTTAGATTTGTGTCAACCTTTTCTTTCCCTTTATATCCCCAATAGTTTTTGTCTTATTCTAAAAGTTGAGGGTAAATATGACATTTCCCCATAAAAGTAACTTTATGTAAATCAATGCATAAAATAGAATCTCAACAACCAAACAATGTATTGTTAAAATGCATCCATTGTATCAATACATACATTTATATCATGGTGATTCATTACAATGCAACGATTTAACATTCGCAACTTCCAAACGACCCCTAGAGCTTTTCTTTTTCATGCGGACTAGAATTGTTGCTAGTTACACATAGAATGTGTGACTATATTTATATATATAGTAAAGATTCATCAATAAAAAATACTTTTTTCTACCAAAAATATCAAAGACAATTTTAGAAAAAGTTACCATCATAAATAGATCAGCTCAAAGGAATCAAATTTCAACAAGCAACCAAAACAAAGCAATAATTGACTAGCTAGCTTGCGGTAAAGCACAATCTCATACAAGCCCACATCCACAGACCACAATACATAAACCAGCGGCCCATATAAACGTTGGGCTCTTAACACTTTCCTCGTCCAACAAGCTCTCCAAAGTGGGCCAAGCCTCTACTACTCGCAAATGCTCCGTTCATTTGTCATTACATTTTCTATAATTGCACTAGCACAAAATAAAATTATAGTACAATTAAATTATTGCTTTCTGGAAAATAAAATTGAATAACACTTGTTTAATTGAGAATTTTTGGTGAATCTGAAACTGGTTTCTAAAAATTAAAACCTGTTTTATTAACTTCACATTATTATCTAATACTTTATTACCATAATTTTTTTTCATTGAGTATCATACCACTCTAATCATAATTTGAATATTTAATATGAGTTAGATGGTAATAGACATAATACTAATAATAAATCTTCAAGCAAATAATCCACTCCCTGTACAAATGAAAAACAAGCATAAGGGGAACTTAGCATTTAGCAAGTTTTTCAGTTCCCATTGTATTTGATTTTATTTAATTTTATTTGGTCCGGTCCAAATATCACTTTGTTCTATTTTTCTTTATGTCTATAAAATTATATAAAGTTCGATATATTCGATCCAACGATAACGTACATAGTGTATAGGTGCCAATAGTAGAACAAAGTCATGCAAAATGAAACTTACGTATTGGGAAATTTCGGTTGCCTCACAAAACTAACAACTACTGGAATGGATTCCGCAAGAGTAGTTTTCTATAAATTGGATGATTCAGTGTAGATTACACTGTTGGTCGGTTTTCCGAAGGATTGCGTTCTGAAATGACTAATCCCAAACTGCGGCGAAAACGTGATCAGTGACGAAATACCAACCCATCCCGCAGAAAAGAAATATATATAACGAAAGGGACAAAATACCAACGCTGTTGTAGATGGTTTGTGGACACACCTCTTTGGTAGAATATATTTTGTTCTAAATTCTAACCGCTGTTGGATTTTAAAGATTAAAAAAAAATCACAGTCTAAAACCACAGAACATGTGATGGATTCCACCCTGTACAAGATTTTTGGGACAACCAAAAAGGGTGGATCTGGGGCTTATTAGGAAGGGTGTCTCGGGACACCTCTAGAATTTGGAACAAAAAATAACGAATTCCGGCACTAATATGAGTTTGGGGCAAGGGTGGATCCATGGTCCTTTGGGGTGTTTTAGGACAACCCTAAACTTAGAGATCTTCAAGTTGTAGTTAGAATTTGGAGGGGAAAAAAAGTGATAGTCTTTGTGATTCAAATCCATATTACTATAATTATTAGAAAAAATATTATCCATTACACACTACAAATAGTTATTCTCATGTTAAAACATAAATGTAATTATAATTCAAACCCATAACGCTATAATTATTAGAGAAATTTCTATCTACAACACTATAATCTATCATATTCAACGCGTCTTTTTTGCTTCTTAAACTTATATTGATTTTAGTGTTGTTGCAGCTGCAAGTGTTGAAAGAATATTTTCAAGCTTTGAGCTACATCAAGAACAAGTTTCGAAAGTGAATAGATGATTGGTTTCTAATCTATTGGTTTCTTAATGATTTATTGTAAGATATTGAAAGAGATTTGTTGAGCATTAAAGACACTGAGTATGTTAGAACAAGTTTCGAAATTGAATACACGGTTAGTTTCTTAATGATTTCTAGTGAGATATATTGAAAGATATTTGTTGCGCATTGAAGATACTAAGCGTATTTTACAAAATTTTCGGAAATATAAAAATACGTTGTGGTGTTTTTGTTGTAATTTGTACTAATTGGATATTTTGAATCAAATTTTGTAATATATTAATTTAATTTTAGAATTGAAAAGCCCTAAATAAAATTTATGGGTCCTCCTCTGCTACGAAGTAACGTATTCAATTAATTTGAATGTTAATTTATTGTCTATTACTCAATGTTACTTCGTTGTGAGCTTGAATGTAAACAATTTGATCAACATCATTTATGAAAGTGAATAATGCTACATCTAGCACAATGGTAAGTAAGAAATATTTAGGGGGCTACAATTGGTTTTTTCTCCTTTTACAGAGTAATTAGTTGTAATTGGTTCGTAGTCTTATCATGCCAATCTCCTAAGAAATGCATGTGCTTAATCAAAAGACTCACCTAATATTCATGCACAAATATGGTTAAATTCCAAAGCTCGTGCACAAGCTTTAATTAAAATTCAAATACGAAGAAGTTAGGTACCAGCTTTCGTATATAATTAATGCACAGAAGCAAGTTCAAACATTAATACAGAAAAACATAATCGACCAAATGTAGATTAAATATCACATGACTAAAATTAATTTACATGATTAAGTGAAAAGAGGTGGATTCAATAATCATTACAAAATGATCATAAACGATTAAATATCAACACAGAATGCTCACTAACTGATGTTTAACTGATAAATTTCAGAAATTTTAGAAATCAAATAATTGTGTATTAGTGGGTTCATCATAATAAGTTCGTTTTATGATTAAAGAATATGAAAGGGATCTAGTATAGATGATCAAATGGTAACCAATTCACATTCACATTTTAGTCATTCTGTGGAAGAAAGGAATATGTTAGCTATTCATTACTTTTGGCGAACGCGTCGAGAATCTACTTTCACAAAGGGATTTGCTTTACATATTTGTTGTGCCCGGTTAATATTAGACGGCACTAGATGAAGCAGAGAATTATATTATACCTATAAGTCAAATTGCCGGTCAACTTATGGGTTGATGCGGATTGACGTGAGAAAATGGACGTCACATACTCGTGGGTTGAAACGTAACATAGATTTTTGGTTTGCGAATTGCGCATTTGTTTTAGTTTTTTCTTTCGCCTATTCATATATGTGAAATTCTAAGTTCAACATTTGAATATAAATGTTATATGAATGTTTTTGAATTTTCACTATATGTTGGATTCAAGTACGATTGCATGTAATTTTCCCCCCCAATATATCCACGCTAAACAAGACTAAAACGATCGGACCATTAATACTCAACTCACTTACTCAACCGGGCCAACGAATTAAACCTGATTGACAACCTAAAATATATATATATTTTAGGTTGTCAAGTATGATTGCATGTAATTTTTTTCCCCAATATATCCACGCTAAACAAGACTAAAACGATCGGACCATTAATACTCAACTCACTTGCTCAACCGGGCCAACGAATTAAACCTGATTGAAAACCTAAAATATATATATGTGGAGAGTTCTACGATACCCATAGTGAAATACGGTTGCATGTAATTTTGTAACCGTCTTTCTCAAACTTTCCCTTCACATCATTTCTTCCTTTTCCCATTTCCATCTATATATACCACCTCAGCTGGGGCGTGTGCTCTCCACACTCTCTTCCTCCCATTCTTTCTTTGCGTTACACCACCATCTTCCTTTTTCCTTTCACCTCTCCCTGCTTATCCTTCCCGCCATGGCCCTTCCGACCAGCACCTCCACCATCGTCCAAGACCCCGCTCCGGCCCAAGCCCACAATCCAAGCCCACCAAAGCCCGCCGCCGACGACCTCGAAGCAGCTCACGCCGCAGAAGAAGAAGAAGTCGTAGTCGTCGTCCCCTTCGACTACTCCAAGCGGGCCCAGTGGCTCCGGGCCGCGGTTCTCGGGGCCAACGACGGCCTCCTCTCCACGTCATCCCTCATGACGGGGATCGGGGCCGTCCACAGGGACTCCCGGACCATGCTCGTCGCCGGCCTGGCCGGCCTGGTCGCCGGCGCGTGCAGCATGGCCACGGGCGAGTTCGTCTCGGTCTGCTCCCAGCGCGACATCCAGCTGGCGCAGCTCGACAGGGAGCTCCGGTCCTCGGTCCTGTCACGGGCCGGGTACGAGGAGAGGAGGAGGAGGGAGGTTCCGAGCCCGGCCCAGGCCGCCCTGGCGTCGGCCCTGGCGTTCGCCGTGGGGGCCCTGGTGCCGCTGCTGGCGGCGGCGTTTGTGGAGCCGTACGGGTTGAGGATCGGGCTGGTGGTCGGGTCGGCCAGCTTGGCGCTGTTCGGGTTCGGGTGGCTGGGCGCGGTTCTGGGCGGTGCGGCCGTGGTCAGGTCGTCGGTCAGGGTTTTGGTTGGTGGGTGGTTCGCTATGGCGGTTACTTACGGGGTTATCAAGGGTGTTGGCACCACTGCTGGGATTTAGTGAATTAAAGCTGTTAATGGTCATCATGTGACGTGTAACTACAAAAGTAACATTTGTGTACACGTTATGTCGAATTACTGTATGAGAACAAATGTTATAGTTCAGCTGGTTGGTTAATTTAGCTCCTGCGTGTTGAAGCAGCTGGGTTTTTGTTTTCTTTTGTAAAGCAAGCTGTGTGTGCGATGTGCTTTCATTTCTTACGTAATACCCTCTACTTTTTGGATTGTGGAAGCTGGGTCTTCGGGTGCATGGTATGATCTTCATGGTGACTCTCAATTCCCCCCCCCCCCCCCCCCCCCCCCCTTCTTCAAAGATAAAAACTATAGTTATGGTTTGATGATAATCAAGGGTATTTGTTAAAATATGTTAGAGAGTGGTATAAGATCCAGCAGAACTTTCTCCCAACAACTCGAGTTATTGGGAACAACTGGTTCTTGACATGGTATCAGAGCTGGTTTGGCCAAGTGATCGTGTGTTCGAATCTCCACGACCCCCAATATTAACAGTTGATTAAAGCACAAGGTATGGTGAGCCTGTGCAAACTTCAAGCCCATGAGTTGGCTTTCGTTTGAGGGAGCGTGTTAGAGAGTGGTATAAGATCCAGCAGAACCTTCTCCCAACAACTCGAGTTATTGGGAGCAACTGGTTCTTGACAAAATATGGGTAGCATTATGTATTTGAACCGTTGTCATGTAATTAGGGTTTACAATCTTGATAGAAACCTGTTTCTAGGGTTCTGACGATTGGATTGAAGAGATTGAGAATTGATAGGGATTTAGATAGAATTGAGGATTAGAATAGGGATTTGGGGAAGAACGTGAGAGGAAGAGGAAGAAAGAATGACCGGCGGCCGATTAGGAAGAGAGGAGGGGTTCAGGGATTTGGGGAGATAATCTTTCTTATTATTTTCTGCTTAATCGAACAAAAGACTTCACGTACAATTTTATAGCGAAAGACGGGAAAAACCTAATAGACTATCCTAATATGACTCAAAGACTACTAACCATATCTAAATATTATTTTAATAATAACTGTAATAATGATAATACCATAATAGAAACCGTAGGTTTCTATCAAATCTCTCGCCGATATATATTCGATCTTCTCTTCTAACCATGTATGCCATCAACCCAAACAAGATTGAATCGGAGAACTCTACCTCTTTATTGATTATAAGGTGGTACACAAAGATATCTCCAACACTTGATAAAATTATCTTCACCTACTTTCGTTATTAGATCTATAAACTTTCATCAAGTACTAAGAGAAGCTTACTCACTTGATTAGTTGATGGTAACAGATTGTCCTTAAATGTCCAATTACAGAAGTTAAGGAAGCGAGTTAATTGGATGTAATTGTAGGCAAGAGTGAAGAGTGAGGATTAAACGATAGTGTTTTAATCCATGCTGAGAAGCTAGTTGGATTATAGAAAGAAGCAAACACAAGTTACACAACCATCAACACCACCTTATCCTCTGTCGATAATCATCGGCGAGATAGTGTCTTTTTCTTTTAGGGAAAATGAGTAAGAGCATGCATCAGTAATTGATTAGTTGCAGGCGGAGAGAAGTTGCTTGGATTATCACTTAGGGCCTGTTCACTTCTATTTTCGTTTTCTGTTTTCATGTGATAAATTTGACAACCGAAATGAGAAAACTTGTTTATTTTTCATTCTGTTTTCTATTCGTTTCCAACTATGAAAACAGAAAGTGGCAACTTCCTGCTGTTTTCAGAAACAACAAAATGTTGTTTTCACCTGTTTTCAACATCTGTTTTCTAAAAAACAGGAAACAGAAATAGAAAACAGGAAACAGAAATGAAAGTAAACAGGCGCTAAAATAAGTAGGAAAACGGAATTCTCTGTCCAATAAACTTTGATGCATAATAATAGTGACACAACCCCACAAACACTTAACATAATTGATTCACTAATGTAACGTTTGCAGGGACAGCGAAATCCCCATTCCTGTTGAATCAATCAAGACTCAAATCTATGCCATGACCTTTTTTTAGCTCCAAGGCTGTTCATATTTTTTCACGCTCTTTCTTGGAGCTTTTGTTGCTTGTACCACTGGCCATAGTCTTGAGCCACATTCTCCAGGAGCTCTTTCGTTAGATTATCCACCACAGCTTGCACTATCCTGCATTTCCCACAGCAGTTCCCGTTCGTTGCGTAAAACAGGTTCGAAAAGTTGCAAATTCAGTATCCCAAAAGAAGAATTTGGGAAATCCCGTTTGGATCCGTTGGATGGAGTAGGCCTAAGCATCATGCAACATGTCCTCAACCAACCGATCTTTTATTTGATGGGATTGGTCGTGGTGCAAGCAGAACACGAGCAGAAATGAGGTGATTGTGGTGCGCTCGCATTCCACGGGCACCACAACACTCCGATCATGCCTCTGGGAGCTGAGGAAGCATGAGCACGTATTTGCGCCTACCCCATTCAACAGCCAAGACGAATTGCCAGAAGCGGAAATGAAAGCTAATGAAGTTGGAAGTGTAGCATGACGAGATTGAATGACTCACATATTCCCAGGAATTTCAACGGCAGCAGGAGGCAGCAAAGAGAAGGGAAGTTTCACGAGCTGGAGACATGGAAGGGCAGTAGGTAATCAAGAACATTGACTAAGAACCATGAAGAAATATCATGAAGGGCCAAATCTATCAGCAGATAGCTCTCACTGACCTCCATTATCATATCTAATTCCATCTTAAGCTCGAGATATGACTCCGAACCCTTGGTATGCCACATGATACGGCTCCACAATAAACCTGCAAGTTGGAAAGCAAATGGAATCCGAATGGTTTCAGTTTGTGAATTGAAAGATGGGAAAAGCTTCACAACGGGAAATGCATCGAGGCTTCTAAACAGCAATAGCAACCTTGAAATGATAGGATTGACAAAAAGAGCTACACTACTAAAACAAATAAGTACCTATAAGATGGTCATTTTCGCTTTCCAGGGCCTCCGCACCTCGGAACTGCTAATTGCTTCCGTTAGTCAGGTTTTCATCTGATCTTTCAGACACTTTACAAGATCTATCAATCAACGGAAACCTTACCTTGAAAGAAAGCATCTCCACGGTGAAGTTCTCGGCAGTCGTGGTTGTCCGCAAATCCATAACAGGGAATGCATCGAAGCTGAGAAGTCGAATCTGCGGGAGGACCAATCTGTACGTGCAATCGTCAAGCACGTGAAAGCTCTTGGCAACCTTGACGTTCAAAGCCGACTCGACGCCTTCAGGATGACTTAAAAACTCGCTAAAATGATAGCCGTGTTCAGAAGGTGGAAGCTTCAGTCCGTGCTTTCTTACGGCAGTCAAATGTGCTTTCTTTATCCTCGACTCAAGTGCAGTTCGTTTACGTACCATTGTGGTCTCCGTTCTTCCTCTGAAAACAAACGCAAAACAACTTCTCTTACTAGAACTACTAAATCTCAGGACCTCTATTATTAGTCAATCTCGGGAATAGGTACGACGAGAGTTGCATTGGGGAAAAGCATACAAACCCAGATGTGGAGTGGCGTGGCAGAGTGAAATTTGCAATGCTCCTTGAAAACCCAGCTTGTGCACTCGCCATCATTCCGCAAAGCTGGTTGGATCCGCCTTCACTGGGAAAACAAGACAATGAATTTTGATACTGGGAATCAACTTTTAAGATCCCACCAAACGGCCACACTCGTCCTTCAACAGTTGAAATCACAATCCAGTACACCACAAATCCGGTAACAGCAGGCTTACCTGAAGAAGGCAGGGGAAAAGGTGAAGCGCCATAAGAACGTGTCCCGGAAGACATCCACCAATTCCGAGAGCATTGAAGAGCCTTCTTTTTATGAACACGAACTAAGGCCTGTAAAGAAAGCCAGAGTAGCGAAATAACCGTTTTCGAGCAGACATGCCACATGCATGATCCAAAAAAAGCAATGTCCGTAACAGAGCACCACGTCACGCGGTAGATTTGTCAAAGCTGTTCAATCCAGAAGGTTAAGCTGAGCTCAAATATTTTAATCATATAAAATTTCAAGCTTTGAGCTTTCAAAGATTGACGCAAGCACCAGGAACATTGAAACTTGAAATACCACAAAATTAAACAGCAACTACCATCTAACAAACGTACAAAGCAAAGAACATCAGCTACAACGTAGGCCACCAGCCACGGCGGATGCCACGTAGTGGGACACACGGCCATGTACAATCATTCTTCAGAAAGGCCCATTAGCGTCATCGGGATTTCTCAATCACCCGAAGCTTGGCACTCCTGCATCGTCGGTTAAGTCTTTCTTCTTCTTCAGAAGGTGTTATAGGCCTCTTTGTGAGAATTGACCCATTTGGGCCACGTACTATTTGTTTGACCCATGTTTCTTTTGCTTCGCCAGCACAATCATCTTTGGGGACCTCACCAGTTCCGATAATGCTGAGAAACGTTTGTTTGACGATTCTGTCTTCTAAACTATGAAAAGAAATGACAGCAAACCTTCCACCAGGTGCAAGGCAAGCAAAGCAATCCTTGAGGGCTTTCTCCAGTATACTGAGTTCATCATTCACAGCGATTCTCAGTGCCTGAAACACCCGTGTTGCCGTCTTTATCCAGCCTTGCCTCCCTCCTGCCAGCATGTTGAAACCAACTTAAATGGATTCTCACAACTCAAATCTTTCTGAACAATTGTTAAGCCACATTTGTTAACAGAGTTGAAGTGGCATTACCCCTTGCCCCATGAGTCATGCTACGAATGAGATCAATCAGCTCTGTGGTGGAATGTATACCACCCTTTAGACGGGCTAGAACTATCTTATTCTGCAGGAGACGCCAGTTGCTTTCTTCGCCATAATCTCGCAGCACTCGACCTACTTCTGCATCGGGCCAGGAATTTAAGATGTCTGCCGCTCTCAGACTGGCCTGCCATATTGCTTGATATGGTCAGTTTAACAAATATAGATATTAAACTCTACTAGTATGACCACATATAAGCCAAGGATCTTGAATGGCAATAGACATTATCATGAACATTACACCTGGTTATTATGAGATACACAGGCGTCCAGTATAGGAAACAACTTCCTTACTCGGCAATTTGAAAAGAAATGGATAGAAGTGAAACATTTCTTTTGCTGAGAAATGAAAGAAAAACGCACCACTTCGAACAGAGTACAGAAGACCTGACCATAAGCAAAGAAGACCAGTACGCATAGCATTACTGCAAAGGAAAGGAGAGACATAGAAGATACAAGAGCTTCCACAGGTATACAGATATGGGTACCAACAGAAGAGCCAGCACAAGTTGCCACATATGCTAGGAAAATGGTGGGAATTTAGGCCATAATCAAGGGATTCATTAGTGTTGTAAATCATCAACTGCTTCCAAGCACGCTAGACGTTTCCATCTGTTGTCCCGTTGATAACTTGTTCCCTATACCAATTTAAGCTTGCCCATCCTTACAGTTCTCTTCAATACCTCTCCCGTCATATTAATTCAGTTCCCTCGTCTCATCGCAATCCAAGTCTAACCAGATCCCCAACTGGGGGCTTAACACAGTATGCGTAGTAAGTGAATGTGGCTACAACAATGAACTTAAAATCCGTATGATTCAGAGCTTAACAGGGAGAAGCTACATAACAAACAGGACTCCAAGTTAACCAAAGAGAAGAGCCAATGGGCAAGGTCGAACTGAGGTTCAATACCTGAGGATCCATCCGCATATCGAGCGGCCCATCAGCCATAACACTGAACCCTCTTTCGGGATTGTTCACCTGCAAAACAAGAAGCTAAGTCAGCTCGTGGTGCACTTCAAAAGGTAGAGTAACTTGATCGGGGTGGACTTGAGTTGGGAATTGCTTGCCACTACCTGCATCGAAGACATTCCGAGGTCCATCAAGATCGCATCAACCCCGGATTGCAAGAGATTGGCATCAACTTCACCGATCACTGACTTCACATTTCTGAAGTTCTTAAGCAACGTGTGTGTTTTCAGGTGAGAATGAGAATCGGAAAGCAAGAGGGCATCAATGTGAGCCCGAGCCTTGGCGTGAGCTTCAGGATCAACGTCCATACCTATGTATTGCTCCAATTGAGGGTGCGCTTTGATTATCTAATCAATTTCATATTTAACAAACCAAGAAAACGCTTAATCAAAATCAATGTATGCAGAGTGTTTGGCGAAGGGGGAGAGGAAAGGGATAAGGAGAATACGTACGGCGGAGGAATGGCCGGCGGCTCCTAGCGTACAATCAACGAAGGAACGGAGAGGCATAGAAGCGAAGACGTCGACAACTTCACGGAGCATGACGGGGACGTGGTCTTGGTTACTGCTGTGGAATTCGAGTGAGGAGTCGCGCTCTTTATCGGACCGAGTTCTTCTCTTCTCCTTTTCGCTCTTCGCCGCCGCTGCCTCCGCCGCTTTCTTCCGCTCCTTCTCCTTTTTCCTTCGCCTCTTGGCGTCGCCGCTGCTGGTAGTAGTAGTGACAGTCGCAGCGGCTCTCGCAGCTGTTTGGCGAATGGAAGCCGAAGGAGGAGGTGGAACTGTCAGTGCTTTGGTGGTGATTGTAAGGCGGCGAGCGGCGGTTAACGGAGAGGGGATGGAGAGCCACCGGCAGAGCATATGGCCGGTCGCCATGAACGGTTCGTCCAATCAAAACAGCGAGGACCTCACCTCCCTCCCACTTCCCAGCTCGTTTGGATTTGGATGGTGAAATTTACTCGATTGACGGAGCATGCCTTCACTTGGGATTTGGGAGGTAAAGTAACACACAAGAGTAAAGAAGTAGTGATTTTGATTTTTGATTGTTTTTTTTTTAAGTTTGATGTGGCCTATGTGTGTGTTTTCACTTTTTATTATAAGGTATCACTTGAGACATTCGAATTTTCGATTCCCAAATAGTAAGGTGACTAGAGGTTGGCTCGTCGGCCGTCGCTAGTGCTTTGCTTCAATTCAAGCACGTGATGATGTTTTGGCATCGATATGGAGAGGGTAAGGGTATTTTCTTCGGGGCTCGAGAGATAGAATTATTGTTGATGTTTTGCACACTGACCTGGAAAGAGAAAGCAAGAATGTTGAAATGGCCCGAGCACCCCTTAAAATGAGTGCATGTACATCACACCTCTTACGCTAGTTGCCAAAGCTCCGAGTGAACCAGGAATAGGCCATGGACTTGGATCTACCAAATGATAGGAATGCAACGTCCATAAATGAGAAATCATAATCGAACGACTCGGGACCAACATTTGATTGTTAGAATAATATATAATTCTTGTCCCTCTCCCCTTTGGTCGAGCAATTTCGTTACTTCAAATTCAAGATTAGTGATTAGAGTAGTTTGATTTTGGGATAGTTAAATTGATGCATTATGATCAATGCATATAGAATTTTACATATAATTAAAAAATTGATGTATAGTGTTTAGATTGTTTGACTTTTGTGATAGTTATGATAGTATTTAAAAACGCGATTATTTAGATCAATAACTGAAATGAGGGAAATCACAGCGTCAGTCGTGATCTCACATCTTCTAGGTGGGATTTCCCCCTTTCCAAAGATCATGACCACAACACAAAGATCACCATCGTGATCTTTCCCCAACACACATGTATAAGTTGATTTTTCACAAAAGGGGCATTATAGAGAGAGGAAAAAGTATGGTAAAATTATGGAGAGAGAGGCACGAGTTTGGAGGATTTGGGGAGGTTTCTTCATCAATCCAACCCCAATTCATCCAAGATTCAAGTTGGGTGGCCAAATTAACAAGGAGAAGATGGATCTAGCTAAAGATTGTTCTTCTTCCTCCTCTGTGTACACTCTTTATTTTTCTATATGCCATCTTCTTCAGTTGCATAGGAGAGAAATTCTATATTTTAGATTTGAATTGGGTTTGTATGTAGACCTTGATTGTGAACCTATTATCTTCATATATTGATGAGTTATCATGTTATCCTTTTGCTTTGACCAAGTTTTAGGGTTGTGTGTTCTTAATACATGAGAGTGTCCATCTAATTAGGTCGAGGTTACAACATCATTCAATAGATTGAAATTAGAGTTGCATGTCCATTGAGTTGTAGTTTCATTTGTTTAGGAGTAAAACCCATTAAGAGAAGTCTAAGCTTATTGCTCTAGGTTACTAGTTGGTTTCATGCCCATTCAGCCAATTGGTTGACCTAGAAGTTCAATCGAGAGCATGCCCATTGACTTGATAACTAATTCAAGAGATTTCTTGCCATTTAGAAGAAAGGGGAAACATTATTTGGTTTGCATCTCATGTCAACTTATTGCTAGACGGATTGATCCTTTTTTTTTTTTAAGATGATGTTCATTAATACGATTGGGCTAAGCCCACAAAGGAGTGGTACAAGCGAACCAAACAAGCTAAGAGTTGGAAGAACCTCAACACAAAACAGGCCAACAGAAACCCAATAGACGGATTGACCCTAAGTAACACCTCACCTCTAGTGATCCTCTTTGTTATTTGATTGAATATATAATGGTGTGCTCCTCAAAAAAAAAAAAATATATATATATATATATATATACTAGCTTCAACCCCTGCCCTTTGGGCAGGTAGCTTTTTCGTTTATTATGTATATGTATAATCTCTTTATTAAAGTAACAAATTTTCTAAAATCACATAGATAATCTATAAAAAAGTCAAATAGATTCATCAAAAGTTTTAATATCTCTTATTAAATTAGAACACAAAACTCACCTCCTTGAGATACCTAAAAAAGAGAGAAAACATGCATCTCGTTTTTCAGTAAATAGTAGAATGTGCATTCATCTTAATGATGATTCAAAGAAAAATATGGTGGGCATATCATGTTATCTTGCAACTTATACTTTAGTCAATTTATGGAATTGCATACGATGTTTAATCCTACCGTCTAGAGTTAAGAGTTATTTAACAACAGACATCTAGCAATTGAAAATCCAACTGATGCGGTAGATTAGAAATCTCGAAGAAAGTTAGATTGAGTCTTTAAATAAAAATGATGTTATAAAAAAATTGTCAAGTGTTGAGAATGAGCAAGATTATGTGCATGAGAGAAAATTTTGAGGGGATGGAAAGGTTCTTTGACTTTTGTGGATATGCTAAGTTTTGTGGAAAGTTCACTCGGTACTCGGTAACACAAATATTTATTAGAATAATTTAGAAAACATATTATTATTATTTGAATGAGTAAATAATTATAATTATGATTAACTAATTATCATAAAAAATATTAATAAATTATCCTACAATCTCTCTCTCATCTCTCACGGAACCAAAAGAAAGGGAAAAAAAAAAACAAAGAAAAGCACTGTGGAAGCAGAATTCTTAAAAGGAAAGAAGCCTTGTCCAAATAATTGGCAGTTAGCAAACGGAGAAGAGAAACAAAATTAAAAGAAAAGAACAAAAAGATCAAAAGAAACCGTTCGGAAGAGGGAAACATTAAAAGAAAATGAAAATTCAGTAATTACCGAGAAGAGCGGAGAAGCCAGCGAGGCTGACGTGGAGAGGGTTGATTTTCTAAACTGCTTTAATATATTTTAAGATATAATGGTGTGAAGCTCAAAGTAGTAGACCTAAACTACTCTAAAGCCCCGAAGAATATGAGTATGATTTTGATATTCTACCATAGATACATGAAATCCGATTTGATATTGAATATCATAGTATGTTTTTTTATATTCTACCCAATTTTTGTATGAATATGAATATGAGCAAAATCCGACTTATTTTGAAAAGGTTAATGAATATGCGTCTGACGTGACGAGTTGTCATCTCTAATCAAACTTGGGCAGTTGTTGAATTAGTAGCAACAACTTTCCTCGTTCAGAGTATACTTCCATCATCAACGACATCATCCACAACCTCCATCTCCTTTATCTATGTTTGACCAAACTCTGTTTCTTCCTTTTACTTTCTTATTCATTTTTGTATTCTTTTCCCTGTCGTCATTTTACTATTCTTTTCTCTGGTTGTTATATGCGATGAATCCATCTGCCACATGATTGCTTTTCAGCAGTCTCGCCAAACCAGGTCGCCATTGTTGTATATAAAGCCTACTATCCCCACCCCCAGACCTTCATCTCCACCATCGATTTGATTACCCACTCACCCGACCTACCCCTACGGTAATGGAAATGGAGGATTGCAGTAGCATTACCGATGAAGTCGATGCGCTGCAGGTGGAAGAAACCAGAGCTGGTCAAGGCGATCAACCAGAAGCAGCATCCGAGGTTGCCGTAGTTACAAGACCAAGGTCCGATGCTGCTACTGCTAACAACAATGGCTACTTCGGGAGGCATCGGATGGCCGCCGCCCTCTCCGCTCTTCAGCTCCAAATCCACTCCACCCAGGTGCTCTTCTTAGTTCTTCCCCCTCTCTGCCTTCGTCAACTCTTGAACAATCAGTTTCGGGAACTAGCTATCCCCCATTTCGCAGCAGGTTTTCCTGGTGTAGATAAGGGTGGTTGATCTGGTGTTGATCTGGTAAACAGTATTATATGTGTCGATTGAACGATTATAAACGCCGAGTTGGCTATCCAACGGCGTCATCACGTGCAGACGTTGGTTTTCGTCTATACCAGCACCATGGCAGAACTGCTTACCCTGTAATCTACATGCATATATCGTTAAAAAAGTGTTGATCTTTGTCGTCGTCTTGGTATAGGAGGAGCTGGATCAGCTGGAAAACATCGGCGGAGCATCGGCGGTATGCACAGAGTAAGCACTGTTGTTCTTTGCATTTTTCTTTGCCTAATGCATATGTATGTTGTTTAATGTTTGCCATTCTCTTTTCTCTCACCATCTGTTCTTTTATGGTTTTCTGGTAATGGTGAAGATTTATGGCAAGCGTGGAATCCATCCCAGACCCCCTCCTCCCATCGTATGAACTCGCGCCTTAAAACCCCATATACACACACTCTCAGCTGATTTGGTACTTACAGAGTGCACTCCCGCAAGGGGGGTCATGACGGTATTGTTGCAGGACCACAGGCCCTACGAGCGAGAGCTGGGATCGCTGGTTTCGCGGAGCTCACCACCACAACTCGCGGCTCAGATGGATCTAACGACTCGCCTTCCCATGCCGCAACTCCTTCTCTCTGAATTTTGTTGTCTTCTTAATTTCGTCGCAGCTGCTGTAACCTGTCCACTTACCAACAGAAGACAATCCAAGAACACGCATCTGATTTTCTTCATTCAACTATCCCCATGTCAGAGAACTAGTAAACTCCATCTACAGCTACATAAATGCTACACAAACTGACTCCCCCAAAGAACAGAAATGTGGGGAATAGAACAAGAGCGAATATATATCGATACACACTACAACGATGTTTCCGCAGACTCTACAATTTTTTTGTAACAGGACCAGCAAGCCTCCTCAGAATTCACCAACTGAAAAAAACTGTCCCACCTTCTGCTGCCATGTAAGAACAGAGAAACAAGTTAATTACACAGTTAAGAATCCTAGGCAAGCAAATAAGTAAATATGCAAGCAGTTAATTATCCTGCGCAGCCTGATAAGTACACAGAGTCTACATAGCTGACTGTGAATCAAGATTCGGAGTCTATGCAAGCAAATATAACGGGATAAAAGAGAAAAATGCAAGGAAATTGAAAAGCAGTTCTCACCTCCGACATCCCGACTCAAGATTCAGGTGACTGACTCCGTTCGGTACAAAATTAGATATCCACAAACAGTTGGTGCAGCAGAAGACTATGTTCCATTCGACATACACACTACTACACTACTTGCGATGGAATACTTGATGTCAAAAGTGTGCCCCGGAAACCTCCCTCGCCATGGTCCATTTCCATTTTCCCATCGACAAGCTCATCTGTGCACAATGAGAGGAACCTTTGATCAGAACTCTCATTCACCACTCAGTTCGACAAAAATAATGCACTAGACTTGAGTAATAGACAGCAACACAGTTTCGACAAATGAGTATTTAGAAGTGCTGCTTCAGGTACACCAAAATCAGACTGCTTGGCCATAGTACTTAAGATGCTTGTCAAGTTTCTCATCAAGGAGTCTCATTCCATATATTGAACAGCATACAAGTAGCCACTTGATTGCATAGTTAGATGGTATAATTCAAATTATAAGAGCATTAATCTCATAAAGACGGTCACAGTTCCTTAATACGTGGTTAAGCAAAACATAAGTGTTACCAGCAATGTCTCTATGCTCGTGAATTTCCGAATCTTGCACCCAAAGCCGATCTCCAGGAAATATGTTTAGGTCAGCTAAAGTAGCGGTCTCTTGATCAATAATCTTGGAGCCTTTATGAAGAATTTGATTCTCCTTGACTACCTGCATATATCCAATAAACCATGTGATGCATGAGGAGGCAAAGAATCATATGACCACCAGGCTGTGCCCTCTGTTTAACTTTGATCAACAATCTTCTATTAGCCCCCTTTTTGTCACGAGATGTTATATGTTACAGCTATGGCTATCGTTCAGTGATATATGTAATCTAGTCCCAAAATTAAACAATTCTGAAGAAACTATCATCTCTTTCAGTTTTGCTATGCAGACAAACACAGATCATACTTTCAAGCGTACACAATCAACATCTGCTCGTATAGGATCATTCAGAATATAGTATCACCAATTCAAAGATGAAAGAGGCGCTTTCTGTTTCTAGATCACCCATGATGGATCAATTACCAAGAGCATCCAGGCAAGTAGGCAACCAACCCCTACTTCTAATACTATTCTCAACCACATTTATCCAGTCACTTACCACATAAACAAGAAACTCTATAACTCAGCTACATCAAAGATCTATTATCATCCTCAAAGCAGAAAATGACATGAATGGTGGGTCGATGAAAACATACAACCTACCTTGGTTTTCAAACTTGAGCAAACATCAATCGTGGGGGGAAATGTCAAACAGGCAGAAACAAAATAAGAATCAGATGAAAATATCCACTTTTCTTACCCCAAGTGACTCCCATATCATCATTTTCAACTGGTACACTGACGTGGTACCGGAAACTTTGAAATTCACAGTGTTCCCATTGCTTCCCTTTCTAGTGCGCTTTGATGCCCTTCGATCTGGCTCAAAAGGGCTATCAGATGCCTCCAGAATTGACTTTGGAGCTTCCTTCCCACGTACAAGAGACACATATATCTCCCCGTCACAATAGTTCAGTTTCTTCATCAACTCGCAACTTTCTTTTTCACCTATGCAGACCTCGCAAATCTAGTAGAAGAAGCAAGATTGGACATTTTTCACAAACCATTCAGCCCAATGGTTAAAGAAATCAGAAAGACCGAATACGCAACTTTTCACTTACTTCGGGAAAAGTCTTGATGACTGGCGGTTTAGTCTCGGTACCATTATCAGCTTCATCTTGTGCATTCAAATGCTCATCAGTTATCGGTATATTATCGCTGCTTCCAGGCACATTGCATTCTTCAGAATTATTGCCCTCAAATACTGCAGATATGCCCTTGTCCATGTCACACCCCCACTCTTCACAAAAGGAGAACCAATCATTCTCAGGAATTATTGTCAACCGATCTGTCTAGAACCAGAGGAAGGAGAATGAGGAGGAAAAATACATCACATTAGAAAGTGCAATAAGTTTGCTTTAGTCATTGTATTATCCACTATTGCACCTGATAAAACAGATCCTGAACACTGAACTGATAATAGATTGTGAATTTGTAAGCTATTAAATCAGTATCAATGCTGCTATAAGAAATGTGACATGATTAAGGTGGCAATCATGAACAAGACAATGGAATAAATACAATCAATCCACTAACAGCTACATCTGTGCATTGTAAGAAGTTGTAGATTGTGAGCAAATACATGCTCACTTAAAATTGCTGATAATGCTTACATTTGAGCACCTCTGAAACAGTATGCCACGTTTATATACCAGAGCTGGAGGCCTCTCCAAAAGTCGAGAATGCTGTAATAAAATTGGGGGAAAAGGTTAATTTGAACAAAATTAACAAATGGATGAGAATTAAAATACACATGAGTTGCAATATCCGTGTGTATATATGCATAGACATCAATGTCTACAATATTCAAGTATGTTCAGTTGGAGCCAGTTCTCATGCTCGCAGGTATCTCTTGTCTATGAACTTGGGAGGAACACCATATATTATACATGAGCAAAGCAAGAACACTGGAAGAAGCAATGCTCTTAGTAAACACAGAGAAGGAACCTACATTAACTTTCAATTCCTTTTTTACCACAAGCTGTCGACCAATGATTAATAATACACGGGACAACGTTAAAGAAGCATAAGAGAAGAAATCGGAAATCACCTTTTCACACTTCAGTGAGTCAATCACAACATCAAGAGTTTCAGGCTCCATGGATAAAGAACTACTCTTTCCACTTGCAGTTACGTAATTTTTCCAAGTCATTAACCACGAAGAAGGCACCAAATAATATCTGCTGCCTAAAGAAAGGGGAATATTTTTTGCAGTTACCAACTTCTCATGATTTTGCTTCTGTTTATGTTTCACAGCTCTGCATAACAGACATGATGGTCAGAAAAATTAAAAATACTTATAACCAGCTCCAGAGAAGTAATCCAAAAGTAAAGCTACCTAAGTGAGTCCTCCAGACATGCAACTTCAGAAAGCTCGTTGCTACAATGAGGACATTGATCAGAATCGGATAGGAAAGGAATACAACCGACGGGATCATCAGGTTTCACATGCAAGGCATCTTCACAAAAGAAGTCCCATAAATTCCGAGGTACCAGCAATCGTTTGGCACCAGGAGACTGCTCAGGTAGTAGGTGGTCATGAGGACACCTAATTGAAACAGTTGGTCCTGCATCAGCTTCACTTGGAGCATCGAGATTCTTCCTTCTTATCCACTGCTGGAGCCTACAAGTAACATTCAATCAGACTACATCTCATCTGGAAAATGCAACACACCAGAAATGAACAATAAAGGATATCACGGCATTGCTAGCTCCAGCCTCCAAGTTCACGCAAACAGGTGGAATGCATGTACCATATATAAAGGAACAGTGGAAGATCACAAAACCTATCCCCCAATAAGAAAAGGAATTTCATACCATGTCTTTGATACATAATACTCTCCGTCATCCACAGTCTTCCCAGCAAGTACATTGGTTGCTAACTCCCTCATTAATGTTCTCCTATCACGATAGCTATCCGCAGAAACCAAAGTTTTCGCGCCATCAAAAAGGCATGCAGTGCAGTAGTCCTCATTTGTAAGTGTTGGGCCACCACCATACTGTAATTTACAAAAAATAGGCAGATTCTCAGTGACGCAATACATTGAAAATGAGTAGGAGCAACAGACACAAATGCAACAGTGAAAATATGAGTTAATAATGAATAGACGGAGAGGATACAGGGATAGTGAAGGTGAGTTCTAAGACATGAAAGAAATGCCCTTTGGCTTCCACAGTTTGATTTCTTAGAAAGGGCTTACACGACAGCGTCCAGAATACTTGTGTCTATGTAAGCTCAACATATCAATAACGATATTATATCATTGAACTTATTCTCTGGTTATGTCTACTTTATTGTTTCTTGTATCAAGTGAACAAAGGAATGTTTACACCATTAAAACTTTTCCCTTCTTTCCAAATTCACAATCTCCCAGAACTGAGCAGTACAATGTTTACCTTGGATAACAACTTGGTCCAAGCTTCAGCTGACAGCCGTTTCATTGAGCCGGCCTTTGAAACAGGGACCTTTCCATGTGAGCATTGGATGGATGTGTTATCCAAGACACTGCAGAATATGGAATAAACTTCCTTGGGAACCAGTACAGACAGCATAAAGTAGAAACAGGCAAAAATCACAAACAATCCAACCAAACCCTTCATTCGAGCATAAGAAGTGGAAGCTTACAACCAGCACAGCAAACACTAAACATATTTAAGTGCACGGACAAATAGCAGTAATGAGGGAAATACAGGAACCATAGCAGAAAGCTTTTTCCTTACGGTGCAGTGAAGTCATCAGCCCACCGGCGAAGCCAGTCAGTAGAAATCCAACAAAAAGGTCCAGATGTCTGAACAGGAGCTTCCGAAAGAATTGATCTCACTTCCTGTCGCCGTTCAGTAACATGAAGCATCTCAGTTTCCTTTCTTTCTTTATACCTCCGGCAAGCATCCAGATATGATGCATTTTGCTCCTTGATACCTTCACAAAGATGAGATGGCAAAAAGAACTCATCGTGTGAAGAGTTCCCTTGACCATCTAACTCCATACTACTGGCAACTCTGACTGCACGTGTTTTATCACCATGACTACGAGCGGACCTAAGATTATACATCAGCATATATGCATCACTTGATGAAAATGTCTCAACACCACTTGTAAAATTAGATTCTGAAGCTCGGGGCAAATGAACGTCAGAGTGATTTCCATTTTGAATCGGATCAGATCCTCCTTCACTAGCTTTATGAGGCAGTACATCAGTCCGGGGGATTTTAGCAGAGGAACTTGAAGAGCTTTCTCCAAAGGGGTGATGACCCAAATTAGAGACATGTTCATCATCGAACTCCCACCACTGCCCAGTATTTGCATCCTTAATATGAGCAATGTAATGACCACTGTTCACAGCAGCCCCTTTGTGGATCAACACAGCCGATAAGTCATAAATCCAATCCTGTTGAGAAGCTTCAGAAAGCCTCCGTCCCATATCAAGTTCTTCAGGAAAACAAAATGCAGATGTGATTTTCTTCTTTGTAGTAGTCTACTGACAGGAAACCAACAGAGAGAGAGAATGCTCAAATGTATTATATACCGGAAGCTCCTTTCACATAACAAATCCTAGTTAATTTCATTCATGTCATACCAAATTCATTCATAAAGCTCCCAATCAGAAAATTAATAAGCTATAATTTGAGTAGTCTAGTTAACTTTGTTCCACCTAGGCAAGGTGACACAGAAACAGAAGAGAACAAAATACTTACAAGCCCCATCCCACTAACTAATATACAACATCTAAAAACCATATCAAGGAAAGCTAGCATTTTGTCACAACAACTAGAGAAAAAAGAGGACTGTAAGTCCTACTGTGACCCCATTTCTTAGAGTTCACATGGAAGCCTGTTTAGCTAGCAATGCATATCCAGCTAACTTGGAATTCCTGCCCATTGAAGAACTCATGCTCTCTAATGGTGCTAAAAGCAAACAAAGAACTTAGGGCAGCAAATTAATTTCATTATGTCAATTGTTTTCTTCTAATGTTTCTGACATAAAATCCCACTCAACCCTTGAGAGATACATAAATTATAATGGACGAAGTGAAGGTGGTCAGTTGATGGACGTCATCGTAGAGATAACAACCAGATGCAAGATTACAAATCATATAAGAACATTGTCAATTACCTTTGGAAGGAAGATACAGCGCTTAAGCTGAAAGTTCAAGACAACAGGTAGTGTTCTCAGCTTGATGCTACGTGTAGCATCCACTCTTGTTTTACATGAATCACAGTAATATTGGTTGTCACCATCAAGCTGCTCCACACTGAGGTAATCATCCAAACTCTCATCCAAGCTTTTCATGCCTTTCACATTCAACTCGAGCTCATAGAAATCTTCCATTTTGGAAGAAGCTTCAGAATCTTGACCACATTTTGAGCACCTGCATACAGCTCAAATATCAAAGCATCAGACACAAACCAACAGTGCATTAAAGGAAAATCATCAATGACATGAATAACTGCACTCGGAGCTACTTCGAATGTCCCCTTCCTACAGGAAGATAAAACTGGAGGGAGCAAATGAAAATGTGGAAAGGGGACAGGGTTTTTTTTTTTTTTTTTTTTTTTGCCCAAGAAATGTCCAGAGAAACCAACATTAGAAAAGAAATAACACCCAACCCCCTTACACCCTCCAAAACAAAAGCTTACACTGACCAGGCTACAATTGACTCTATCTTGAAAGAAAGAAATCGAAATTTGGTGGAAGGGGGACAGTTGGTGGAGACCCAGATGTTAAGGTGAGGCTAAATAATGGATAGCTTGCTCATGGGTATAATATTGGTAACAAGTGCATATGGAAATCAAGGCAACAGCATGAAGGGAAAGGATCAGTCCATTTTTTAAACATATTGACCAAGAGCTAGAATAGCTGCAAACTTCTGCAAGGAATAACTAACTAATACAAATACTTCTGAGATACACAGAAACCTAAGGCACAAGATAAGGAAATCTGTTATACACCATCCCCTGACAACAGTCTAACCTCTTTGTGCAAGATATTTGCAGCTCTATGTATTTAGAAAGCTTCAGACCTACTAACTATAAAAAAATATTAAAAAGAAGGAATAGAATACAGGCTTCCATTTTTCAAATATATGATATTAAATATGAAGTGAATCGCGGATGTAGGCACCCTCATCCTGCTTCGGAACTTGAATGAGCCTTACTAATATATGTTGACTGAGGTTCATATCAACATTAAGAATAAGTGTAACCAACTGCTGCATTCAGTTGTTCCTCTAAAATATTACAATGCATAGATAGAAGCCAGAACAAGATAACGATCAGATGGGCAGCCCCACAAACCACCTAAGAAAAGGACATAAAAACAATCAACACAAATAGAAAGCTCTTACTTTGTTACATGAGACACGCTTCCACGGAAAAGATCCTGTACCACTGATTTTGCCTTGTAGACACTAGAATGGCTCAGACAACGCTCAAGCAAGGAAAGAAGTAAGGTAAGGAACTCGTGGCTATCTTGCTGCACTCCATTATCCAACTCCAGTGTCTTTACAAATGGAGCAGAATCAATGAAAGCCATTTTACTGGCATGCAAAAGTGCAAAAAGCCGAGCAAGCTGATCCAGTACAGGTTGCTGTTTCAAGACCTCTGGTTCCACCGAGAAAAGGCCTTCTCTAAAAGCAGTATTCATATAAAGACACTGAAGTATGCTGTTGGCGTAGCATGTTGCACCCAAGTTTGTGAGTCCAGCAGGAGAGTCATCAATACGGAGATCAGTCGATGGATCTGGTCCTAGTGCTTGAACAATATCTGTCGTCTTCTGCCACAACCCAGACTTCCGACTTCCATTTTGAGTTGGAATCAACCCACAAAAACAGTTGGGATTATCCTTGGTGTTCACCCTGCAGCCTTGGCAAACAGGCTTCGAGATCATATAGAGCTGATTTACATCCTCAGCGGCCACTTCCCCAGTAGCATGAATTTTCCTACGCAAGCCACACAAGTTAACCTTAAACACACAAAGGGGACGCGGAAACAGTAACATTCAGCATTTCTAACCATCCCATCACACGGGTGTATGTACCTCAATATCTGAGAAGTGACATTAACATCATCACTAGGCCTATGCCTTTTATTTTTGCTGCGTGTAGTTGGGCGGCTCATTCTACTATTATCGACCCAGCCTGAAAACAGGAATGGAAAGTAGGATGCATCATAGACCAAAACCCAGCTTAGTTCCAAAATCAAGGAGAAGCCCACCACACAGAGCAGAAACTCTTTAGCATTGGTGTAAAACAATGAAACTGACATATTCTACGATGAGCACAGAAACATAGAGCACTTGAGAAGTCGTTAAGGAGGAGACAGAGACAACAACACGTGAGCAATCCGAATTGGCATTTCGATCACTCCATCTTTTCACAAATCTGATTTTGCACAACGCATTATCCCATTGTTTCCACCAGTTCCAATCCACTTCAATCCAATCAGAGAAGTTAGACAAACTCCAACCATCCACAGAAAAACGCTGGATATTCAGCTCCACGCAATCGAGTTCCGGATGGAATTTTTTTTTTTACTTTCCCGCTGATTCAATCAGAGAAGTTAGACAAACTCCAAGCATCCACAGAAAAACACTGAATATTCAGCTCCACGCAATCGACAGTTCCGGGTGGAAATTTTTCACTTTCCGCTGATTCAACAAACAACTCATGTGCACGATATATATATCAGACATTAATCTCGAGAAAGAGTTCACCAGCGATTAAAACTTAAAAGACAATCCTCCAAATCACAGTCCCGCACTAATAAAACAGCAGCAAGAAAAATTGCGGCAATTCGAAACCAAATAAGAACAACTGAGAGAAGAAAAATGATACCAACAGAAAGACCGCCATACCTGAATCAGAAAGAGAGAGAGAAGCTAGACCTAATTAAACAGTAGTATTGTGCTCGGATTCCGTTAGATTGTGAAGTTGGGTTTGATCGAAGGAAACGGCAGCAGAGATTCCAACAGATATCGTGGAGCGGGAGGAGCTAGCTTGCGGGTATCTTGCCCTCGTATTTGGTTTGTCTGTTTGTTTCTCGGGATTTATGGAGGGGGAGAGAAAGGAGAGGAAAACGAGAGAAAAGGCGTAGTCGTACGGTGTATACAGGAGGAGAAGGGAGGGAAAACGGAGCGGAGAGGCGGGCCGGAGACGGATGGAAGGAAATGGAGGGAGTTGGAAAAAAAAAAGAGGGAGAGCGTCACCCCGACGCCTTTTTTTGCGTTTGCCTTTTCCCCGTGATTTTTATTAATTATTTTTCCTTGTTTGAGTTGGGGTGAAAAACTTTTTTGGGATTATTCATCCAGAAAAGAATATAAAATAATTCAAACGGTAATTTTTTATTAATTGTTTTGGACGGAACGAATGAATGGAGGCTGAGGAGTGTTCTGTTCTACTTACAACTGTTCACTGTCTCGTGATTTGTTGGCTTTCCTCTTCACCGTCCACGTGTTACTTGCTGTGGTTTCTTTGATTCTTTCCAGTCTCTACTTTTTACCCTTTACAAGTTTACATTTTTTTTCCCCGTTGAATTACTCATTACCTTTTGCTTTGCTATAATGAATTTTTATTCTCGTAAGGCGGTTTGGTTTCGGTTATAGTTAAATTCATGAGTTTTTATTAATATATGTAGAATAAAATATATGTATATAAGAAAATTGGTGTACTATAGTTTACTAGTTTACATTGTTTGGTTTGTATGATAGTTATTATAGTATTTAAATAAGTCATATTAATTTTTGGGTGAAATGTTACTTTTACCCTTCATTTTTAATATAAAAAAGTAATAGCTAGGGACATAGTTGGAAGAAATAAAAAAAACTCAACAAGCTCACAAAAAACTTGGGATTTAGCTATCACTCATTTTGAGTGATAGTTTGTGTCATATCAAGCAAACAATTCATGTATTATTTGTGCGGAAAATTCAAAAAATAATACATTTTGTACAATAAATGCATTGTAAGTAATTAGGGGTGGCATTTTGGTTATTTCGGTTATAACCGATAACCGATCGGCCGGTTATCGGTTAACCGAAACAATCACTCTCCCTACCGAAAACCGCCCGAAATAGGCTTCGGTTTCTCGGTTATCGGTTAACCGACCCACTCTTAAGACAAAAAAACCATGTCGTCGAGCCTCCGATAACCGACCGAAGTTCGGTTACTTCGGTTACCGTATAGTCGATAATCGGTCGGTTATCGGTTTAACCGGCCGGTTAACCGGTAACCGGTAACCGAACGGCCACCCCTAATTGTAACTATTCCAACTAAACCAAACGAATTAGAAAGAATGAGGGACAAAGCTAATTTTAGGAAAATCTTATAAAGAAAGCAGAACATGGTTTAGGGTAGTTAGTATAGCTTTTGTTATGTATTTGTCTGTGTGATTAGATCTACCTCTTGATTTTAAGTTAGGTTTAGGGTAGGATGTATAGTTTTTGTTTTGTATTTGTGTTTGTGTATAATTATATCTACCTCGCTCTTGATTTTAAGTTAGGTCACATTCACATATAGAAGTTGATATAAAAAGGTTTTCTATTCTGTTTGTATTTTTATTTTAATTCGGATTTCAACATTTTTAGTACAGATGGAACAAGTTCATTGTGAATAAAAATTAAGTTCATTTTCTATATATTCGGAGGAAAAAATTTGTACCATGCTGATGCAATTGTGTACTACCTTCGCTTTGAACTCAAATTTTGAAAAAACATTGCTAAAATTGAATTGGTTCGTTATGATCAACAAATTTTAAGGAAAAAATCATGACTATATATACCTACTATATACAGTCATTCTACACTATAATATATTCATAATCATGGTTCAAAAAGGCACGCTTAATCTTACGCTTAGGCACGCATAGGCGTAAGGCAATGGCAAAACCCCTCGCCTTCGGGGTACACGCCTAATTAGATAATGGAACACGTCAATCAAGTAAGGCTACATAAAAGTCTCTCTTAAACATTACTAGATGGAGCTAGGAAGTCTATATTAAAGGAGAAAATTAACATCATCTACGAAATTAATTTTTTTTCAATATTTTCAATAGCTCAAGAGCTTTGTGAGCTATTGAGCTATGATTCTATGAATTTGTGAGCTATGTTCTTGTCATTAAGTGTTGAGTAAATTATTTATCATTTTAACTAAAGTGAGGAAGTGTTGTAGATTATTATTTCATTCATTATGCAGTGCGAATAGCTATTTTTCTTCAAACGCCTAGACACGCTTAGTGTACGCCTAGGCAAGTTAGGCACTAGGCAAAGACTCAACGCTCGCCTTACGCCTAATGCCTTTTTGAACCTTATTCATAATACATGTTTTCATCGCCATGGTATAATCTTATATATTACCAAACATTATCACCATACTATACACTACTGATATATGTCTCAATTTTTTGTCCCAAAATATATCAATGTGAATTTTTCATTTTGAAGAGCAAGATAATTTGATTTTATATGAACAAATTTAATTTTTGCTTCAAAATAAAAAGTTCTAACCAATTAGATTAAAGAGGAGAAAAAGTAATGCATGAACAGTAACCAACCAGGTTATTGACCTAAACCACTCCCGAACATGATGGAGGTCTAAGGTAGGTTGCATAACCCTTGGTTATGCATATATTTAAATCAAACTCTTTATTTTGAGAAGGGGAAAATCTAAAGGATGAAATTAAAAGCATTTTTATTCATAATTTTTTAAGCAGCTTGTATCTTCTTTGGTTTAACTAGACTTTCAAAAAAAAATTACTCAATTGAAACGAGATTATTGTGATCTTAAAATTATGTTATTTTTTATGTATTTTGAGATAAAAATTTCATACCTCCCATTATCCTACGTTACCACCCTAGTACCACTATTCATTACCTAATCTTTGTTTTTAAACATTTTGCAAAGAAGAAACGGGTTTATCGTTATATATTTTGATCTAAAAATTGAATATATGATATTAAAAATATACTAACTTTTATTTATAACTATCAACATTGTATACCAAAAGATACCATTCATATATCAGGATGGTATGTGTTGGTATTTTTTTTTTTTTTTGTCATGTATTTTGATAACATCAAACTTGGTGTTATTTACCCTACATATTTAGGTGTGTTTTGTGTCAATTCATGTGCTTAAATGCTTGATCATCGTCAAATATGTTCTATTGTATTCCTATTTGATTTCGATGTGATTATAGGGTGTATTAGTCGATATATGCAAATTAGGCACAGAACAAGGTCACAAGTGTAGAGAAGGGGCAAGCAACTAAAGATCGTGGCCTAGAAGCCAAAGATCACGGCCAGGATCACAAGCTGCGAAGACCAACTAAAGATCGCGGCCCGGAAGCTAAAGATTGAGAGCGCGATCTTGGAGGCTTAGGATGCAAAGTTCGCATGGAGGGAGCCTCGGAGAAACATAGAGTTTCCCTAGTCGCATCACGACCAACGCTTATCTTGCCCGTGAGAAAGACCACGGTCGCGACTCACGGATCGCGACCGTGAAGTCAGTCTGGGATCATCCCTTTCCTCAGACCTCGACGACTGCGTTTTGAGATCACAACCCAAAGACCAAAGATTCCGCTCGCGATCTTCTTTCCTCAGGCCGCGAACTTCCCCGTGTCTAGAGTGCCTATAAATAGAAGACTCTTTTCCCCATTTTAAGTGAGCTTATTTTGAGATAAATTTTCAAGCTCTACACAAAGAGAGAAGAGAGAGAAGCCGAAGGAAGGAGAAGAGAAGGAGAAGAAGAAGGAGTTAGGATGAATATGTTTTAGGATTTACTTTGTATATATAGATGTTTTAGGATTTGAATGAATGCATGTGTTTGCCTAGTTGATTTTAATGTCACTCTTTCCTAAATGATGATTCTTGGCAACTGGCCCCAATCTTCCCTCTTAGCCTGCTTTATGCTGCCGCGTTAGGTATGAAATTCTAGGGTTAGACGGGTATGCGCCATCTGGCGAGTTTAGGTTAGATGTGTGAATGGGGGCCTATAGTGGTCGAGGCGACCGTACCCCTGCTATAGGTGGCTTTCCTAGGTGAAACCCGAGATAAAACCTCGGTGTGGACGGTGCCATATACTTAATTCCCCAGACACAATAGCCTAGATCGAGGTGACTGGAACATGGGTTTAGGGGAGGTGTACTCGGAGGCGTGTGGATAACGACGAAGGCCCACGAAAAAGAGCTCACTCGCCACATTCGACGACCCTAGATATCTATATATGCATAGTGACCCTAAGCTAGGGGGAGGATTAGTCCCCGAAGTACCTGCTTTTAACTTTGATCAATCCTTATACTAGAGTTTCCTCATATACTCCACTCATAACCTAAAAAACCGATTAACTAATTAGCAACTTGGTGGGAAGTAGGCTAGGGTACCGAGACTTGGATAGAATACGATCTTGATTACCACTATACGGCTACGCCGTTCTAGGTTAAACTTGGCCTAGGATGGGGTAGTTGTGGTTACGTGCAAACCTCTGACAAAAACATACAAGGATTGAAGTGATCATATTTTTATCCCTATAAATTTGTAGATCCAATAGATCATGATTAACTTTTTTCTTTCTGTACAAAATTTTTCAAAATCGACTTAAAATTGAAGGCGAGTGGTATGAAAAAAAATATAGAAATATATTGAAAATGAATCTCATTTTGTAGATCACAATGAACTCGTTCCATCTGTGCAAAAAATTTAAAATCCAAATTGGAACGAAGAAAATAAGAGCTAATTAAGAAAACTATGAAAAATAAAAACAACTTAATTCTCAATCCTTAGATCTGGATCATTCTAGACCCACTCAAAATTAAGATTATGAATTTAATTTTGTAAGGATGCATAACTAAGAGTTATGCACCTTATCTTGAGCCGATTTTACACCCGATACTTTTCATTTTCTTCTAAGATCAAAACCACCTCAAACAACCAAACAAAAATTAAGAAGGAAAAGAAGGAAAAAAAACTTTGAAAGTTTTGATCATATTTAGATAATTGAAAAGCCATCAAAATACGTTAGTTAGTTAAATTGCAAACAAAATTGCATAATAACAATAAATAACAATAGTTTGCGTGTAATTGTAGGCCTCTCCATTCGTTCTCCCCCCTCAAATTTTCTGCCCTTTTGGTCCCTTCTTCCATCGTTCTCCCCCCTTTTCTCCCTTAGTTGGATTACCCTTTTCCTTATTCCTGCGCAGGCTCTTCTCCATAACCCTTCTCTCTGATGGTAGACGATCACCATCGTCATCATAACTCGGAGAGTATTACTATTATTGGTTCCTCGACGACGACGTCCGATGTTGACGGCAAAAACCCTAATAACAAGAACTCGACCTCATCATCCTCCTCCTCCTCCTCGCCAAGCGAGAAGACCCGCAGGCGTTCTAAAGCGAAGGATTTTTGGAGGGTTCATCGCACTTTGATTGCGAGATGGTGTCACGCTGCTCGGAATATTAATACCTCTTCTTCGACACCAACTTCTCCGTTTTCGTCGCCATCGCCGCCGCCCGAGCGGCCGCCGGGGTCTTCGTCGACGTCGCCGTCATCGTCTTCTTGTTGTTCTGACGGTAATAAGGCTGGTTTGGGAGAAGGTGATGATCAGCCGGCGCCTGGTCTAGCGCCCAGAGTTGAATCCCAAAGGGTACGTTCCTATCTAGGGTTCCAATATTATTATCTTTCCTCTTTATGCATACTTTTTCTTGGACATGTTCATGTGGTTCGGGTTTACTCGTTTTAATCACTTTACCCAATACATTTTGATTTTGAAAACACTAAATATAGAACCCTATGATTTGTTTATGATTGGAATGGATCAGCGAGTAAAAAATGCAACTACCACTAGAAAAATTATATAACTAATTAAAATGTCAAGCAAATTAAACTAAAGCGAAAAACATCAAAATGCATCGAAGTTATGTTGTTGTTTGAATCTTGATGTAACATATTTCTGATATTTTTTCATAAACAACTTACCAAAATAAGCTAGAGAAGCTTATCCGGTATAAGCTAACTCATCCATAATATGTTATTCTTTTAAAATTAATATATATTCAATACGTCCAATAAGAAGGAAAAAAAATATTCAAATTCTCTCGCAAATTGACATAAATATGTTTTGAATACGAAAACTTAATAAAAATAGTTGTAAGATGGGCTGAGTCGCGGTATCCACGAGTTGCATATATAACTCAAAATGCACACTTAACCGGCCAAGACATATGGGTTCCGCAAAACAAAGTTCTCACCTAACTTTTAAATCTTAATTTTAACGATAAATACAAGTAGGTTAGATCGGATTGAACAAATCAATCGCGTTACTAAGTATTCTTTGCATGAACGATAGATTGATAGTTAAAGAGTTTCAAGGAACTTAATAGTCCGGTTTTGTTCCTTCCCCGCAGGCTGAAGAAGAAGAAGAAGCAGCAGCAGTAGAGAAGAACAATACAATGAATGGAATCCACAGCTTCAGATACACCGCCACCGCAGCAGATCCCACCACCACCACAACAACAACTCCCAAAGGCGTATTCAAGCAAAAAACCAAAGAAGCAGATTTCCTCCGAACCCTAACAAACCCTCTCTCCAGAATCGCCAGCAAAAGGAGCCCTTCCCCTTCCTCCAAAATCGGCAGCCGGCGTAGCGGCTCCCCTCTATCCTTCGTTCACCGATGCATCACCGGCCGGAAACCCACCACCACCACCACTCCTCCTCCCCCTTCCACCGCCGACGTCCACCACGACCGCAGCTCCTCCCCTGCCGCCGCTGCCCCTCCTCCGTCCACGGCGCCAGCCTCGCTGGCGAGCGATGCCAGCGTGAGAAGTAGTGCGAGTAGTGGTGGTAGCAATCTTGGTGGGTTCTCGAGGAACCCGAGCCAGAGAAGCGCGACGCCGATCATGTTCTCCAACTCCACCGGACGGAAGGTGAAGCCCCCGCCGGTGCAGCAGAACTTGGAATGCACGCTCGAGGAGCTGTTCTACGGTTGCACTAAGACTGTCAAGGTTACCAGGGACGTCCTCACCGACCGAGGGTACGTATTCCTTTTGCTCACCTGCGTTAATGTTTTTACTTTGTCAGGATTTGGTGCCATGTAAAAGCAGTTTTGTGTTTGTTTCGTGGTTTGTGAAACCGTGTCGTATCTGACAGTTCTGTGGTTCAATTGTAAAATACGAGTATCGGCGCGCGGTTAAACTGGTAAAACGGTATAGTGGTAATAATAGTTGAACTACGGTTAAATTACGATTTCACTTTAAAAAAATACCCCACAGCTAATTTTTTTTTTGGTAGAGTATCGGGTACGGTTTCACAGAGCTTGGTTAATTCCTTCACTCAATTTATGCTTATTCATGTCATTTTGGTATTTGTTCATATAATATTGGTGGTAATCCACGGAAATAGTAATGAGTATTCACGCAATCGATCTGGTGTTGATTCACACATATTGTTGTTTATTCACGTCGTTTGGTGTCAAGTGAATCGAGAATTCATTTCATTGTAAAACGAATTACCATGTTGAATTCATTGTCAAATGAAATCTTGTATTTGGTGTGTCATATTCAAATCTTTAAAAAATAAAATGAATTATCGTGTAGAGTTCACTGTCAAATGAATTTCTGTGTGTTGGTATGTCATATGTATAAGTAATTTAGTAAATAAAAGAGAATGATGATATTATATTCTATTATAACTAGTTAAATACTTGTGGAATTCATTTGTAAATTCCATCTCAATTCCTCTGATTTGTTAATAACTAGTTCCAATTCCATAGAATTTCAAAATTTAGAATCGAGAATGAATTCTTTTAAAAAGCAAACACAAAAACGTTTCATTTCAAAATGAATTCCTAAAAAATTATCAAATTCATTTATACCAAATGGTATGTAAATGAATGTCATAGTGTAGATTATGATCAATGCAACTCATTCTTTTTTTACGAAAAAAAATCTAAAATTTAAATTTATTTCCATAAAATATGGTTAATACAAATTATTTGGTAGGAAAAAAAATACGGGATTCTATTTGTGTAAATAATCACCAAATTGTGTAAATAATCACTAAATGAGGTGAATGAAACTACATGCGTGAATTAGATGTATTGTCTTTTTCACCAACCCGTTTCTTTTTAACAAATCTAGAGGAAATTAATCACCCATGCATGCAGGCAAATAGTACAGGAAGACGAGACCCTCTCCATCCAAGTGAAGCCCGGATGGAGGCGAGGCACCACGATCACATTCGAAGGCACCACCACCACCACGGGGACCACCGAGCAGCCGCCGCCGCGGCGTCGTCCCGTCGGATCCGAGCCCTCCGACGTCACGTTCGTGATCGTGGAGAAGCGTCACCCTCTGTTCCGGCGGGTGGGCGACGACCTCGAGATCGCGATCGGGATCCCGCTGGTGCAGGCGCTGACGGGGTGCGACATCTCCATCCCTCTCCTCGGCGACTCCGGGGAGGTGATGAATCTGACGATCGATGACGTCATCTACCCGGGGTACGAAAAGGTCGTCCCGGGGCAAGGGATGCCGAGGTTCAAAGAGGAAGGGACGACGAGAGGGTTGCTGAGGGTGTTGTTTCTGGTTGAGTTTCCGGTGGAGTTGACGGAGGAGCAGAAGGCGAAGATTGTTAGCATTTTAGAGGAGGAGGAGGAGGAGGGTGGTTCTTGTTGAATTTGGGAGTGAGTAAGAGATAGTTTCGGGTAATGTAATGTGGATTCGTTTGTTTTGGTGATGTGTACATGTAGAGATTTTTTAGTGAGTATGGTAATTCGAATATTATGAATAATGGGTACATGATTTTTTATTATTATTTAATCCGAACTCGTTAGATTATACATATATGTGTAACATATGTACTTTATTTAGAAATAGTCTTTATTTTTATTTCACGGTCCATATTACTTTTCTTCAACGGTTTTTCATCGCTATAATGATTTATTTTTATACTTATCAGTTTTCACTTATGTAATATCAACATACACATCTGTTGTTAACATATTTTCTTCAAGTTATGAAAGAATTACTGCCATTGGAAATTCAATTGGGTATTAGCATAATTTTGATTTTCCACCCAATTCTTATATGTGTATAGATATGCATAAAACTCGAACTACTTCTTATGGGATAATTGATAGACAACACTATCTGTCTCTGACCTGATTCATTGCCCATCGCGTTAGTTTATACAATCGAGCCCGGTCCATCGGTATCTTCCCACAGTTCATCATTAGAAAAGAACAGAGAAACATGGTGATAATTTGATATCCATGTCGATCTGTCTAACCACCCAATCTGGCTTACTTGAACAACAATTGACAAAAGTAGAATTGATTTGAAACGTTTCCCTTGCATCTTCTCAATCAACAATAAATGTAAAATCACACTGAATCCAAGTCCTTAGAGAAGTTTCCAAGCATGATGAGGTTTGCAGATATAACTTACACTGGAAAAAATAACTATCCACAATGATCCGATGCAAAATCTTTCAAGGCTTAGACCCACGAAACAGTGCGCGTAGGATTGCAAGGAAACTGCCTCCCATCAGAGCTTTCATCATTCTCAGTTTGAAGCCCGTGTATGGTGGATACCTCAAGGCAGCGTCGCCTATGAAACTCCGATACAGCACAGCTTTCTTGTGGCTGAAGGCATCAAATGAGAACTTCCCGTGGTACGACCCCATCCCACTCTCGCCAACGCCTCCAAATGGTACAGTATGAACAGCCAGCTGTTCAGAGAAAAAGGAAGGAAACATGATTGTAAGGAAGCCTGCTCTTATTTTGCATATGCAGATTGAATGAATGATTCGTTCCTAAATGGAGTAAGATTGAGAGAGAGAGAGAGAGAGAGAGAGAGAGAGAGAGATAAGTACATGAATTGTTGTGTCATTGACGACAATGCCACCAGCAGAGACAGACATTACAAACTTTTCTTTGAGCTTTTTGTTGTTGGTGAATATGTAGGCTGCAAGTGGCTTTGTTCCCGAGTTGATCACATCGAAACTCTCATCGATATTGTTCAACTGTATTGTCAATGAAAAGGAAGATGACAATAAGAGGGCTGTTATTCGCAAAATGAGGACAAGCAATCGGGATAAGATCATCGACTTTTTCTTACCATGAGGATGGGAAGCAAGGGGCCGAAAATTTCTTCACTCATGATCAGAGAATCCCTTGGCACATCTAGCAAGATGGTAGGAGCTATTCTTCTGTCGATCACAAACAATGGAAGCATGTAAATCACAAGGAAAATGATAAGCATTCAAGATGCACCGTACTATCTGAGAGTATGTGGAACAAGAAACTCACAGCTTCTCTTCGTCTTTTTCACCACCGTAGACTATTTTACCAGAAACTTTCTCGTCATCCAGTAGCTTGGATAATCTAGCAAAATGGTTAGAGTTTACAATGCGAGACAAGTCCTTCGACTCCAATTGATTCTTCCCATAAAATCTCTCGAGTTCTGTTTTCAGAGCATCAACCTGCACGTAAGAAACTCGTTTCAGAGGAAGCTAAAAATGAACCAAGGCCTGGAATAACGGAGTACAAGCACCGAGAGTTACCAGCTTTGGTGCATAATCTTTGGTTGTTAAAATGTAATCAGGGGATATGCATGCTTGTCCGTTGTTACAGCCCCACTTGCCAGCAATTAGTCGCCTCATTGCAACCTTCAAGAGGCAAACAGTTTCACGTCGAAGGAAGAAATGAAGGTGCTAAAGTTAACTGAACAAACCGAAGTAGTACCACATCAAAAGCTTCAGATAGTATTTACCTGTAGATTAATGTCTGAATCAACGACCGCTGGACATTTCCCCCCGAGCTCCATGATGACAGGTGTCAAGTGCTTTGCAGCAGCAGCCATCACAATGCGCCCAACCCTACCATTGCCTGTAAATTGAGCAAGGAGTTGCCTTTGAGGTACATGACAGGTTGTGACCAGGAGCTGTGGTTGTCAGTCTGAAATTTCTGGCGCTTGTTTTATTCTAAATGAAACAAGAGCAGCCAGGAAGAATCTAGAACCAGGGCATTTCGACCTATCTAGTGAATCTGACCCCAAGGATATGTATAGCGGATAGCACCCAGCAGATAGAAAGCTGTGGTATTAGAATTTACAGCAGAACATTCAACCAAGCCCTGAACTGAGTTTGTCAAATTGAAACCAGGAGTAGTTACATGATTTCCTTCTACCACTTGTTAGGACTCTTCATGTCAACATACGAGAAATGAAAAGTTTGACTTAATGTTTCATATATGTCTTAGCTGATCCTGATTAAAGATAATTGACAGCGGAATTAACTATTTCATGCCTATTCATGAAGTAGTAAATTTACAAACATCAAACACCAAAGAATGAACTCATGGACTTTTTCCCCATGAAACTATAACACTCGTTTTCGGAGTCATTATGCAATAAACATTGAATGAACCACTGAGCAGTTATGAGTTATGGATAAATTTTATGTCCAGCAGAAGAAGCTACGCATTAACACCTTTCATTATATTATGCAAACCACCTTTATAGTTCATTGACAGGAGTCTTTCTTTTTGGGTAAACGCTAAATGATCTGCCAGAGAATTTCCAGGTTTAGGGAACATCTTTAACCAGCACAATACTTGAAAATTAGATGAGAAATACAGAGTTCCAATCTAGTCAAGTTGCAAAATCTTTGTGCTCTTAGCAACTCTTTCAAAACATAGTGTAAATCCACAGTGGGTTGCAATGTTCCATCACAATCAAACTCCAGTGAGCATTTCTAATAAAAAAATCCAGTCTTTGAACAGCAACTGTTACCTATTATTAAGCGGGGCAAAAGTAAGACTGGGATGGCCGACCTATAAATAGGCTGGAATGCAGTAAATTCACATGGACACAAGACATAGCGAGAGAAACGGCCTATGATGTCATTTAGGGAACATTGGGGAAAAGACCTTAACTAGGTCTGGCACTGAAACTCATTAAGTAAAGATGAAGGACAAACCTGTATACATGATTTTGTCCCATTTTTGCTCTAGTAGAGCTGACGTTTCAGGAACAGCACCCTCAACAACCTTTATGGCAGAAGTATCCAAATACTGAGCAAAAAGTTTTGCAAGCAATGAGGACGAGGCAGGTGCTAGTTCCGATGGTTTTAAAACCACCGCATTCCCAGCTGCAATAGCTCCAATCACTGGATCAATGGATAGCACTGCAAAACACATTTCAGCATAGATTACTCAAACTTCTGGTAGACAATAATAAGATACTGAACCATAGCAAGTAAGAAACTGAACCTACAAAAGGGATAGTTCCAGGCAGAAATTATCAATACAATTCCAAATGGCTCAGACACAATTTCAGCTGATGATGGGAATGTTGTCAGTGAGGTTTTTGCCTGCAGTATGTCAACAAATATGAATATGTGGCGATACTTAGAAACCACAGAATAAAACAGGCTCAAACAATTGATCACTTAAAAATGTTCTACCTTCTCCGGCCTGATCCAATTCTTTAGTTCCTTGAGTGCCACTTTGCATGCATTCTTTATCATACCTAGCTGCAAAACAGACCCTTAATTAACTTCCCAAAAATATATTTCAGAACTAGTTGTAAACATATCTAAGGAGAAAAACAGGTGCTTAGATAACTAGATACCACCAAATACCCTTTCATCAAACATCAACCTGAAATTAAGCATTCTGTTCAAGGATGGAAATGAGCAAACTTATTCCTTGAGCACCTAAAGTGCCATCCATTCTACAGAGTATGAGGCAAAGCCATACAACAGCCTTAATGTTCAAAACTTGTAAATCTCCATCCCTCCAGGGTATGAATTATAGGACAACACAAAAAAATCTATTAAGTGGCCTGTTTCTCTTAGCATGTTGGAGCAGATTCAGCTACTATACCCATGCAGACCAACTTACACAAGCCTCAAATTTAGCGACTTTAGCTTACCATACTCCCAACAGAGACTAGTTCATCTATCTCTAGATCAAAGTTACAGGGAATTAGATCATTTTAGCCAATTGTCAAGTTAAAAACACCTACATCAAAGAGTTGGAGACCCGGACACCCGGTCCTGTCATGGAAAGACTAAGAGCATACACCCAAAAAATCTCTCTTCAAATGTTAGAAATATAAGGTCCTCTTCAAATCAATGAATACAACCTGATTTATGGTTAATCCAGTCATTAATGTCTTCAACAACTTGGTTGGAAGATAAGGAAACATATAGATATAGTACATAAACCATGTTGAAGATTGATGAGGACACATACAGATAGTACAACCGTAGGCTAAGCAACTAAGCCATGACTAAAACAAGTCCTGGAATCTGCAAAAGAAAAATACACACGTACACAAAGCATTTGGGAGGTAGTTGGGAAGTCATTATCTTGGTCCTACCTCATTAATTCCCGGCTCCTCAAATCATTTCTTGGCTGAGACTGAGATGGATAAAAAAAACCCCAGGAACGAAGACGAAGAAGAAGAAAACTTAGGAGAATAAGCCAAAAGCTTTCTTTTAGTCGATTCTTAATTTCATGATGATTCCCCAATGCCGGCGAGAGTCACTGGGAAGGAACTCAATTTGCATTTAAGAAGAGAGGGACAAACACGAGGTAGAGAGGAATTTATAACAAGAAGCAATCAGGCTTCGAAATTCCCCAGCTGCCATAGCAGCCACAACTACCTCCCGCACTTCATTAATTACAGAACCCTGAACCCCCCCACGTTAGCTGCCAAAGCAGACTCGAACTTCCCCTTGGCAGCTTAACTCAATCAAAAAATTCAAAATCCTAATCGACCAATTCATCGAAAGTAAGAAGAGCTCTTACCTCATAGAGAGTTCCTTCGAGCTCGGGCTTGGCGAGATCCTTGTACAGCGCCTCGACGACCTCCTTCTCGCTGTCGTCGCACATCCTGACGATGTTCTTCAGCTGAGTCACCCTCCAGCTGTAGCTCCGAGTCCTGCCGGAATCGTAAGCGACGACCCTGAGCTCGTTGACTAACTGCTTTGCTTCCTCCTCTCCAAACACCGTCACCTTCTTCTCCCCGATCGTCGTCGCCATTTTCTGATGGGCCCCAAAGAAGAAGAAAAAAATTTCAAAATTCGTTGATCAGTGAACAAAGCTTCGGTGTAACAGGTAATGCTCGATTGTGTAAAGCTTATATGATGAGGAAAAATGGAGATTTTGGTGGGTTTGAGAATTGGGATTCTGAGGAGATTTTTTTGTAATATTCGGCCTGCGCTCTAATTTGGGTATTATTATGATATAACAAGGGTGCCGAGAAATTTGGCTTTCTTTCTTATCGGTTACGGTGTCGGCGAGTGTGGGTTTGGGCGCGGGGAATCATATGTTTCTGTTTTTATTTTTCATGAGTGCGCGTGGAGTGGAGACGATGGTGTGGAGCGCGTGGGGGACGATGGGCAGGTGCGTGCTGGCGTTTCTTTGCTTGGAGCCTTACCCTCGGGGGGTTTTATTTTATTTTTTTTTTCGAAATTGATGGGTTTTATTTAATATAATGTAATCTAATAATATTTGTTTTTTTTTTCCATGGTTGATGAGCGGTCCACTGCATCATTTGGAACTAACTTGACCGGCCGGCCGTGACGTGACGACTTTGTGATTGTTCGGATGGAGAGAGCTTTTTTTTCTGTTTCTGCAGTTTGGTGAGCGAACGTCAAAATGGTGGCCTGCTTCAATATTTTGGTGAAAACTGAAAACAATCCCCTACAAACGTACCAGATGACTAATTATTTCTTTTCCGTTCGAATGAATCGTACGAGATGAATAGATAATGAATTTAGGGTTACAAATAGAGGTGACAAATGGATCGGATTGGTGGATTCATGGATCTAATGGATTGGTGGATTCATGGATTGGATCAAGTGGATTGGTGGATTATCCATGAATCCAAATGACATCCTCAACCAAGGACCAATATGTAAAATGTAAAAAGTTCAGGTACTAAAATGTCATAATGAAAAATTTTAGGTACCAAAACGTAAATTTTCAATGATATTTTAAAAAATTAAATTTTAGGTACCAAAATGTAAAAAATAAAAATTATAGGTTATAAACCGTAATTTGCCAATGATCCATGGATCCAATCCATGAATCCACCAATCCAATTGGATTTGGATAAAATGGATTGGATTTAAATGGATTAGATTAGGTGGATATTTTTAATGGATTGGTGGATTGGATTGAAATTGCCACCTCTAGTTACAAATGAGCCAAGTCGTTTTCGAGTAACTCGGCGTTTGAAGTCGGTAAAAAATCGTTCGACACTCGGCTCGTTAGTAAACAAGCCGAGCTTGAGCTAGACCATGGATGCTCAGTTTGATAAGCTCGTGAGCTAACTTGACTCGGTGGCTTGTGGAACTAAGCCCGCGAGCTGGATTGTTTAGAGCTTGTCCGAATGATTGATTACTCTTCTGAACATTAATATTACCTTGTTAGTACCGATGTGTACAGAAGCTAGCTGTGATTTCCAATTTCTAGTGTTCTTTTTATCATTTAAATTTCTTATGTGTACACATTTTTCAGCAAGAATGATTTAAAATCGAGCTCATCTTGAGTCGAGCTTGTACTCAGCTTGACAAGTTGTGTTAATGAGCATTTATCGAGCTCTACCGAGTCGAGCTCGAGCTGAATCATTTTTAATCGAGCCGAGCTCGAACTGGATTATCAAAATTCGAGTTCGAGTCGAGCTCGAGCTAAAATATTTATAAACGAGCCGAGATCATACTAAACAAAACTCAACTCGGCTCGTTTACAGTCGTAACTACACCGTATCAGGTGGCTTATTATTTCTTTTCCTTTCGAATGAATCGTACGAGATGAATGGATAGTGATGATGTTCATTAGCCAATGTTGGGAACCACAGTATAATCCACAAGAGTTTCCGTTTTTTTCTTTTCTTCTTCTTTCTGTTTTGTATTATCCGAAAAGAAATAGCAAAAACATCTTGTTGAACAATCACGGAAAGCATAGTGATTGCGCATCAAATCATTAGTTTAATCGCTTTCAAATGGGAACGGCTACGGTGCTAATTGTACAATAGTTAGCACCGTCCTAACCAAGGGAAAAATTACTACTAGTTTGAATTAGTAGTGATTTAGTTTAGATGTTGTATTGATTTTATAATAATTCGTAGTGATTTCGTTACTTTTAGTAGCGTTTTTTGCTAGTTATCACGGTGCTAACCCCTATAAAGGTTAGCACCTAATCCCATCCCGTTTCAAATAGTTAGTTGAGTTATTTGGTTACCTAATATTATAAAAAGGGATTTGTTTCTTTGTAAGAACCCTCCACTTGAACTATAAAACTGCATTCCGGGATTATTTGGAGTGGTTTGGATGTTGGATTTGAAAAATGAGAGTTTTGAGTTTGGAAAACTTTTTAATATCATGAAGTTGTTGCTTTTTTCATCAAATTTGGCTTTCAATAAATCAAATCTCAAATGAAATGTGTGATTTGCATATCCGTGAGGTCCATGGATTTATGTCAAAAAAGTCCAAATCCGTGTCTTCCACGAGTCTCTGTTGCCAGTTTTTACCCCACAAATAACAGAGTTGTTCAAATCTATGATGCTTGGAATTTGGGTGTCAAATCCATCACCAAAATACTACAAGTAACGAACAAGGACTTGTGCTAGTGCTAATACCACTAGCCTAGAACCTGCAGGTCTCAGGTTCGAAATCCTTAAGTAGTACATTAATCACAAAAATGAAACTTATATCACCCTTGTAAAAAAAATACTACAAGTAAAATGACCCGTTAATAGTCCTAACTTAACTTTATCGTTCTAGACTTGAGTGACAACATGATTTAAACAAAGGCAGAAAGATGTCAATTCGAGTAAATTAAATCAGAAACAAAGAGATTATCTAGATTATGTTTCCCCTAGATCTAGCGGATATTTAGATCGTGTGAGTAAATTGACTCTTATGATGGATTTCACCCTATCCTATCATATATCTTTGTTTATCATATTTAATTGGCTATTACGAGTCATGCATATATATATCTCGTCTTAGATGCTTGTGCAGATCAACCGATTGATGATCGATTGTGAAGGATGGTCGTGTCTGGTATTCTCCAACACAAAGATGGTTTCGAAACTTATCATATGAGATGATAGCTTCGGTTTGGCATGCAATTGTCTTGACTCTTGATAGCTTCGGTTTTTGAATATTGACTTCTTAGAGTAGCTGGTGCTTCCTCAAAATTGGCTTTTATACATAAATTCCAAATCGGCATGTTTTTAGTCGGTTAAGTCGTCGATTTGGTCTTCTGGCCGTCAATTTGGTCGACTCATTTTGAGGTTGGTTTCCACTGCTGGGTCGTCGGAATACAAAAATGCAAAGCTCCAAGAAACGGCGTCCATGCCGCCAATTTTGGGCTCTAGATCCAAACTCCATTTATGAATTTTTGCAACGGGGTCTCCAACTCGCACATGATGGTCCACTAGAATGTTTTGGACAGAAAACACACGAAACATTATTAAAGTGCATCAAAATAGTGAAAATGATTCTTGGAGCTACTAACATTTGAGCATTTATCAAGAAAATCCAAGTTAATATGACAATAATTATGTTCTACACTAAATAGGGTATAAATAGTATAATTTATTTGTCATCAAATAACCTCAACTTGAACTTTGCTGATCCTAAGCAAACCATACTCTCAATCATATAACTCACCAAATCTCTAGGATGACACGTAATTTTCGATTATATGTAGTGGATAATAAGCAGCTTACAAGGTCAATCCTAGCACTTAGAGAATTAACTTGAACACATCAGCGAGATATATATCTCGTAAGAACAATTTGACCAATCTCCATCCACCACGAGCACTTAACTCAACTCGAGAGTCTAAAAAAGTATGGGGTGGAGCATTTTTTTCAAACTTTGTTTTACTTTTAAGCACATCTGCATCCTTGTTTCACAATGAAAGTTTTTGTTCTCTCTTTTGAATTATGTGCCAAAATTTTGCACTTTTTAGCACAAGTGGGTTTTTGCTTTATACTTTTGGACATAGGTACCATGACTGAGCAAGAGCAATTTTTGCGTCTTAGCACTCACTCGCATAAGGGCTTCATTTAACTCATTATCCTCAACCTGTGTCGAGTGGCAATGCTATAGAGGGGTGTCGAAAACTCTATACATGCCCACTAAGCACAATTATCAAACGACACTTCACTCAGTGGGGGATTATAGTAGATAAGCAATGTTGAACAACCGCAAATTGATGCTTGGTTTACCCTTATCATTTCCCCATGTGTAATGAGTGATTGTCTTACACATGGTATATTTTACCATACACTTTATTTTTTAAGCCAATTTTCTTTATTCCACTTGTCATATAGGCGATAGATTCATTGAAAATTTTTAAGGATAGTGACATGCATTGAATCCACACACATTGAATGGTCTTTAATTTCATGAAGGTGAGCTTACAATTACGAAGGAAAGTGTGGCATTATTCAAAATTTTCAATTTTTTATGCACAATGCACACATATGCCGGTAGGAGCATGAAGATAGTCTACAATAGCATATCTCACCCCACACTTTATAAAGGAGCAATTTCCTCATTGGACCAAACAATCAACGGGCATTAACAGATAGGCCAAACGCGAGAAGTAGGCAAAACTCAATAATTTCCAACAAAACTTCAAATAAACAAACGAAAACAGAATTAAAAGTGTAACATCCCAAACCTTTTTCTGACGAAGAAATTGTCCACTTCGGGTCTTGAGGGCGGTAGTTCTCCTACTATTTTATCGAGAAAATTCAATAAAATAAAGCAAAAAGAAAATATCATTATTGCACAAGTGTTTTCCTAGAATCAATCAAAATAGAGATCTATTTTGATGTTAGGTACAATACCTTAATTAAAAAATAAATTAATAATAGATTTTAATGTTGTGCAAGGTTGTCAAACCGGTTCATATCATTTCTCCGGTTTAACAAGTGGAATGGTTCGACCGGTTGTACAATTGGTGTGCCGATTCATGTTGGTTTAACAAAATATGTAAAATGTGAAAATCCGTAAGCAAGAAATGAATTTATTCATATATAAAATATATTTGAAGACAATTTATTTAGGATTGACATTGATATTCAAATAAAATGCGACATTCATAATAAAATTACAAACAATACTCATATTTAAATACAACATTTAACGTCAATACCTAAATGTTTATACTTGAATTCAACAAATAATATCAATATTTGACTTTTAAACTCATAAAATAAATGATAAATTAACTTTTTATTAATTGAATTCACTAAAACATCGTCATTTTGCTTAGAGATAGTAAATCGATCATGTCGAGCATACTTGTGGAGTTGTGGTGTTCTCGCCAGTTTCATGACCGGTACCAAGATGTTGTGTATCACAAACCAGTGTCCATGAAACTGTACCGTACCGGCGGTTCAACCACGAAATACTAGTATTGGAGGCTAAACCGGTAGACTGTATTTATCGGTATAACGATTGAACCACGATTAAACCACGGTTTTACCATAAAATACCCTACCACTGACTTTCTCGGTACGGTTTCATGGACCATGTCACAAACCACTTTTGCAACTGCAAAATAATGGTAGTATATCAGAAAAATAGTTCATTAACTATTGACTTAATCTCTGGTTCGGAGAGTGCTAACTGTCTCGTGGACTAGTCCCGAATTCCGTGGATACCACACAAATTAGTGTGCGTGTTCGTTTTGTTTATCGTTTCGCTTCTTCTCGTTTAGGTGATCTCGTTTGGTTAACATAAAACTTAAGAAAAAAAGTGGGAAACAAAGATGAGTCTGGTTTCTCAATTTTTTTGTTTTGTTTTTATTTTAGAAGGAATAAAGAGAAGGTGCTAACAATAATGTCGTGATAGCTAGGAAAACATCGATGTAGCGAGTGGATGATCTTTATTCCGTAGAAAAAAATTGTCTAGTAATTTGGTACACTTCATGGAGAATTGGAGTAAAAGTAAAATCGTAGCATGGTAAGTGGTTGTGATTTGTGAAGCATGAGCTTCGGTATCATATAAATTTTTTGTGAATGACTTGTTACTTGCTTTCATTTATAGGTTGAAGTCATATTTAAATAAGAGGAATAAATCAATTTATGTGATTATGCTACGTTTCTAGGAGGATAAAGAAATGTAGTTCTATTTTGAGATTGGAATAAATTAACCACAACAACAACGCAACACACTATAGTGAACCAAACCGAAGCAACAAACCAAAGAATACATAGGCAGCTGACACCTTACTGCGAGACCCATGGCGCAATGGACATAGGAAAACCGGCAAAGTAAAGGCCGTCGTCCTTGATCTCCCACGTAATTTCATGAAGCTGGGGCATCCCTTTCTTCTTCTGGCTTTCGTCGTATGAGTTGAAAGTGAGATGCTTCTTGCCGCGAGCTGTACTCACGTCACACCAGTAAAGCGTCGTGCCGAAAATGTTCCTCGAGAAGCTCCAGCTGTACACGTCGCCGGCGACCAGGCGACGGGAGCCCAGATCGTCGTCTTTGGACTCGCATCGCACCGTGATCTTGCGGCCTCTAGTCAGCTGATTCGAAACGTTGACCCGAATCTTGTACGACATGGAGGGGCTCGGCATTGCGACGATTGCCAGAAGAATCACCGCCAGTATTTTGGTCAACATTATATGTTTTTTTTTGGTTGGGAGGTGCCTTCTTCTTTGTGGTGGGTTGCTATTTGTAATGAATGTGTACTTTGATTTACAGCCATTGCCTTTTTTTATAGTCTTATTAATTAATTCCTTATTTCATATGAAGGGAAGCATTGGAATATTTGTGTTAAAAGTGTAAATGATGGTGTATACATAAAAAAGTCCAACTTCTGTTTGCTAAGAAGTACCCAATTTTGAATTTTCCCTCCAGCTATGCAGAGACTGTAAAACACGTTGCCTACTGCTGTAATATCCTTGGCTTGTTTTCTGTATCATATAGCAAATGAACAAATGATGCGGTAGTTTTTGGGTCAAGCCAATCTGTCGTTGACGGAAAGGGCGGCTCCCTTCCCCTGAGTTATTCTTTATCACGAGTACTGTTAAGTATTAAACATCACGTTTCAGAATATATACTTCTTCTTTGCTTTATTCTCTATTTTTTTTTTCTTTTAACGTTTGTTACCTTAGTCTCCTGGTTTCTAACTTAACTTCAGAACAATTTTTTTGTTTGGTAAGAACTTCAGAACAATTTAACATCACGTTTGAGTATACTTCTTCTTTGCTATTTCTTTTCCGATAATACAAAACAGCAGTGCTGTCAAAGCCTAACCGAGCCGCCCGGCCGGACCGCCAAAGCCGCCACCCGGCCGTAAAACCGGTTCAGATAAGTTATTTAACCGCTACGGGTTTATACAGCGGCCGGCGAGCGGCCAAAGCGGTTAACCGCTCAAGCCGGTCGCGCGGTTCGACCGTTTGGTTTACCTAAAAAAAAATTGAGAAGGCCAATGGTGGGTCTATGGCAGCCAAACAAAACCCTAACTTTCATTTCATTTCTTCGTTTTCGACCCTAGAACAGACTACAGAGGGAGAGCGGCGCCACCCTGCCGCCGTCAACTATCTTGTCCCAGCATCGGCGCTTCCCGACGGCATCGCCATCCTCAAGCAGCTCCCCGCTCCCAGCGCTTCCGTCCCGTCGCCATCGCCAGTCCTTGTCGTAGCAAGCTGCTCCCCGCTCCCGGCGCTTCTGTCCCCGTCGCCATCGTCGCAAGCAGCTCCCTGCTCCTGCCGCAACATCTCCCCCAACCACTGCCCTGCTCCAGCCATCTCACCTCCACAGTACGCAACATTTCCCACCATTTCTGGAATTGGATTCTTGAACTTTTGGTACTTATGTTTTAGAACTGTTAAGAGTTAAGACTGTAATTTACTAATTTAGTCATGGTTTACCAAGATTAATAAGTGTCCACTATTTATATTGATTATTTATTAGGTACCGGCTTTCTAACGGTTTTTAAACGGTTTAATGTCGGTTGGACCGCTAAAGACCAGCCGTTTGCATTATCGGGTCATATTCCGGTTCGCTTTTGACAACATTGCAAAACAGAAAGAAGAAGGAAAAGAAAGGATTAAAGGAACCCTTGTGGATTATATTGTGGTTTCCAACGTTGGCTAATGAACAATATTCATTCATCTCCTATGATAACGTAGAAGATGACTAATTATTTATTTTTCATTTTTTTTTATCGCGGCCATAAGAAGGAAGATTTAATTTCTTATTAGACTTTCTTCCAGATCATATCAGAGGGCACATTTTTTGTCCTGTATTTTGTTAGAGAGAATAAGAGATGTATATTGGTTGGCCATTTGTGCTTTGCAAATGGTCTCCTTTTTGCAGTCAATAAAAAGAGCAACTGATTCAACGGGAAAAAAAAGAGTAAGAGATGTGAGATTACTTATGCCTCTTATTATTAACATTAACTAGAATAAGGCTAACAACAACAATAGTAAAAAGAAGAAGAAAAATTAAATCAATTGCGTAAAATACTTAACTTCGTACTAAGAATTTACCACTTTCTTCCTTTCTAATATTCATTTATATTATTTGTTTCTACAATTTGATTCTTCTATATTCTCCTCGCTGACTCAATTAATTTCTCATAACATATTCAGGTGACTCAACTTATTTGATTGTTTTTTTAATATTTGAATTCTCTTAAATATCATTGTAATAATTTTTATTTATTGATTGACGATTTATTTACATTTTTAATATATTTTTGTGAAAAAATTGGACCACGTTTAGTTCATAGAACATGACCTCCATAATAGGAGGGGCGATCATGTGGTTATGATGATGCTTTTAAATATGTTAATTAATACTCGTGTTAGTCATTGGTCAATATTGGTCAATATTCTTATGTATATAGATGATATATTTGTATTCACCGTTTAAATCATATTCGTATTCTGAAAGCTCGATATGTGTTATAAAATGATACAATAAATTATTAATGGATTAAAGATGACGATGGATGATAATGATTTCTCGCATAATACAAAAAAATTGAAAAGTTAATAAATATTTTGTTTCAACTTATTTTTTTAAATAACGTTGTTATGGGCATTTTTATTCTATTTTATTAAAAAAAGGACCACATCTCGATTGTAGAATAGGGTCTCTTCTTTTAATTTCGGTATCTTACTCAGACAATTGAGAGTCCTTTGGTTTTTTGAGTATCTGGAGAGAAGTTGAAAGGAAATGAGACGAATAGATTTTGATCGAACTGAACAAATCCTGCTTATTGTTTGGTGTTTGTGGTGAAACGAGTGGTGGTAACGTTGACACTTGACAGGCCAAAATGATTTCGGCCCAATGGCTGCGTCTTCGAGAATGAGCCAAGGCCCAGAGGTTTGGCCTGTTTCTCTAAGTCGAGGGACTTCACTCCAACCAGCCATCCTTCTGTGCAGTAGTTTCTTTCTTTTCTTCGATCAAACACCTTCCGGCTTCCCCTACAACTTACGGGTGGTTTGGTTTTTGTAATAGTTTTTGTTTTTTAATAGTTAAATTGATGTATTGTCATTAATGTTCATACTATCATATGATCGTCGAGTTTTACTTTTTAGAGCATGAATTAGTCGGAGTTAACTCTAATGGGCAAACCCTAGTCCCTAATTCTCTAAACCGAATCACAAGATTTCGTTAATCTAAAAAAAAATCGACGGTGAAAAAATCGCACAAAAGTAGCTCCAAAAACTCCTGAAGTTGTACTCTCTCTACGATTCTCCCACTTTCTGTTTTCTATCCGAAAACTAACTCATTAATAGAAATATGCAAAGCCCTATTATACCCGATACTGGCAAAGTCACATTTGGACCGTGAAATATGACAAAAGAACACAACCTAGCATAAAATTTGCAGACGAGAGAAAATTTTCAAACTAAACGACCAAGAAAATTATCAAGATACAAAGGGTAAATATGTATACTTAAGCATGTATCGGCGCCTGCTGCCAGAAGCTTTCGAGATGAATCCTGGTGGCCAGAGGCTTTATTATATCGACTTCCACCGTGGTCAGATCCGACGTCAGGGAGTGATCGGAGACCGAGTCTTCGGAGAGCATTTCCCAACCTACCTCAACAACAATTGTTCCTGTTAACTTTAGATGATGGTAGGACTCGTCAATTAAAATCAGTAGCGGAGCAAGGAATCTGAACGAGGGGGGTTTAAAATCAGTTCAAATGCCAATTTGCTACTTGGGGCAAAGTATAGGTGTTTGGAAGTTGGAACTCTACAAATATTATTTTCATATTTTAAAGGCAAGGAGGAGCATCTATGCATTCACATTCAAATTCAACTCAATGGAGTCGAGGGTCAAATGGAGGCGGCTCTCTGGCTCACATAATAACACGCCCAATCCCGTGCTGCTTCGTCTCTCACCCACTAAACAAAAGCTTAGAGCCTGCTTGATCGCGTCGCGTGCGTGCCATAATCCGATCAAGAAAGAGAGAGAGAGAGAGAGAGAGAGAGAGAGAGAGAGAGAGAAAGCTGGGGCCGCTCATCATCCGAAACCAGTGGAGCAACTAGAAAAAGCCCTGACCCAGCCAAAAAATGACACTCTCCCCGTCGTCTCACCTGCTGCCACTATCCAACTCGCCATCGCCGACACCAATGGCTGCCTCTCTCGCCACCTCCTCCGCCGCTTCTCGCCTCCTCCTCCTCCCTTCCGCCTCCGCTCGAGCTCCACACTTCCGACTCTCCGCCCCTCACTCCACCGCTGCTTCCTCCTCCTACGCTTTCTCTCCTCTCAAATGTCGCCGCTACTCCCCTCTCCCCCCTCGCGCCTTCTCAAACCAGGTACGTCTCTTCACCTTCCTGCTCTCGTAGTTTCTCTGCCTGTTCGTTCGTCTTGTTTGATTTTTTGTTTTTTTTGTTTCTGTTTGCGGTTGTTGGAATTTGCAGAGGGCGTCTTCCATGAGCACTGTTGCCGCGGCTTCCGATCCTGCTCAGTTGAAGAGCGCGAGAGAGGACATCAAGCAGATTCTTAACTCCAAGTTTTGCCATCCGATTCTGGTAGTCCCTGTGTTTCCGTTTGGTTCTTCACTGGTGGTTTTCTGATGTTCTTGAACGGACTGTGGGCTTGATTGCATTTTCATTTCAACATTTGAAAACCAGGTTCGTCTGGGATGGCACGATGCCGGCACCTATAACAAGAACATCGAGGAGTGGCCGAGGAGAGGTGGAGCCAATGGAAGTCTCCGATTCGAGATTGAGCTCAAACATGCTGCAAATGCCGGTAACTTTCTTCTTCATTGAAAAAAAACATCTGCTCCAGTTTCTTGCCTTGCTTTTGAGGACAATGGCGTTTATTCGATCTGTTAATTGGGAATGGCGGATCGTATTTTAGGGCTTGTGAATGCGCTGAGTCTTCTTCAACCTATCAAAGAAAAGTACTCCGGTGTGACTTATGCTGATTTGTTCCAATTGGCCAGTGCTACTGCCATAGAGGTGGGTCGAATTTTACTCTAGCTTCAGTTACTTAGTATTGGCTCAAATAGGAAGTTTCATTATGAATTGTTGTTACTGATATTACTTGCTGCGAATTTTGATCATGTTAGGAAGCTGGGGGTCCTAAAATCCCAATGAAATATGGGAGGGTTGATGTGTCTTCTGCCGAAGAATGCCCAGAGGAAGGAAGACTTCCTGGTAATTTGATCTCCCTCTTGTTTGGTAATGGCCATAAGTAGATATCAAGTCTTTCGTCATCAGCATGCTGTAGCGGATGCTTAACTGTCTAAGCTTCGGCCAGTTTTAGTAATCATTAGCATAAATATTTGTTCAGAGTTTGTGATTGTTTTCCATTTTCATGTCGATAATTGAATGGTATTTTTTTGGGTACTTAGCTGCTGGTCCACCAAGTCCTGCTGATCATTTGCGGGAGGTTTTCTACAGAATGGGATTGAACGACAAGGTAATGCTGGTTCTTGATTCTGCCATGGATGGCTTCTCAAACTTACTTGTGACATTTCTTTCTAATTGTGTTATACTCCTCCATATTCAGGAAATAGTTGCACTGTCTGGTGCACACACCTTGGGAAGGTCCAGGCCAGATCGTAGTGGTTGGGGAAAACCGGAGACTAAGTATACGGTATGAAATTAATGTGTTCTCACATGAATATCCACACAATAGATCAGAAGCCTCCGTGTTTTATCTTCGAGTGAGCTCAAACGATTTACACCCACGGAATTTCTATTGTGAAACTGGTGCATTGTAAATATTCACATGAAAGAAAACAAATATAACTTGGTGTCAGGACATTTTTGCATTCCTTGTTTAATGCATCGCGTAGCACAGTAGAATTTACCTTTATGCGCTGCTAGTTAAGCTGTCAGTGATCTTACAACATGATGTGGATGATTTGTGGTGAACATCTTAAAGCAGTTTTGTTGAAATGCTTTCGTTTTGATCTTGCTGTCTAGACCTGAGCCAGTTGTTGGTGAGAGAATTGTAATTTCGATCCCAACAAGTATTGACTGCAGCAAGCTAGAAGCTAGGTGTAGCAATTTACATTTGTGTCTTATTGTGGCAGAAAAATGGGCCTGGTGCACCAGGTGGGCAGTCATGGACAGCAGAGTGGCTGAAGTTTGATAATTCTTATTTCAAGGTATGAATCCAGAATGTAAAATCTTACATTCCCTAAGAAAGCACTGGGACTATGAAGCGTAGAATATGAATTTTTGGGGCTAAGCATACACCTTCGTCTGCCTATGATATTTATAATAAATTTATGCAGGATATCAAAGCCCAAATAGATGAGGACCTACTGGTATTGCCTACTGATGCTGCTATCTTTGAAGATCCTGCATTCAAGGTGACAAATTTTGACTGATGTTCTAGATAGTAGGTCAGTTTTTCATACCAAAATGCTGTTCTCAGCTAAGCATCAATGGTTTCTGCAGGTGTATGCTGAGAAATATGCTGAAGACCAGGATGCATTTTTCAAGGACTATGCGGAAGCCCATGCCAAGCTCAGCAATCTAGGAGCCAAGTTTGATCCTCCTGAGGTATGTAAAGCCATAAATTCCTGAAAACAACTGGATTCATCTAGCAAAAGCTTCCCGGGTTGCATGAAGCCATGATGTCAATTAGATATCTCACTGGAGTGTGCAGAAAAATCTCTCCATCATTTACTTGTCTTGAGCGTAGGCCTTACTACCAGGGATCCCCAGGTTTTAAAATCGATAGTAAATCACAAGCACGAATGGTTCGAATTAGATACTGGGATATTTTACATATGGCGAGACACTTTACGTTCCTTGTCCTGCACGTAACAAGCTCCACATTTTCGACCTCCTCGCTGAATGATAACATTTACGACCTCAGTGAATGGTGAAATAACATGGCAACTAACGAATGCCTTTGGGAGCAGGGTATTGTGCTAGATGGCGTTCAGGGAGAGAAGTTTGTGGCAGCCAAGTACTCATCTGGAAAGGTTAGTACCCGTAGAAATGTTTCACTTTACTCTTCTGTGCAGTCTCCATTTACCACTGGTTCACTCTGATTTCACTCTGTCAGATTCTATTACATACTACACATTGTTCATTGTTTCCACTTTCTATGATTTGCTGCAGGATTAAGAATAAGAAAAAAAACAAGTAACCGGTATCATCATATAATAATATGAGGATGAGAAGATATATTGAAACCCTACCTATCAATATTCACAACTAAATCTCCGGAAGTCGAAGAAACACCGAATAAAAGGAAAATTTCGAAATGAGTGGTTGCGTATTTGAATTGCAGAAAGAGCTATCAGATGCAATGAAGCAAAAGATCCGTGCTGAGTACCAAGCAGTTGGTGGAAGCCCAGATAAGCCTCTGCAGTCTAATTACTTCCTGAACATTATCATTGTGATTGGTGTTCTTGCAATTTTGACATCTCTCCTGGGGAACTAGAAAAAGTTTTTGCGTGTTACATATTTGTATTGCTGATTGATACCAAGTATATTGCTTTGTTTGTTGCTCGTTGCTCCAATTCCGAGCCTTGTGTTTTATTTTTTCCTTTACATGCTGCATAGCTATACATTCATATATGAGCTAGTAGGACTGGTAAACGGTTATCCTCTTAGTGGTGCAATCGATAACTAAACTGAAACCGAAATCGAAACCAATGGTTAACGATCACATCGATAACTGATTATATAGTAAACGATCGATTTTCCGTGGTGAAATGCGATATCTATACATTACATGGGCCTAATGTTTGCGAACCAATGGGCCCAACCTTGATGCTCCCCCTTTCTGCTTATTGCAAGTATTTAAATTTGGCTTAATTGCAAGTTTGGTCACCCGAATTGCTTAAAAATTTCACGTTTGCCACTCAAATTGATTTATTCCATTTATAGTCACTCGAATTAGTTGAACAGTCCAAGTTCGGTCACTCTCCGTTAACCTTCGTTAGACTCCGTTAATGACGATCGTTAAGTGATGACGTGGCTAACATAATGACACAGTCAGCACATTTAAACATTAAAAAACGACGACCCGACCCGCCAGTTCAGCCTTACCAGCCCTGTCAGCCATTCTTGCCCAACCCGCGAACCAACCCAATTAATTGACCCTAAACCCAAACTCGAGACCCATTCCCAATTCTTATATCTACCTCCTTGTTCCCATCGTCTCCAGCTCCTCTCCACTTTACTCCTTTTCCTCCCATGGCTTCTTGTTGACTTCCGCCTCACCTTATTCTCCTTCATCTTCTCCATCCGGTTCCTCTCAATTCTCTCCCTGATCGCTCCGAATCTGAAGAAAATCGAAGGAGGAAAACAACAAATTACGGTTGACCTAATGAGTTTCAGGAAGGTCGACGATCAGATTGCGATCCAGGAAGCAGCCGCTCAAGGCTTGCAGAGCATGGAGCACCTGATCCGCGTCATGTCTCGTCACCAACAGTAGTCTAACAGCCACACCACCGCCGCCGATTATACGGATCTCACGGAAGTCACCGTCTCCAGGTTCAAGAAGGTCATCTCCCTCCTTCCGCCGCGCTCCCCTCCACCCTAATTCCTCCTCTTCCTCCTCCTCCTCCGCCCCCGCTGGCGCCGGATTGCCGCCGCTTTCGTCGTCCGCGGCGCCTTCTTCACCTTAATCAATCGCGGGTTTGGGTTTAGGGTCAACTAATTGGGTTGGTTCGCGGGTTGGGCAAGAATGACTGACATGGTGGGTAAGGCTGAGCTGGTGGGTCGGGTCGTCGTTTTTTAATGTTTAAATGTGCTGACTGTGTCATTCTGTTAGCCACCTCATCACTTAACGGTCGTCATTAACGGAGTCTAACGGAGGTTAACGGAGAGTGACCGAACTTGGACTGTTCAACTAATTCGAGTGACTATAAATGGAATAAATCAATTTGAGTGGCAAACATGAAATTTTTAAGCAATTCGGGTGACCAAACTTGCAATTAAGCCATGTAAATTTAGTGTCGTCAATTAGATCCCTAGAATTTACTGCGTACATCTAAAGTTCTAAACTCAACATGTCGACCTTTTCTGGTTGTTCCTTGGAAATGTCATTTAGTTGAACCACTTTCCCAGGTCTGCGATTCTGGTCTACTGAACGTTTCTTAAGCATGGGCCCAAAGTGGAAGGTTGCAGTTCAAACATATATATATATATATAGGTGACGTCTTCGGCGCACTCAGTTTTTTGGGTGCATTCAGTGCACTCGCTTCATAATTGTCATTTTAAACATGCGATTTATGTCAAAATGATGTCAATAATCACTTATGTTGTGATGAACAATAACGCACATGAATTTGCACAAAAAACCATTAAAGATTTACTTTAATTTAAAGGATTAGAGTTTAGAGATTTAGGATTAGGGTTTATAATTTGGGGTTTACGGATAGAACTCAAAATTTAGAGATTTACTCAAACAAACATTTTTCTAATAACTGACAGACTTATCTAAATAGTGAAACGATTCAGAAATCATGTTTCTAACAAATGCTACCAAGTGATTTTAATCTTGGACAAAACCTTGTGTTGATATTAACTATCTAATTCTTCATATACATGTTTTAAGACGCTTTTGTATGGGAATGAAATTTATAGCTGGTGTTCGCTTTGAGCCTCTGACTTATGCTGCGTATGCTTTTTGTGTTCGCTTATTGCGGTCGGTAGAGAACTTCGGATCTCATGAGTTAGGTGAGTTGTTTAATTTTGTCTATTTCAACATAGAATTTTTTTGTCAAACTTGCTTGGAACTTGAGCAATGCCCCTACACCCAAGCTTTCAGTCTTCCCGCGTTTTCTCATATAAACTATTCCCAACTATTCCCATGAACTATTTGTGTCTAGACTCAAACCTAATTTTCAAGTTGCTTGAAACATTCATACTAACGACTAGTTACAAGAATATAATAAAGGTTGGCCAGTCTTTTACTTTCTTATCAAGTTATCAGATATTATAAGACTAAGAAAATAGAGCAGACGGTTTGAAATTTGTGGATCAAATCGGTCTGCATAGTTTGATCTGGATTGTAGACATTAAAAAATGATCTGGTTTGGTCCATAATATGTTTTATAAGATGCATTGATCTCTTTGTTTGGTCTGGTCCAGATCGCAATCTACAAAATCAAACGGTAAACCCAACTCACTTCCTAATTCGTGTTAACAGCTTACCAGATCATTCTCTGAACTCATCAACAAAATCTAGGCTTCAACCCTTGCCAATTTTGCGAATCTCGTTGCCTCCTCCATTCATAAACTATACTCTTCCACATAGTAGAGCTGATCATATCTCCATATGACATTGTATCAAAATTATGGACAGGGGCGGAGCCAGGATTTGACGTTCGAGGGGGGTGGGGGGATTTTTTTTTATTCTACTACTTCGAAAAGCAGATAAAATTAACAAAAAATCTTTTTGCTATTATTATACCTGGCATTTTTAGATGATTAGAATTAATCAAAATAATTACAACTTATTTCGTGTAGACACAAAAGCGAATATATCATACCCATAAGTTTTATTGATGAATCCATTAGTTTATATGATTCTAAAATTATTATTGATTTACCAATTGTAATTGTAAGAGCAGAAAATGCATTTTCATCTTTGAGTCAGGAACGAAGACATAATTTAATGTTCCGAAGGGGTTTATTTGTTACTGCGAAAAGACAATAAAATTAAGCAAAAAAGAACAAAAAATTATATTTTTTAATATTATCATAACATAAATTTTAATCCATATAAAGTTTTTATTTCGAAATATAAAAGTTAAAAAACCATATTGAAATTAAAGAATTGAGAAACCATAAGATGAAAACGTAATGAGCAATTATGGACAGATTAAAAACTGAAAAGAAATATGCATTAATTATTGAGACTAAAAATTGAAAAGTAAATATGTGCATTTAATGGGTCTAACCTAATGAATGTAAAAACAAGTTCCCAGCAGCTGGACTATTTCACCTTCATGTTCCATTATTGCACACTGAACAATTTTATACAAGTTCATTAGTCTATACGAAATTTCCATATACCGGTATAATTTGTACGTAACTTCTAAAATTCTCGGGTGGGCCGGGGCCCCCCGAGCCTATGTGTAGCTCCGCCCCTGATTATGAATGCATGTTGAAATTTATGTTTTACGTAATAGTTTTTTTAATCTGTTATTGGTTCAAATTTTTGCGCGGTTGATAAACAAACTGTTCATTTTTCGCTCAATTATAATCCTTGTTTTGTACTTTAGCTTTTCGAGTTAGATCATAAATCGTATGTATGATCTAAAAGCGACATCATTTTCCGCACTAACTTATTATCCATTGTGATGACTTCTTCAACCTTTTGGATTCAAACATTTCCGCAGCATTTCCTTGTCACGGCCCTTTTTCTGTGGAAGTCGCATATCAAAATTTCATACCGATCCAATAACTCAGCCATCATTTTCTAACATGCGATTTGATATTATAGTGTATGTTCCGACATTCATATATTAATGTATTTCCAAAATGCTTGGAAATCAAAATAGATGCGTCTTTTCACTACAAAATTAAGAAGTATTGGGAACAAATGTTGGGGATGGTTATACTTGTTTGTCTTAGGGAATATAATTTTAAGTGAGAGAAGGGACAATTGTATATAGTTGTCTCCATAAAAATTTAAAAAAAACATATAATTTATTTCAACTCTATCTTCGATAAAAATTTCATATTAACCCAAATAGAGAACAAAAATACTATCTTACCAAAAACAAACGTAGTTGACAACTCTATCACAATCCTAAATTCTCAATCTCGAGCTTACGTACGTACATACACCCTTGTCCATACTAACCAGCAAAACCCACAAATCCACACACCGAGATTCAAGATTGAGTTCTCTATCTAAGGGATAATTTTTTTTTGATATAATACTCTTTTTGCTCGAATCTTTGGAAAAGGCCGCATTCAATACGCAATTCAAAAGAGAATGGAGTAGTGAGAGAAGAATTCTCTTTTACGTCGGGAGTTGGTTACCATATTGGGATATTGTTGGGAATGAAGTAGTTGAAGCTGTGTTAGCATTCTTTTACTCTGGTCGAATGCTATGTAGTTTTAATCATACTTGGATTGCTTTAGTACCTAAGACCACAAATGTAAGAACGATGAGACAGTTGCGGCCAATTAGCCTATGTCAAGTTATCTATAAGTTGATTGCCAAACTATTGGCAAACAGGCTAGCCAAAGTATTACCATCCATCATCTCTCCATGTCAAAATGGATTTATACGAGATCGTCAGATTGTGGACAACATATTGATTAGTCATGAAGTCAACTCATTTTTTAAAAAATCACAGAAGTGGTAAACGTTTCTTTGTGGCTCTTAAATTGGATATGGAAAAGGCCTATGATAGAATTGAATGGGATTTTCTCCTAGAAATGATGAAGAGATTAGGACTTGGTGAGCGGTTTATTTACCGGATCTGCCAATGTATTTCTTCTGTGTCTATTTCAGTTTTAGTTAATGGAACACCTTATGGTTACTTTCGTCCCTCTAGGGGAATACGTCAGGGTGACCCTTTATACCCCCTATTGTTTGCTATTTGTTCGGAAGGCTTCTCGGCCATGATTAATCAAGTGATTAAGGTTAGATTCCTAAGTGGTATTCGAATTAGTGAACCATGTCCTACAATTTCACATATTTTCTTTGCAGATGATTCCTTCTTACTTTTACAAGCGACACTAGAATCGTTTCATATTCTTCTATCTCTTTTAAATGCTTATGAAGGATTGAGTGGTCAGAAAACCTACATAAATCATCCATCCTTTTCAGTTTTAACACCCAAGATTCACTAGCATTGGACATGGCTGCTACCTTAGGAGTAGGCACAATTGGCGCAGAGGATCGCTATCTTAGGTTACCTACTCTGATCGCTCGATCCAAAAGTGACACTTTTCAACTAGTGGAGGCAAGAATTGCAAAAAGGCTTGTGGGATGGAAACAACGTACTATGTTCAAAGTGGCCATAGACACCTTAATACGATCAGTGTTATCTTGCATGCCAGAATATTATATGTCATGTTTCAAATTTATTATTGACCTATGCAAAAGACTTAATAGACTACTTTCCAAGTTCTGGTGGGGAGATATGAGACACTCCAATCACCCGGGTGCCCATTGGATTGCTTGGAAGGATATTTGTCAAAGCAAACAGCGAGGAGGTCTTGGATATAGAGACTTTACGATCTTCAACCAAGCGCTATTAGCAAAAGAATGTGGGAGAATATGGAAAAAACCAGACTCCCTTGTGGCTAAAATTTACAAAGATCGATACTACGCACAAATATCAATATTTGATGCCAGAATAGGAACAAACTCGTCTTGGGGCTGGCGAAGCATCCTATATGGTCGAGAACTACTCATTTAGGGTCTTCGTTGACAGATAGGAAATGGAGAGAGTGTCCTGGCACTATTAGACTTATGGTTGCCTTCATCACCCCCCTCACACCCTAATCTAAAAAAATGTAGCTATTACTGTAGAGCCTATCTTGGTATCCTCTTTGATTAGCCAACAATCAAGTTAATGGAGGACGAGTTTGATTAAGAAAATTTTCTCCCCTGAATCAGTATCTCTCATTTGCTTTCTTCCGCTTGCTAGAAACAACCAAGTTGATAAGAGAGTCTGGCATTACACTACAAATGGTGAGTACTCAGTGAAAACAGGATACCATATGGGCATCACCTTAGCTTTATCAAAAGGGGCAAAGAATATAGCTCAGGCAATGGATGAGGGATTATGAAAAAAGACATGGCAACTCCAAATTCCGTGTGGCAAGTTTTAAGAGTTATCCTACTGGCTATGGCTATCCTTAAAGCAAGAAAAGTTCTAGTTGACGAACTTTGCTTAGTATGTTGCCTTCAAGCCGAGACATTGGAACGCCTGTTCTTTACCTATGCATTAGCTACACGACTATGGCGAATGATATAGTTGGATAATATCCCCAATCAAACTGCGCAAGAAAATTTTAACACTTGGTGGCGGAGAATTATGTACTCTATCTACAACCCATATCAGATTCTACAAGTCGTTGTTTACTATGGAGAATCTGGAAATCCCGCAATACAATAGTTTTCGAAGATACTCAATTACTGTCATCCGTACTCGTTGCTCAATTTTCCCACCAAGTACAAGAATTCTCCTCCGCCTACCCATTTGTTCCTCCTCTACCACCACTGCTCGTCCCATCAGTGCCTCCGTCCTGGTCTCCTCCTTCTCTTGGTCACCTAAAACTCAACTTCGACGTTGCTGTCCATCCCTCTCAAGGTAGCGCCACGGGCTTGATGTTACAATCTGCAGACGACCGTACGCATCTCGCTATTGGACTTCAACACCCTGGGATTGGAAACCCCATACCTTGATGAGCTACTAGCTTCCCGAGATGGTTTAACTTTGATTCGACGCCTTGACCTACATGGAGTCATACTGGAAGGGGATTCTGAAGTCGTCATTCGCCAGCTACTCAGAGTAAATAGAATCAGATGCGATTGGAGGCCCGGTGCTTAGAGATTGTCGTCAGATGATCGCTGCTCTAGACATAGGCTTAGAGGTCTGTGCGGTTCCTAGAACTGCCAATCGGGCTGCCCATAGTGTGGCAAGAAAAGCCCTTTCTCTGTCTAATGTAGAGTTGCTTTCATTTGATTTTGTTTCTTAGGTAAGACAGAGATTTACAAGAGGGCCGTGGTTGATGCATTTCTTGTATTGTATTGTCATATCTCCGGTAAAAAGAAAAACAATACACAATTCAAAAGCTCATTATTCTTTTAACTACATACTCTTCCTGTTATCCTTGTCAAAAAAAAAATACTCTTCCTTTTATATCTCGATGCTCGGAGATCTCTTTTGCTAGTTCCATATCATGCCTGCCGAATGAAAAATCGATCTTTGTTGCTCCAGGCGAGATGTACAGCTCTGAGACGAATAAGCTATTGAGGCATGGGTCAATTTCCCCCTCGCAGTCGTGCAGGCCAGTTAAAAGCAGCAGGCCTTTGTGCCATGCTGTTGACGAAGAAGGACTCGTCACTGTCTTTTGTATGCTCCGGCCACTACCATATGATTGTCCAAGCTATCATTCCATTGAACCCAAAAGCCAAAAGGTGCGGTCCATGATTCTGAGCGGCTGAGTACATCTGAAAAGTTCGTGGAAACGCAGAAGCTGAAGAGCCCTAATTGACTGTGTTTCTTTTGCCAAATACATACATACATGGCGCGGTGAGAAAAGAGCTAATGCGCATTGAGGAATCAACATCAGAGAAGAAAAGGGTATAACAAGAACAGCAGCAGCAGCAGCTTTCCCTGGAGAAGGGCAAAAGTTACGTGGAAAAGTGGGTTAAAAAGTAAAGTGAAAAAAATGGAAGAAAAGGACATGCAGAGAGTGGGTGAAAGAAATTATACCTATGGGGGCCATTTTTGGTGAAGCACATGGGTGGTGTTTGTGTTCTTTCTTTAATCCCCCTCTAAATTTTTACTGCATTTCAACGAACAATATATACTCCGGGGAAATCTTGATTTCGAGCTTTTTGCATTTACTTTTCATCTTTAATTGAATGTGCTTGGTTGAAGAACCTTGCTCGATGATCATGGTGTCCCTTCTTTCCATGATGAAACTAGTTGGGACGTAGAAGAAAACCTAGACATGAGATGAGACCACCAACAACAAGAGAAACTAAACCCAAGCTACAATCTTCATCCGACAAAATGTTTGTAGTCATCAGATTACTACGTTGAGTTTCATATATATATATATACATGATGGCAATTTCGATCCGATCCGTTGTTATAACGACCCGTTTCATCTGTTTACCTGCCTTGTAAAAGGGGTCAGACGGGGCGAGCATTAGTACTCTACTCAACCTGACCCACCCTGACGTGACCCGTTTTGCTATGATTATATGTAACTTTACTTAAATTACTTAGAATTTTACCTTTATTACACTATTTTTAGCTATAATAATGTTGTGAATAGGTGGAAAGTTGAAACTCAACGTTTTGAATTATTATAATTTAGGGTTACCCTAATTGTTAGTCAAACCTTTCTCGCCTTCTTTTTTATTAGCCAAACCTATTAAATTACTACTAATTAGCCAAATCTCTTGTTATGTATCAAAATAGTAGTCATTTTTATGTTATGGTTAATAAGTTTGTAACTTTTTTTCTTAGTTAAAATGCTAAAGCTTTGAAATGTTGAGCTCCATGTGTCTCTTCAAAGTCCGTATCATGTCGTCAAATTAATATTACTCACAAAACTGTTAACCGAAAGGTAACATTTAGCTAATTATTAGTAATTCAATAGGTTTGCCTAATAAAAAAGAACGAGAAGAAGATTTGGGTAATAATTAATGTTAACCCAATAATTTAACTACATCTATCATGCCATAATTTGTTTTTTTGACTTATTAAAGATAAAATCAATGTTTCAAGTGTTTTTTTTTTAATTTATATCCTATATATGGGTCAATCTAACTCGACCCATATTGTCTCGAACTGCCATTTTCATTCCTACCATATACCTTTCATAACTTTAATTGTCAGTGTCAAGTAATTTAAGCTTGTAGATATCACAGAGGAAAATGGCATTCTATAGGAATAATTTATCACTTTCTTTTAGATAATTATATCCAACGTTTGAATGTAGAAGGATCTACCAATGGGGAATGAATCTACTTTTGCACCAACGAGCAAGCAGAGTGTACAGTTAAGATTGGCATGTTCAAATGTTGGGCGACATACCCGCCAACTTCTCTAGGAGTCTCTGCCTATTTTTCAGGGTAATTTGGTGGGTATTTACAGGAAGTTCACCCAATATGTCACCAATCTTGATGTCTTTTTGGTTTATATCAAGAAAACAGAGGGTGATTATAAATCCGTTTAGATTCAAAGATTGTCTAGAAACAGCATCTCAAATTCTTTGACTGCCAAACACGAGAATCGTTGACTCGCACTAACTACACATTTTCAATCGAAGGCCAAACATAACCAATGATTAGGTGCAATATAGGGTAAGTAAAGTAATATAGTTTTTGAATTCACGGATCTCTAGATGTACCGTTGCTTCAACTTAGGTTCGTTGTCTAGCCAAACAAAAATAGTGAAAACTAAACTAACTACACTAATCTAACCACTACTCTAATTAATTATAAGATAGGAGCTCACGTAGGTATGAATCCCCTAATTCCTCAATTGGACCAATATTGAGTACTACCTTAGATTGATGACTCGATACTTCTACCGCGGAGAATTCTATACTAGATTTCACCCCAATTCGAGGTATCCAACCCCGCTCAATTGCTCTACTTGGAGAGGCTACTGTACAACCGACATAGGCGAGTTGTTCACAACCAATTCTCATGAATGGAAAAAAAAACCCATTATGACATCATTGACCCAATCACAATCATTCATAGACCCACGATGATGAATTAGTAGTGCTCTATTCAACCTAGGAGGATATTCTCCCTCCTAGGTAAAAACCCCTCAAATTGAGGTATGGGATCAAGATCCATCAATTGCATGAAATACTCAATTCAATAGATAATAGAGAATCACAATCATAAGTTTTGTCACATACATCGACAATCAAACCAACATCTAGACCTACGGTTCATCAACCTAAGTGAATGAGAGCAAATTCATAGAGAGAATAGAATTTACAATACAAAGCTTGAGGTCTTCATTCTTCATCTTCTAGACTTGATTTCCTTGCTCCGAGCTCAATTCAAGGCTCCAATTCAGCCACAAGATCACTATTTCTAGAAATCTCCCTTTGGGTGTTTTAGGGTGAAAACCCAACTCAACCAAATTCTCTCTAGCTCTCCCCAAGCTATCCCCTAAAAAACCAGCAACAACTTTATAGTTTGCAAAAACAGGCCTAGCACGGGCGTGAAACACAACCATGTTCTCTGGCCGTGTTCATTCCTACACTTCATTGTTTAAGTATTCCAGAAGCAGACCTAACACAGCCTGGGAACACGGTTGTGTCCTAGGCCGTGTTCTCAGTCTTCATCAATCAACACCGTTTTGGATCAGGCTCATAGTTTTTGTATTGATGTCAAGGTCTTGGAGATTGCGACCCTTGCAATTGCCCGCGAAATGTAGTTTGACTTCTATCTCTTAGCATCGTACATAAGCCGATGACACGCGTATTTTCTTCATATGGAAAAATTAGTGAATGTCTTGGAACTTAGTCGTGTCTTGTGTTGTGCTAAGGAACACGGGGGAGGAACACGACCATGTCCCTGGCTGTATTCTCTCTGAATTCTCCTTTCAATATTTTCTTGCTCTATTCATCCTAAAACTCGTTCATCGGCTTCCACTACGTGCTAGGACTTCAAACATAATAAAACGAGGTACCACCTAGCGTAATATAAGACAAGGAAAGCTAAACAATATGTCAAGCGATCAAGAAATGAAGGGTCAAACATGCACATTTAGCCTCGAATCAAACCCCCAACACTTAATTGTTTGCTTGCAGCGGCGGATCCAGAATATAGTAGAGCACTAGGCTGCATTTCATTAGAAGATTAGATATCGTAAAAAAATAATAACCATAGTTTTTTTACAATGTCAATTGTACATGACGGTATTTAATTTAGTAAATTCATCAATAATGGACTCTACATCCATACCAGTAGCATACTCTCTTTCAAATAAAATAGTTAAGCAACCGCCGAGAAATTCAACGGTCATTTTGTTGCGGAAATCAGTTTCACACGTTTCATTGTTGAAAATGTTATCTCCTTAGTTGTCATTGAACGTGCAACATCAACACTAGACAAATCGATCGACTAATCAATTTATATTGTGTGTGCATCTCTTATTTCCATCGGATGCTCTAGTAATATTTCAAAATTCTAAATTTAGCCTTGAACGTGCAACATCAACACTAGACAAATCGATCGACTAAATTTACCGATACCGTGTCCGGTAAACCGACTCCCCCAACTTCCCGCTCGGCTGCCGATACCGCCGGTAAACGGTTTGTCACATACATCAACAATCAAATCAACATCTAGACATAGGGTTCATCCACCTAAGTGAAGAATAGCTAATTCATAGAGATAAGAGAATTTACAATACAAAGCTTGGTATATTCATTCTTCATCTCCTAGGCTTGATTTCCTTGCTACAAGCTCAATCCAAGCCTCCAATATCACTCTAGATCTCTCTTTCTCTCTCTAGACATCCCCTGTTGGGTGTTTTAGGATGAAAACTCAACCAAGCTCTCTCTAGCTCTCCCCTCAAAATCCAGCATAAGCTTTATAGTATGCAGAAATAGGCCGAACACGGTAGCAAAACACGATTGTGTGTCATCGTGCGAGTCATTCTTTAAGTATTCTAGAAGCAGCCCTAAAATGACATTGGAACACGTGCTGATGTCCTAGGTCGTGTTCTTCAGTCTTCATCAATCCACACCGTTTTGGGTCGGACTCACAATTTCCGTGTTGATGTCACGGTCTTGGAGACATAGTTCATATCATGTTATTTCATGATAATTAGTATATAAGCAACTAACGACACCTAATTGATCTTTTAAATTGTAAAACGAGACATATTTGCTCACATACTAAGAGTCTTAAAACATCGAATGAGGTGAGATATCTAGTTTAACAAACTTATAAATTATCAACAAATACAACTCATAAGATATAGATGGATTCACTCATAACTCAGTAGTCGAGTTGGCTCTTTAGTTACAAAGACATCTCATGAGCTCAAAACGAGTCAGCTCATGAGTTGAGCTCAACAAGCCTCCAACACGAGAGCCGGTTTGCAAGCCTTACGAGTTGAATACGACTCAACTCAAACACAACTTGTTAGTAAACAAGTCGCGCGCTCATAAACAAATCGGCTCATTTGTAGCCGAGTTGCCCTAAATGACCGGCCATTCATGATGATTTGACCCCTCCAACCCAGTCAGAATTTCACCCTCTGACTCAGATCAGAAAAGACGTTTTTTTTGCTTTGCTCAAATCCCTGACCCAAACCGCTGCCCTAACCACACGCATCTCTAGGACCATACTTACGTGGGTCCTTTTCCCTCTCATTTAAACATTACATCACACCGCAGAGAATTCATTTTTTTTTTTAAGATTCCGCATTTCCTCTCTTTACATTTATTCTATTAATTTTAATTGGCTAAATTACACGTTTGGTCACTCAAATTACATAAATCTTTCACGTTTGCCACCCGAATTACTTTTCTTTCTACTTCGCCACTAACTTTACGATTCGTTTCACCGTTAGTCACCGGCCGTTAGTCTCCGTTAACTCCGTTAGTTTTTTGCTGACTGGACCGTCAACTTAATGACATGTCAATTTAAAAAATTAAAAAATTAAAAATAAATGCCCTTTTCCCCTTCCACGTCTCTCTCACTCATGCTCAACCCTTCCCTTCTTTTTAGAGCAGCAGCTGCTCAAGGTTTGAGAGAGATTGGGTGCATATCTGATAATCCACAAGACACAACAACAGCCACCGACCTCCGACCAAGTCGTGTTTCTCCGTGGACCACCGAAACTCAATTACTTCCGGCCGCCATCGCCGTCCAACTAGAGGTAGCGGCAGCGCTAAGAGCAAATGTCCCTGCATCCAAAAGTAAACTCACTAGATTGACAATGTCCCTGCATCCACCCCCAAATTACTCACTGAATTCAATCCTTGAATTAAATAGACTATATTGGATTGGGTTTCTATATAATTAATTCAATTTCAATTGAATTGGAACAGTGCAGGGGGAAATAACCCACCTATAAGGAGGAAGGCGAGGGAGACGTCGTGGCCTCCACTCTCCCGGCGGGCTGTGTAGTCGTCGATTCTCTGCCGCTGTCTCAAAGTCACGCCACCGCCAGACTACCTCGACACCAACATCGCCGCCGGTCCCTCCTCCCGCCAAGGCGCGGATCCGGACACCAAGCTAGACCATCGCTGGAGATCTACTCCTTGCCAATCGTCCCCAATTACTTGAGGACCCACGACGAGCTCGAAGCAGAAGGCCTAGTCAACGCTTCGTCGAAGGCTCCTTCGACGGGTTCGTTCCTGCCCAGGCTAATCGTCGCACTTGCACTCGTCATAGATCCTCGCCAACAGCTCATCCGCCGCTATTTATTGCCTTGCTCGGGTCGCAGAAAGAAAAAAGAAGAGTAATGGAGTAGGGCGCCGTTTGGAGGGTTTGAACATGAGTGAGAGAGACGTGGAAGGGGGAAAAGGGCATTTATTTTTAATTTTTAATTTTTTTAATTGACATGTCATTAAGTTGACGGTCCAGTCAGCAGTTCCGTTTGCCACGTCATCAAAAAACTAACGGAGTTAACGGAGACTAACGGCCGGTGACTAATGGTGAAACGAATCGTAAAGTTAGTGGCGAAGTAGAAAGAAAAGTAATTCGGGTGACAAACGTGAAATATTTATGTAATTTGAGTGACCAAACGTGTAATTTAGCCAATTTTAATTCTCATTAATCTCTTTCTCTCTTTCATCATAATCACTGCTCCCTCGTCCTCCTGCTGCTGGGTAAAGAAGACAGAGGAAGAAGACGGAAGAAAGCCCATCGGAATAAGCAGCAAAAGAAAAAGAAACCCTCTCATCTTCTCCGATCTCCGATCTCCTGCATGGACGGTTCTCCGCTCCTCTTCCCTCCAATCTCAACGGTCAGATTTCCCTCCCTCTCTCTCTACTGTTTCATTCCTCCATTTTTAATTAACTAATTCATTATAATTACTGCGATCTCCCTTCTTCTTTCCCTCTCCTGCTCTGATATTGATTGTTTTCCGTTTCTCCCTCCCTTCACCTAACCATCACTTTCCTTTCCCTTCCCTGCCCTCTTCCTATTTTGATTTCCTTCCCAATTTATCCCCTCTGCAATATATATTCTTAATTAACAATGTTTCCTTTGTTGCTGCTTCAGCCGTCTTCGCCATGAATTTCGTCGTGATATCCTGCTCCTCCCCTGCTTCTTCTTCTTCTTCTTCTTCTTCTGCTTCTTCTGCTGCTGCTGCTTCAGTTTCTGCTGCTGGGTCGTTGGGTCAATGGGTTGCGGAGGTTCCAAGGTTGACGACCTCCCGCTCGTCATCCTCTGCAAAGAGCGAAAGCAACTCATCAAAGCGGCATCCGACCACCGCCTGGCCCTCGCCGCAGCCCACCTCTCGTACTTCCATTCCCTGCACGACGTCGGCGACGCCATCCGCAAATTCGTCGACGAGGAGCTTGTTTTGGGGACCTACTCTGCTTCCCCTGGATCCCCTGTTCTCACCCTTCCTCCCCGCGGCGGCGGCAAATCGAAACCCAAATCCAAATCCTCTTCCTCCACGACCTCGATTTCCCATTCCTTCGACGGCGGCGACGACAGCTACCACGGTAAGACCCAACCCAAGAAGATCAAGAAGAAGGCCAAAAACCACCACCACCACGACCACCACCGCGATCTTCACGAGGACCACGACGACGACGAAGATTCCCATCTGCATTTGTCGTCTTCCTCCGGCTCTGACTTGGACTCCGACTCCGGTCACACCCATTTCCACGACCACCATCACGAGGGGCCAGAACGAGAGAACCTTGAATTCGCAGCTCAGTTTGAACGCGGTGGGAGAGGAGGCGGAGGTTTTGAGATGCCGTCGACTTCCTATGGGGATTTCAACAATTACCCTGCTCGGGGCAATTGGGACGGCGGCGACGGCGGTGGGGGAGGCGGTGTAGCTTTTGAGATGCCATCGACTTCCTATGGCGACTTCAACAATTACCCTGGTCAGGGCAATGTGGGCGGCGGCGGCGGCGGGTATGGCTACCCTGGCGAAGGAATGCCGTATCCCTACCCATACCCGGATCCGTACCCGAACCCGAACTCGTATCCGAATCTCGGCACTTACCCGAATCAGAACATGTATTACATGAAAAGGTCCGCAACCCCGGCGAAGACGGTCGTCGTCGAGGACCCAGCAATGGTAAATGGTTACTGGGGGTCAAGTAATTATTTCGGGAATGGAGGAGGTAATTACTTTGGTGGTTATCCGATGATGGGCTCGCCGCCGCCGAGGGAGCCGAGCCCACAGAAGCCTCCGCCAGCGCCGCCATCTCCTAAGGCGTCGACTTGGGACTTCCTCAACGTGTTCCCATCATTCGATAATGGTGGTTCCGGTGGCTTCCCTGGTTATTACCCTTCTGATAGATATGCTTATGGATCAATGACGAGTAGTCCCGACTCCAGAGAGGTCCGAGAAAGAGAAGGGATTCCTGATCTAGAGGACGAGACTGAGCATGAAGTGATTAAGGAAGTTCCCAGAGAGAAGAAGAGAATGAACGAAGAGAAAGGAATGAATAATGGGAAATCCAGATTCAGTGAGGAGTTCCTGCACAGAAATTATGGTGAAGGGACTTCAAATCCAGTCGCTGTTGATACCAGCAGCAGTGAGAGTATGCATTCTGTGAAAGGCAGAGGGAATTTTAGCGGGATTGTATCGAATAAAGGTAAAGGCATCAAAACTAGTATGAGCCCTGATACTATTCGGAGTCCAGATAGCATTGTTTCAAGGAGCCCCGAGGAAGAGGAGTTCGTCAAGAAGAAAGGTGTCACCTTTGAGGTGGAGGAGGCATCTACAGTGACTGCGGATGTCGAATCTTCAAAACCCAGTAGTAGCATGAACACATTGTCAGCTCATGGAACTAGGGACATTCAGGAAGTAGTGAAAGAGATCAGGGATGAATTTGAGACGGCCACTGGGTATGGCAAAGAGGTCGGATTTATGCTCGAGGTCAGCAAATTGCCTTACCAACAACGAAGTACTCCGCTTAAAGGTATAAGTTTTTCCTGTTTGCTTCAGTTCTCACCAGAAATCATGATGAATGCTGGATATTTACTTGGAAGGTTGGGACTACTGTACAATGCTGATATGCATTGGTAGCTCAAGAGGTTAACATTCCTTTCATTTCATATTGGCAGTAATTCTGTTGAGGATTCTATCTATGAAAGCTCAAGCCAAGCCATCGGTTCAAATTTCGTCTAGGGTGATTAAAATTGCAAAGATGTACTCTGAACAGTCTGTAAATGAGTTCGAGATTCAACCAAGAAACCTTTCGTCCACTCTCGAGAAGCTCTACGAGTGGGAGAAGAAACTGTACAAGGAGGTTAAGGTATGTTGCAGCTTTTGTTACTTGTTCGGCTTTTGAAGTTGATTTGAATTCTTGTTCAATAGGGACATAGGTTGATTTAGTGATGAACTTTGCGACTATTTACCTTTTGCTTGCTTTGACTATGGAGTGGGTTCTTTCTCCCTCTGTCTTGAGATACTTTGTTAGCCGGATGATTTAACATTTATTTTCGTGAGCACATCTGGGATTGCATTTTGAATCTTTTCGCTACATTGTGAGGCTGATGATATGAAGACACATACTAGCAGTTGTTTAATCTCAGAATTTGGACTTCAGTTTGTAAACTTTGTATCCATGTTACAACTTGCACTTAGTCACTTATCATCTAGTGTTACTTCCTTTTTCTTTTAGAGGAACCATTGCTAAAAGTATATTTCCTTCCTTGTGTGGTTAGCTTGTACATGGCCGTGTGTCGTGTATTGGATGGTAATATTTTGATAATAACAACAGTTGTTACATGATGTTACTTCTCAGTTCGCTCACAGTTTCTGAGCCCCTCTTGCTATTATTTTAGGATGAAGAGAGGCTACGGGTCATATATGAAAAGCAATGCAAGAGACTAAAACTTTTAGATGAGCGTGGTGCAGAGTCTAGTAAAATTGAGGCTACACAGGCTTCGATAAGGAAGTTGCTTACAAAACTCAATGTTTGTGTCAGAGCTGTTGATTCGATATCTAGCAAGATACACAAGATACGGGATGAAGAGTTGCAACCCCAAATTACTGATTTGATCCATGGGTATGTCCTTGCTCTCTTTATCTCTCTGTTGGTTCAAATATCAAGTTATGTACTGTTAGGTGCTTAGTGTTTTGGTTCTTCAAGCATACTTGCTTGAGAATGTAAAATTAAAAGGTTAGTTCCAGGATGGTTTGGCAATTAAGCTAGCTTGTAATGACATACGAGTTCGATGAAGTGAAAGACGTAGTTAGTTCATTGCTGTTGCTTCTTTTAAGGTGCAATCTTCAATATTTATGATCTATTTCGGAATTTATCTTCCGTACTTTTCTGGAGCATCGTGTGTCATTTTTGAAAAAGTTATCAGACACCTTTGGAAGTGCACTGAAGTTTTAAGTGCTTGACACTGGGTTATCTATGATCCATCAGCTGTTTATCCTGACGCTTTTGTCTTTGATTCTGTGATTGATTTTATCTGGGTTCAGATAGCTTACTTCAAGATTTAAGAGCATTATTTCAATTACCAATTTTTTCTCACTTTTCAGATTGATAAGGATGTGGAGATCCATGCTCAGGTGCCATCAGAAACAGTTCCAAGCTATCATGGAGAGCAAGGCACGTTCTCTAAAGGCCAACACTCTGCAGAGAGATTCAGGTCTAAAAGCTACTCTTGATCTCGAAATGGAGCTTGTGGAGTGGTGCACTCGGTTCAACAACTGGATCAAGACTCAGAAATCTTACATCGAGTCCTTAAACGAGTGGCTTTTGAGATGCATCCACCAAGAACCTGAAGAAACAGCTGATGGAGTTGCACCTTTCTCCCCAAGCAGAATGGGAGCTCCACCCATTTTTGTGATTTGCAACGATTGGTACCAAGGCATGGTTAGGGTTTCCGAGAAGGGTGTGGAAAGTACAATGCTTGATTTTGCTTCCAACTTGCAGCAGCTGTGGGAGAGACAAGACCAGGAACAGAGGCAGAGGATCAAAACCGAGTACCTGAAAAAGGATTTCGAGAAACAACTGAGGATGTTGAGAACCGAGAGGGGCAGAATCGAGCAAGAGAGAGATGCGTTGTCAGATAAAACCGCAGTTTCCAAGGTTCCTTCAGAGAGCGGAGTTTCGCCACTGGATGATCTGAAGGTGGATCTGGATTCTATGAGGAAGAAGTTGGAAGAGGAAAAAGCTCGTCAGAAGGAAGCGACTAAGCTGGTTCACGACGCTGCTTCTAGTAGCCTGCAAGCTGGTTTGCTCCCGATCTTCGAGGCTCTGGGTAACTTCACCTCAGAAATTTTGAAAGTTCATGAGGATGTTAGACTCGTTGATGGAGCCTCGTAGGATGTCACCAGGACCTTTAGTTTACATTTTAGGGAGCCCTTTTCAGAGGAGGCCCTATTCTTCTTCTGTGTACAGTTATCATGAGATTGAAATTCAGATACCCTTATTAGGGTGTGCAGCTAAGGATATTGAATAGCAGCAGCTGCTGCATTGCAGAGTTGTGAAACAGTGGAGTTTGTTGTGACGAAGGTTGATGATGGAAGATAAGCTGTCCACGGAGAGCGAGGTTTCTTGAGCTAATGTTGAGTTAAGCCAGTTTTCTTGCAGCCCCTATTACTAGTTGTAGTCTTTAGATTTAGGAAAATTTTGTACAGGGGAAATTCATTTGTTGGTGAAATTGGTTCGGTTGGTTGGACGGGGTGTATTTATTTATTTCTGTTGTTGTAATCTGTCTTGTTTAGGGGAATAGTGGGGGTTGGATGAAAGTTAGGAGACCAATTGTGTGGAAATTGCAAAATTTTGACTTGGAAGTTGGGAATTGATTTTGTCTTATTAGTAATGTTGTTAGAACCGAACCGGAGCATGACCCGGTAATGCAAACGGCTCGTACTTTAGTGGTCCAACCGGCATTAGACCGTTTAAAAACCGTTAAAGAACCGGTACCTAATAAACGTTATCAGTACAAATAGTGGACATTTCTTGATCAGAGCTCGTTTCTTTCCTTCGAAATTGTGAAATGGAAATAAGGATTCAGTTAGAGAGCCCAACGTTTTTGGTTTATTTTAATTTTTTGCAATTTTTTTAATTAAATTTAACGGCTGAATGGCAATAACCGGGTGAGCGGCTCGATCGACTCGAACGGTTAACCGCCTCAGCCACTCATCAACCTCTATATAAAACCGGTCGGGCCGAGCGGCTCGGCTCGGCTTTAATATTAGTGTTATTATTCAAGGCTGCCTTTAGGCTTTAGGGTTTGTGAGCTTCGTACGACCACAGTTGGTGCAAGTTTAAACAACTCTAACACGGTTTTTTCTAAGACCGTTTTTTTCTTCTGGAAACGCTCAATGCATGTGTTCTGAATTGGATGGAGTAAACTAATAATGTTCTTCTGATTCAGTAATGTCACAATAGTTTTGTGATCGTCAAGTGTTAGGTTCAATTGTTGATAATATAACAGATGTGATTTAATAGAGTTATAGATTTTGGGGAGAATACATATTACAGAACTGAATAAACAAACAAATTAACTTAATTGACATGATTATAGATTAGGATCTCAAAGAGTATATAACCCTTTAGGCTTTAACTAATTCTAAACCTAAATTGAAACACTTTTCCCAAATCTAAAAACACTTTCCCCAAATCTAAAAACGAAAAAAACCCAACCCAATTTTCAAACTTAAAATTAAAACCCAAGTGTTGGTAGATTTTGTAGCGGAGGGAGTTTTCGAAGCAGGGGTGGAAGCGGAGGAATGATGGCAAGTTTACGTGGATGGTGTAGCAAGCAGAATCAGGCTGGAGCAAGAATTGTGATTCTTAACTCACTAGGCGCCATGTAAGAAGTTGCATTGAGCTTCACCACTTTGAAGACAAATAATGCAGTCGAGTACGGAGATGTTATTGATGGTCTCCATATGGCTAGGGAACTAGGCGCACAAAGAATACAAGTGGGCACTGACTCGGCCCTAGTCGTCAACCAGCTGAATGGTGTATACGATGTCAGCGAGAAAGCAGTGTTTGTGTACTTGCGAGGTGTCTGAACAAAGAGCGCCTGGTTTCGGGAAGTCACATTCACACACGTTCCAAGAGAAAAAAGTACGCATACTAACACACTATCAAAGTTAGCCATGACATCCGACTTCCAAACAAAAGGCAGGTCATGATAACAAAGGAGCACCCACATAAGGACTTGTTGGTGTCAGCAATAGAGGAAGGAGGAAGCGCTCAAGACGCTCAGAGGATGGCACCAATATGGGCTTACTTGTCACATGGTGTAGTCCCCACCGAGGGACAGGATGAGAAAATAAATTATATTAATTAATTTTTTAATAAATTACATTTTAGGTAGTTACAAAAATCTATTAATTAAAATTCTCTCTTTCTCTCACTTCCGTGATCTCCAGCCAGATTTCCTTTCCATATTTTTCTCAATCTTTCTGGAGAAAAAAAAAACGAAATCAGTACCAATCCATTAGACAAACACTACCACTTTGAAAAACATCACTACCATTGCAGAAATAAATCTATACCATTACACGAAAACTACCATTGTAGAAATAAATCTATACCATTACACGAAAACTACCAATATAAACAATCTATACCATAAACAATCAATACCATTGTAGAAATAAATCTATGCCATTACACGAAAACTACCAATATAAACAATCTATACCACTCAATTTACGAAAACTACCAATGCAAGGACTATAGAAAAAAATCACTACCAATATGAGGAAAAAAACACTACCATTGCGAAAAAACAATACCAATGCGACAAAAACAATACCAATGCGAAAAACTCTACCAGTACGAAAAAAATCACTACGAATATGAAAAAAATATATACCAATAAAAAAATAGCCATCTGTTCTCTAGTCCAATTCTCCCGATAAAAAAAAGCCATATTGATTGAGAGTTGTAGAAGAAGTAGAGAGAGAGAGAGAGATCGGGGTTTACCTGAGATCAATAGTTGTGGGAAGGGTCCCCTGCGGAAGAAGAAGAAGAAGAAGAATAGAAGGAGGGAGAGAGGGGAGAAGAATGGCCGGCGCAGATAGAAGAGGGGGGGGGGGGGGGGGGATGGCCGGCGCAGGCAATTGGGCGGAAGGCGGTGGAGGGTTGGGAGAAATCTCGATTAGGGAGTGGGCGTAGGGTTAGGGGAGAGGAAGGAAATGGTAAGTTATAAATATAGGTAATAATTTGGTGTGGTAATCTTTTGATTCCAAAATTACCCTTAATATAATCTTAACCGTCATTTTAAAAAAGGGAAAAATAGAGCTAATGAAAGGTTTAGATATAAGTTGCCACAGTGGTTACTAAAAAATTAGTATCCACTATAACCCATCCCTCCCCACTGATGCTCGTGCAACATGGTGCATAAGACGGAAGGCTTCTCGATGCACCATAATTGTGGGCAATTATACAAGAGGTCTCACTCATGAGTGTAGTTGATGTGTATGACCGAGGCGGAGAGTAAAACAACTATCGAGGAGGTTCATTAAGGCGTACGTGGGGAGCGGATCAGGTCAGTAACTCTATGGTCAGTAACCATGAGTAACCTGTCCACATCAACATGACATCAGTAGCCTCTCTCTCCTGGAAAGTCTTTTATATTTTCCTCTTTAATCTTTAACGGACGATTTCTCTCTCGTTTTAAGTCGAAATTTGATTTTTTTTTGCACAGATAAATCAGATTAAATATGCTCTTCAAAATGATATCCACTTTGAAATATTTTTAGTACAAAAAAATTGAATAATTTTTTACCAGTCATTAGCATATGGTATGCTTCAATTTAATACCATATGGTAAGAAAGCGTACCGTGATGGTATGAACATACCAATATGATAAGAAGGTTGAATACATGATAGTAGGAGTATATTAACTGTCATTTACGACTTTCATCATTGTTTACTACAAGTTACCACAAGTTACCAATCACATACCATAGTGGTAAAGTATGGTAATTTTTTATCCAGTATTTTTTTCAACCATAAATTTATAGATCCAATAGATCATGATGAACTCGTTCCTTCCGAGCAAACGTTTTAAAAACGACTTAAAAACGAAGAAGTTATCATATGGTATGTAGTTGGTAAAAAAAAAGTTTCTCGAAATATATTGAAATTTGATCTCATTTTATAGAGCACAACGAACTCGTTCCATCTGTGCAAAAAAAAATTGAAATCCGAGTTAGAACGAAAAAGATAAGAGCCAATTAAGAAAACTAGGGAAAATAAAATGCCTTTAATTGACAACCCTTATATCTGAATTTTCTGGACCAAGTTAAATCTAAAGGTCCAGATTTAGTTATTCATAGATTAGTAACCATTGGTTACTGACCCTATCCTAAACCGCGTACGTGAGCGGATGCTCAACCCTTATATACTATTGGCCAACTACCAGAGCGGATGCTCAAAAGCAAGTTGACAGCTGTCTGACGCTGCTGTAGAAAAAGTAGCACATACTGCCGGCGAGGCTAGAGGTGTGGACTGGAGCGAGAGGTGTGGCAGAGAGATCTAGGATGGATAGAATCGGAGTCTTCTCTCCGATCTTGCGTTGAGTGACTGAAAGGGACGAACGAAACTGTCGTCTGCCGACTTGGAGTAGACTGCGGGGACGGAAGCCTGAGACGGTGGAAGAGTAGAATGGAAGCGATGGAGGCTGACGCGACGAGTTTGGAGCAGACGGTGGGGCCGCCGCCGCCGAGCCTGGTGAAGGAGGAGGATGAGCTAGTTCGCGCCTTCGTGGAGTTGGACTGCGGCTGCAAAGAGATTCCTACTTAGGTTAGGGTAATTCCAATTTGGGGAAAAGGACGATGGACGTTGGTGGGTGGTGACCAGGGCGGGCAGACGCCTGGCGGATGGGCTTTGTTGTGGGCTGGGCTCATTGCCCAGTCAGTCAATGAGCTGAGCTTTAGTCTCTAGGGCCTGTTTTATTTGTTATTCGACCTTTCGATTTTAACACGAATCGGACTGGTCCAAGTTTTTTGCTATTTCTAGGACCAAAGAAGGGATTGGATTGTTTAACATCCAGTCCCAATCTTAAACGGCCAAGGTTTTTACAATCCGATTTTGGGTTAAACTGGAAAATTCGGACCAAATAGCCAGTCGTGCTCACGATAAACACATGCTGATAGTGCCAATGCTAGGCAACTTTTCTTTAACGATGTTTTGTCCAAAGTCCGATAGTACGCGAATTCAAGAATATTCACGCTCCAAAAAATAAAAGCGAATTTTACCAAAAAATTGTGTTTTGTCGCTCCAAAGCAGGAGCAACGGCCGGTATCCGCGAATTGAGTGACCTAAAACTAAGACCATACATACTAACAACAACTCTACACGGCTAATGGAAATAATAAATATGCCAAATTCTTTATAAGCATTATAGTAAGTAATACTGGACATGCTGTTTCACAAAATTCACCCAATTATTTATTAAGCATTTTCATTAATATTGGACATAAAAGTTTGATATAATCTGCCTAATTTTTCATTCATGGGCTATCAAGTGTGAACAAATCCAGATAGATTAGTTTTTCCTTCACTGGTCATGGAAATGACTTATCTAAACTTGGTACTACATAATTTCGTATCTGGTCATTGAAAAGAATATCCAAATTTAAACCATTACCAAAACTTCTTTAGCAATGAATATCCGCTATTGAAATTATTACCTAAATTTATTTTTATTTTTGGTTAAGATAATTTTATTTTAGGCATATGAATTAGTCACATGCTTAGCCTATATTTAGCATTCCAAGTCCTACAAAATCCAAACTAATTAATGAAATTGTTGAGGAAATTACTCTTACCAAAAAGAAAAAATAAGGACTTTTTACCATGAGAGAGAGAGACTAGAGAGAGCAGTCATTGTGACGAGGCTGAACCAATGAAAACCTCCCACGTGGAATTTTCAACAAGACGTAACGCGAGTAGCTAGCGGCTTCCCGATCCACGCGCGCTGTTAAGGAAAGGAAACAAACTGCGGAATATCGAGTCACGTGCGTGACGCCCTGCCATGTTTGTCTCGTTCCCTTCCTAACTTTGCTTCTCTCCTTTTCTTCTTCTTCTTCTTCATCTGCTTGCTTTAAAAACCTCTCTCAGATTTTGCATTTCATCGCACCACACTATTCACTCCCAACCCCGCTCCCTCCCTGCGTGTGGAAAAAAAAAAAAAAATGGCGTCTAGGGTTTCAATTCTCTTCTTCGTCTCCGCTCTCGTTCTGATCGGCGCTGTTTCGGCGGCTGAGGAGGCCGAGTCCAAGGAGTTCGTGCTCACACTCGACCACACCAATTTCACTGACACTGTCGCCAAGCACGATTTCATCGTCGTCGAGTTCTACGCTCCATGGTACGATAAACGATTTCGGATTCGGCTCTTGGTTTACTGATTCAGGTTTTTGATTTGCTTCGCCGTTGCTGGGTGCAAATCTGGTTAAATTCTGATCTGGATTGTTTGGATCTCGCTCCTGTGACGTTTCAGATTTTGCGATTGAGCTTGTTTGTATAATTTGGGCTTGGTGCCTTTTGTATTTAATTTTCTTTTATGGATCTAGAAGTGTTCTTTGCTTCAAAGCTAGTCTGTTCTTGTTTGACTTGATCAGTCGATAGAATCGCATCAGTTTTAGTGGTGTAAGGCTCGCTTTTTTTTTTTTTTTTTTTTGTTATCCCTGAATGCGAGTTATTCTGATTGCATGCAGCGGCTGAATTGTTTATGCTATCACTTGGTAGTTTGATTGGCAAATGCGAATTCTAAACCACTCTCATGAGAGGTGAAGACATTAGAAGCATGTGTTGTTGCTTTGGCTGTTTACTTTGTGTAATTTTCCTGTTAATGGCGCGGCCGATTCGTGTCCTCGTATTGTGAATACGAATTTACTAGATGCGCTATTAGTTTGCCTGTTAATCGGATTTCAATTTCTTGTCTTGTCTAAGAATTTGAATTTAGCAAAGAAGACTTGTCATAATTTTGACCGTTTCTTGGCTTGTTACAGGTGTGGACACTGCAAGAATCTAGCTCCAGAGGTAATTAAAACCTTTTATTTCGTTCTTTGAGACGGTCCGGATTCGCTCTAGAGAATATGTGAGAATGTTATGAACATGGATGACTAATGGGATCTAATAAAACTCTTACTTGCAGTATGAGAAGGCTGCGGCGGCATTGAGCAGTCATGATCCCCCAATCGCCTTGGCAAAGGTAGATGCCAATGAGGAGGCAAATAAGGAGCTTGCCACACAGTATGAGGTTCGGGGGTTCCCAACTCTGAAAATTTTGAGGAATGGAGGGAAGGCAATTCAGGAATATAAGGGTCCTCGTGAAGCTGACGGTATTGTTGAGTATTTGAAGAAACAGAGTGGTCCTGCTTCATCTGAGATTAAATCGGCAGAGGATGCCAGTACTCTTATCGATGAAACTAAGATATTTATTGTAAGTTTCGAGCTTTATATTCTCTATCTTGTCTTGGTGAAGTTTTGTAAATAATATGGGAGGGTAAGTGATCTCTTGTTCTTGTCTTTTCAGGTTGGGGTGTTCCCGAAGTTTTCTGGTCAGGAGTTTGAAAACTACATGGCTTTGGCCGAGAAGTTGCGGTCAGAATATGAATTTGGTCACACTACCAGTGCCAAATTCCTTCCGCGTGGTGAATCGTCAGTGACTGGACCGTTGGTTAGGTTGTTCAAGCCATTTGATGAACTCTTTGTTGATCATAAGGTACGTGTCAATCTTTGTGTTGTATGCAATCTATTTATAGTTGTTGCTATTTCTAATTGGAAAAGCGGCACTAGTATGGTTGGAAGTTTATAGTTGGCCTGAAATATTATTTGCCAAATAACGAAGGGTACCCTTTGTTGAAATGGGTACCTTAATTCTTAATTTGACATAAAAAACAGTGTGGACAATGTAGATGTTTTGTTAAGGTGATTATTTGCATGGATTCATACTGTATGCTTCATTTTTGCTTGCAGGATTTTAGTTCGGAAGCTCTGGAGAAGTTTGTTGAGGAGTCGAGCATACCCATAGTGACTGTTTTCAATAGCGACCCAGCCAATCACCCCTTTGTTATCAAGTTCTTTAACAGTCCCGAAGCCAAGGTGTGGGTTGTAGAAATTACTGGCATTGCTTGCAAGATTTCCTTTATACAATGCACTGTAACATCGTTTCATTTACTGAAAACCTCTTTTCATTTTTGACAGGCTATGTTGTTTGTGAACTTCACCAATGAGGCTGCTGAATCTTTCAAGTCCACATACAAAGAAGTTGCTGAGCAATACAAGGGACAAGGTATTATCTTTTTGATCGGAGATGTTGAATCTAGTCAAGGCGCCTTCCAGGTTTGTTACATTCTTCACTTGTTCATTCTTGTTTGACTGGTAGTATTTTCCCTGTGCACTTGAAGAATGACCGTGTTACTGTTGGTTGGAACAGTTCTTTGGACTTAAAGAAGAACAAGTGCCCCTTCTCATTGTACAAACAAACGACGGACAGAAGTACCTGAAGCCAACTTTGGGTGCGGACGAGATTGCTCCTTGGCTCAAGGATTACAAGGTAACGTGGGAACATGAACGTTTCTATGTAATGCCATGGTGAAACTGTCAGGGAATGGTTACTTGTGCTTTAACTTGTAACCTCACGGCCCGTGTTCAAATTCATCTTCTGCAGGAAGGCAAAGTTTCACCGTATAGGAAATCTGAGCCGATTCCCGAAACTAATAACGAGCCTGTGAAAGTTGTAGTTGCCGATACCCTACAGGAGCTTGTTTTCAACTCCGGGAAAAATGGTAAGTCATAAATCCATGGAGGAACTCTGTAGCTTTGTCCCTTCCTGTTTCATGGGTTCTGAATATTCTGGAATGTCATGTTCTTTACAGTTCTACTGGAGTTCTACGCTCCATGGTGCGGACACTGCAAGAAGCTTGCTCCCATTCTGGACGAAGTTGCTCTGTCCTTTGAGAAAGATCCTAGTGTGCTCATTGCAAAACTTGTGAGTAATCTTTTCTCTCTTCTAGACCTGGTTGCCAAAGAAAATATTAACAGCAGGTACTCTAGATTTCTCAACGGTGTACTGAGACATTTGAATTGTTGTTTTAGGATGCAACTGCAAACGACCTCCCCAGTGATACATTCGATGTGCAAGGATACCCGACTGTGTTCTTCCGTTCGGCGAGCGGAAACTTGGTGCAGTACGAAGGGGATAGAACCAAGGAAGACATCATCGAGTTCATCGAAAAGAACAAGGATAAACCAGCAGTTGCCCAGCAACAACAGCAGGAACAAGTATCTAAGGAGGAACCGGCAAAAGATGAGCTCTAAACTAGCTTCTGCTCTAAGGAGTGTTCCGTGTTCATTTCTCCTCTGTATCAGTTTTGGGCAAGCAAAAACAAAATCTAGTTGGTAGTTTACCCTTCTAACTCTGCTGTCTGAATAATAAAATGTTAGCTAGCCTAGCCTCTATAGGTTTTGTAGAAACAGAAAGATGTTGCCTAACGTGAGTTCTCTGCTCTTTCCCTCACTTCCTAGTTGTGCTTGCCTTTTCGGTAAACCTACTATCAGCCATTACCGTAATGAAAAATGTGGGTCAATAGTTGAGGCATCAATCGGGTGGGTTCGAGTTGGGTTTGGTAGGAATGTAGGTTATGCATTTATCAGGTTGTGGGTCAATTGGATAGGTTCGAGTTGGGTTTAGTCGGATTGTTGGTTAGGGGCTATTAGGTTGTGAGTCAGTTAGGTTCTGGTTTATCGGGCTGTGGATTAGTCGGATTGCAAGTTTATTGAGTTGTGGATCAGTTTGGTTATGGTTTATTGGGTTGCAGATTAGTCGGGCTACGAGTTGATCGGGTTATAAGTCAGTCGGATCGAGTCAATAAAATTGTAGGTCGGTCGAATTACGAGCAAGTCAGGTTATGAGTTGTTCAGCAGATTAATCCATCAGATTACTTACATTAATTTTTAAAAAATATTGTGTCAATAATATTTAGTAAATTCTTTTTTTTTTTTCTCCGGGGTAATTGTTGTCGATCTTTTGTTGACCAAATTTGGATCAACCCCTCCCAAAAAACCTTACGCACATAGCAGATTACAAAGTTGCAACCGAAGTTTAATACACTCTACTACTACTGCCTTGCACATTTTGCAGCAGACAGATTACAATTTTTTGACATCCAAACTTCCTATCTACTTAATCCACAAAAACTAGAAGTTGTCCATAGCTGTGTAAACTCTGCATTCCCTGACTAGTAACTTCGAATTTCTCTCACAATTTGTTCAAAGATAGCAATACTCTACCAAATCTCTCCCTCCAAATTCCGGAGATAAACCAGCTCCATAAAACTCCAAATCAACAAGCCATCAACATTATTTTGTTCAGCAATGGAACTTACCAAGCTCAGCATACCACTCCACTCCTCAGGCGAAGTAAATCTGTTTATTAAAGAGCACAACACAGCCTTACAAAAAGAACACTTGCAGAACAGGTCCTCTCTGGTTTCAGGTTCAGTGTTGCAGAACAGCTGTTGGTAGAACATTTTATTGTTTCGCTTCAGCTACCCTTCCAAATATATAAGAAAATTGCTCTTTATTTAGCGTCTTCAATTCCTTTTAGCAACTTTAGCTTGTTCCTCACTTTGTTTGTAGTTGAACCTCTTATCCGTTATCCCCAAGTATGCTCTAGTATTTCTGTATTTTGAGTGGTTTAACCACATGTCAAAGCATCTGAAGGGTTTGGGATAACTTTTTTCACAAAGAACATGGTTAACTAGAGGTGGCAATTGGATCGGATTTGTGGATTGGATTGGTGGATTCATGGATCAAATGGATTGGATCCAATGGATTGGTGGAGTTATGGATTGATCAAATGGATTGGTGGATTGATCCATGAATCTAAATGACATCCAAGGCTTGGACCAAAATATAAATTTTGAAAAGTTTAGGTACAAATGTCATAATGAAAAATTTTAGGTATCAAAATGTAATTTTCCAATGAGATTTTTCGTATAAAAATATAAATTTTAGGTACCAAAATATAAAATATAAAAATATAGGTACCAAATCGTAATTTGCCATTTGGATCCATGGAATAATCCATGAATCCACCAATCCAATTGGATTTGGATCAAATGGATTGGATTTAAGTGGATTGGATTCGGTGGATAATTTTGTGGATGGATTGGATTGGATTCATGGATTTGGATCCTAATTGCCACCTCTATGGTTAACTAACATCTCACCGTGGTTAGAAAAGTTTGGTGCCAGATTTTCAAAACCGAAGTTACATTTGGACTGGGACCAAACCGTACCAAAGCGGACTAATGCAAAATAGATTCAATTCTTAATCATAAAATATATTTCATTAATGGACCGCGATTTTCAAGAAGATTGATCCGGACCGGGCCGACCTACCTTGTCCGATCGAACTGGGTCGACAACAATGTACTCTTGTTATTTTTATAATTCCAATGAACAAACAATTATTCAAGTAGGAAAATCCTTTTTGACTTTTCTAGGTGGCAGTTAGTGCGGAAGGTGAAACAGAAATGTCATTGTCATAGTTCATTACCAGACTTCTAGTCATTACTCTTTCCCCCAACAAGAAAACAAACGCAACAACGCCACGCCCCCTGCCAAAACCGGCTTCCGCCTTCTCCTACCTGGTTACAGCTACTCGCAAGCTTCAATTCTGCAGTCTCTTCCGCCACTGCAGCTCGCATTGAAAGTAGAATTCATCCCCCTATTCATTCCATTTGCAGAAGCATGGTGGATTCGAAGGTGGAGACCATCTCCAGACTAGCCCAGTGGAGGATCGAGAACTTCGGTCCTTGCTCTTACAAAAAGTCCGATCCTTTCAAGGTCGGCATATGGAATTGGTTAGTCTCTGGGACTTGTTGGTTTTGCTCGAAATTGGGTTTGTTTGTGTTCTCTTTTGTATGAAAAAAAATTTCTGCTTTGCGTCCACAATCTGTTTGTGAATTTTTCTCACAGGCACTTATCCGTGGAGAAGAACCGGTACCTGTACGTTCGTTTGTTTCCGGAGCCGTCGAGGGCATCCAAAGAGCAGCCTCCGATCGCGCGGTTCGTTCTCAGGGTGTCGTCCAATACCGGCAACAACAATCGGAGGCCTTATATTTCTCCAAGTAAGCTTTAGTTCAAAGCTAGCTTTTTTGTTAATTGATTCGTGCTTTCTATTTTGTTTTCTCTGTTTAAATAATTGGCACAAGGACAGACTAAGTTGCTTGGTTCATATGACTTCAGAAGAATCGGTTGCTTAGATTAATGGCTAATGATCTAGGAGGGTGGGGGTATGGCGGGGAAGGGGAGAGGAGATGAGATGGATGCCGGTTCTCTTGCACCTTTTTGCTTTCTGAGTTCTGTTTGGTTTGCTAGTAAAGATGCTAGAGATGTGAATATTCCTATTCTTCTATGGATTCTCATGTCATTTGCATTCCTGAAATGACTGTTATGCTTGTAATTTATTGATAAAGCAGCACAATTGGGTTAGTGCTATCCGGCATATGGAACTTTTTGACAGCTTATCTTGTAGGGTTTCTGATAATTTCTCCTTTATATCTTAAGAATCGCCTTTTCTGTGACTTGCTGTGGATTGTGTATTGCTCAACTCGGACAGTGGTTATTAATATTAAGTAGGCTCGAAGAGAACTGTGGTGCTTTATCTCTGATTCGGTTTCTGTTTATGGTTGTACTTTGCACCCGTATTCAGCTATTTTGGCTGTGGTAAAAGATTTGACTTTCTTGATCTACTATCAGAAGCTTTCTTATGTTTGGGGGGGATCTGTTCTTCCTTTCTTGTTTCTTTTGGTGGGAGAACTTTAATGTAAATCTTCATACCTGAGTCTCACTTTAGTTTTGAAGTTCATGGATGCTGGACTCTGCTGCTAACACACTTGCTTTTTTGCTTATGTTTACCATTACCCGGTAGATGATGTAAACTACTTTTAAACCCTACTAACAGTTAGAACCCAAGGCAGTTTAAAAAGCAGTCCTTTCTGGGTCAATTCATCGCTTATGTTGAACTCACCAGTCGATGCATGAACTGCAATATGGCATATAGATAACACCTGAGTTTCTTCCCTATTTGTCATCACTCATTAATTGCTCCGAGTGCAACAGCTTGTTTCCTGTTTTAAGAATATATGATTCAGCATAACAACACACACATATATCATGGTTCCTTTTTTTCATGCAGTTCATGAGAGATTGCTTCGGACATGTGATGATTTCGTGTGGCCTGTTGACAGCTCCTTTCAAGGTCGCTTCATCATTGATGTAGAGTTCCTTGATCTCAAGATCTGCCCTCTTAATGTAAGGACTTTCGAATAATGGTTAAAGTAGTTCCTCTTACTTCATAATTATTCAGGTCATGCTAGATGGTTTTACTCCTTTTGCATTTCTAGTTGACCAAGCAAAAGATGCCAATACCTGGAAGTTGTATTAATATTGGGGTCCACTTCTGAAGTTGCGAAAGTTTAGATACCAAAGTGCAAGGCCTAGATATTTAGGTGCTAAGGCACGATTTATTTTATTAAAAAGTGTACGGAAGTTTGGATTCTAAGTGGACTGGGGTTTTCTTTATAGTAGTCACCACTGATCTTTCATTGATGTCATATACTAGGACACTTCAATAATTGTTAGGAGTAGTAACTAGTATAATTCTGTCAGTTAGGTTAGTTTTAGAGCGAATGATTGTGCATGTATCTGAAAAACAGGGTGGTGAAAGCTGTTCAGTATGGCCTACCGACGGAGCAATGCAATCTACCTCAACTCAGAGCACACTCAGATGTCTCTCTCGGATGCTGGATGAAGGAATCCATGCCGACGTCACCATCAACACCGCCGAAGGTGGCACCTTGAAAGCTCACAAGGCAATCCTCTCTGCGAGTTCGCCCGTTTTTCAGAGCATGTTCCATCATGATCTCAAGGAAAAGGAGTCTTCCACCATCTATATCGGTGACATGTCGCTGGAATCATGCGTGGCTCTCCTGAGCTACCTGTACGGGACAATCAAGCCGGAGGATTTCTGGAGGCATCGGCTCTCGTTGTTGGGCGCTGCAAACAAGTACGACATCGCTGCTCTCAAAGACGCCTGTGAGGAAAGCCTGTTGGTGGACATCACTTCAGGGAATGTACTGGAGAGACTGCAAGAGGCGTGGCTGTACCAGCTGGATAAACTGAAGAAAGGCTGCTTGACGTACTTGTTTGATTTCGGCAAGATATACGACGTGAGAGAAGAGATCAACAATTTCTTCAGGCAGGCTGATAGGGAGCTGATGCTGGAGATGTTCCAGGAGGTGCTGACAGTATGGAAACCGGTGTAGTCGATTTCTGCTCTGCTTCCTCCTGAATATGAGAACCAAATTATGGTCCGAGGATTTGTACAGTGATTCTGCAACAACTGGTTGGATTGCGTGTCTGAATACTGGACGTTTCCTCGTTGTTATGTATACAATACAATGTGATCTTGGTTGTTACTTGCTAGCAGCCAGAATGTTGTAATGTAATTAGTTAGCATTGATAAACTAGTGATCTGTCTACAGTTTCGTGCATCAGTGAGTGCTTGTATTTTGATGACTTCCAAATTCCCATTGTATAATGTCTCCTAGCTCCTGCGTATGAAATAAAACAGGAAATCCAAGTTAGAATGAATAAGATATGGTTCGATCAAGAAAATTAGGGAAAATAAATTCTTTTAATTCTCCATCCTTAGATATGCAGCCACTTAAATGAACGATCCAAATTTGGTTACTCATAGTTATACAGGCTAAGGTTATACACCCTATTTTGAGCCTTGTCTCTCTGGTTTCTACTGGGGCTGGCTATTTGGTCCGGACTGTTTGGTTTTACCCGTGTTAGAATATGACTTGAATTTGATTTGAGTTTGTTTTGTGTTTTGGGCCTATTTTGTTTGGGTTTGAGATTGGGTTTTGTTTTGACATTTTCCTTGTAGTTTTGGGGAAAGGTGTTTGGTTTTCTGTTTGGGATTAGGAGAAGAGTTCTATAAATACTCTCCATCACCCTAGTCTGTAGTAAGGTCAGTCAGGTTAGTTTGTTTTGTTTGTCCATTCGGAATTTGGTTTGTAACCTTTACTCTTCTCAAATCAGTGAAATTTGTTCTCCCCCGCCCGTGGATTAGCTAGTGCACACATTGTGTTAGCGAACCACGTTAAATTTGTGTTCGTTCGTGTTGGTTTGGATTATCGATTGCACGTTTCTGTTCTGACAACCCGAAATCGGATCGTATAACCCTGACTTAGACCGGATAGCAATCAATTCAATCTCATATTCGGGCTTGGATTTGAGGTAAAAAAAACCCGGATAAAGACCGGATAAGAGACCCCAACACTCAAATCCCCACAAGCTAAATCTAAAATCAAGATCAAATTGGGACCGGACCGGGTCAAGACCAGACTGTATCTAATCCAATCTTTGGTCCTTATATTTCCGAAAAGACCGGACTAAGACCGAATCAATTTGGTCCAATTTAACCGGATCGTATAGCCACCCCGTTTCTACTAAAATGAATCTGCACCATGCTAAGCCCTTTATTTGGGCAAACTGCAGCCAGAAGCGCCCAGAAGGCCAAAAGCCTAGAACTCCAGAAGCCTCCAGCAGCTAATAGCGGGCATAGTTTAATATTGGACACTCCCTTCCCCACTCCAATCGAGCTTCCACCGCGAAATCCTCCCCCGCCGCATCCAAATTCCAAAAACCATCAATTACAAAGAATCATGTTCTTCTTCTTCGCCGGAGGCGTGAATCAGCAAGTCCGGCGGGTCCTGAAACAAGGCGCAGGCAGGTGCATCAGCTGCGCCTCCCCCGCCGTAGATCTCGTCGAATACGACAAGGTCCTCAAGCTCTTCTTCGTCCCCGTCTGGCGCTGGCCCGGCAAGCAGCCTCTTATGCACTGCAACGATTGCAATCTCTTCTTCCCCAGCTCATATTCTCCTCCGCGGACGCCGCCGCCGTCGCAACTGATCACGGACAGTCCGAGGTGCCGATTCTGTGACCGGGTCCTCGAGCCCGAGTTCAAGTTCTGTCCTTTCTGTGGCTCTTCTCTGTGATACGTTTTCCCTTTCCTCTCCGTGTTTGTAATAATTGACAGAATTTGCAGAAACTTATTTTCCGTTCTCGTGTGTATACGTTTCGATGAGTCTTCTCTGTTTTGGGAGCTTTCAGTTGAGCGACTTCTGAAGAGTTTTTAGAGTTCATGGGATTCTAGGAAGAACAAAATGTACCCTTTGCATTGGTAAATCGATGTTAGTATAATGATAAATACAACGAGATGTTCCTCTTCCATCTCTTGAAACCCCTAAAACCAAAAATGAAAAAAAAAAAAAAAAAAAAAGACTGTACACAAAAATCAGCCATCGTAGTGTACAGTTGGATGCTCACAGAACCCTGAAACAGTTTACATCTCCGAAGGCCTGTTCATCCATTCTCTGCTGTCGCAATGAATTCCAACTTGGGCCTAGCTTCATCAACACGTCAAAAACTGGACTGCATTCTTGCACATTGTCGATCATTACGCGAGCCTTGCCAATCGTTATTTGTGTTTCGTTGGACGAGGGAATCAGCTCCAGAAAAAAAGGTCATAAAGGGAAGCCAAGAATCCCAAGATGGTGAAACCATCTTCCCAGGGTTTTAAGATGGCTCTTCTTTATGTTGATTTGCTGAAGGGTAATCGCTTTTCACCTCTGTTGACAGCATCTCTCCATAGCCTGTACCTTACTCCTAGCTTATCATACGATACCGGGAAATTCCAGACATCAGCACCATTGTTCATTCTCTCCTGCTGCCCTAGCACCAGCCGCAAATCCTCGTTCAGAACCTGTTGCCAAACAATGTTCAGAAAGATTAGAGAGGGGTGGACTTGTACAATTTGGAACTAAAAAGGCATGTTTTATTTGTGGATTGTTTTCTCAGACCTGCTCAGCGAAATGTCTCCATAAATGTTGCATGAATGGAACGTGCTTTAGCAGAGGAGCGAAGTCGAGGGACATTCTGTAGAGTAGTCTCGTCTTTCCTCTAGTCGAAGGTAAGCAGACATGGAGCTGGTGAAGGTGAGTGGCACATTCCCTTGTGCTTTGGCCCTCCAGTTTTCCAGGTTTGGAGATCCCGATGGTGGACAGCACCATGCAAGGCGGTCGAAATTCCATGTCGATAGGGTAAGGGTCCCAGTATCCTTGTAGCCCAGATGCCGGTGTCAGGAACTTCACCAGGCTGAAAATTTTGGACAATCAACAAAAGAATAGAAGGTGAGGTTGAAGCAAAATCGATTCCAGTGCTTTCTTCACTTCAGATGCAAGCTAAAGTACAATCAACTCCCAATATACCAAATGAAAAATTATGTTCAGTAATCGTGTCAATGCAACTAACCTGGGGACACTCCAACCCTTGGCGAAAGTAGATGTGTGAGTAAAAGGTGCGTGCGCGAGATCCAAAAGGTTGTCAAGAAGTAGCCCATGTTCCACTGGAAGTTCCATGACAATCTGTCACGAGGCAGGACATCAGGAAACTGAGAATGATTCTCTACAATGTAGGTCTACCAACAAAATGAGACAAACTAATATGAAACATACCTCGGCATGAATTTGGAAACCTGGTGGAGGTTTCAAGGAAGGAAGATTAGGGGCTGGAGGGTCGGTACCAGGCCAAACCCAGATCATGCCTTCTTGCTCAAAACATGGCAGTGACTTCAACTTCACATTCACTAGTCTAGTAGACGGCATCTTCTCACACGTTCCATCAGTTGAGTACTCCCATCCTGAATGCATAATCATTTCATTGTTAGTTAATGTTGTTATTTAAGATGACAACATAAATAATTTTCCATGATTATCAGCAACTCACCATGGTAAGGACACTGAATTCTACCCTCGTTCACCGAACCTAGGTCAAGCGGACATGCTCGATGAGCACATGTGTTCTGAACACATCCTGGGTTGCCATCTTTCCCGCGGAAAACAACCCATGGTTGCTCAAAGCAATCAAATGGAATCTGAAAACAAAATTTAGATAAAAATGAGACACTGCATAATGACAAATAAAATAGCATTAGACGATTAAGAAGCAAACTTGATTACCATTGTGTCATCCTTCAAGTCGGTGGAGAAAGCAACTGGGTACCAGAAGTTCTTTAGATGAGGATGGTATGGCTGGACAGGACCTGAGACATTGAAACTTTTCCTGGGTGGTTTTCTTTTCACGATATTGGCGGGTGGAGTGGCAGCCGAAGTAGAAGGTGACGCTTGGTCAGTTTCTGCTGTCGTGCTTCTATCTTGTAACAGCTTGTCATTCACCAACTCTTCCATGTACGCTAGTTTATCTAAAGCAGTAGCTACCCTTGCTTCAGATATATGTACCTGGAGGATAAAGTATGTCAGCCATCACAAAGCCAATGGAAGGACACACAGTCTCTTTACCAAACAGAAAATTTACCAACCTGTCTGTGAGCTTGGGTTAAGTCTTCTTGCAACTCAGCTAGCTCCTTCTTCATGGTGCCGATAGATTTATATTCTCGTGCTAAGGGATTCAAAACTTCCACAACCTAATCAAAATGCAAGGAGGTCCATAATCAACATCTGTTCGCTTTAGGCAAGTACAAAGAACCCATTGCAATAAAGCATGTAAAAAGAAGGACAAATGAAACGTGTGAAATGGGACCTTCTCGTGCAGTAACATGATCGTAAGCAGATCCTGGCGAGCTCGCCAATCACAATACTGAATGTCGTATCTAGCTACTTCAAGTGCTTGGTTGGCATCCAAGAACTTCCCTTTACATTGTGGCATCTTAGACCTCGGATCCTCCACTTCGAATAGAGCCCCCCATTGACTCTTCTTTTCCACCAATCCCCCACCCTCATCCCCGAACACTGCAAACACTCCGATCCTTGCTTTGCAACTCTGCAAAGATAGATATCCACTCATTACAACTTGAACCAATAAACCATATGCAATTTCTGAAAGACTCTGTCAATAGCCCTAACAAAACTAGCGCTGGAATCTGAATATGCGGTTCCAGAAACTACATCACAATCCAACTAGAGAAACCCAGTATACAATAGAAATCCATTTTAAGTTTCCCACCTTGCCACTAAAATTTTTAGTTCATTCTACTAACCTTTGGATTAAAAAAACCATCTCATGACCCATATGGTCATTACAGCAGGAAATCTCTCCCAATTAAGCTGGAAATTCAGACCCAATACACATAATTGAGATCGTAGCACAAACCCACATAACTGAGTTCATACCAAAACTTTGAAGTAGCATGATCGGAGCTCACATCTCCTAATTTGACAAACCAAAAGCAGAGGAAACTTGAACCAGTCTAAGCAAAGCCAGCAGTGATAGACGTCAGTACCTTTCTAACTTGGAACTTCGATGATCCATACAAAGAAATGGGGACGGAGAGAGCTGCAAAAGTGGCAACAGCGGTCATGGCGTCCTGGGAGCCGTCAGATTAAAGAAAAGCAGAAGGGGGGAAGAAGAAAACCCAGATGACCGCAGGAAGAAGGAGAAGGGGGAAAAAAAAATCCAGAAGCGAAAGGAGAGAAAACTATGCAAAGAATCGTATTTTGGATGGTTATAGGATATGATAAGCGGTGTGAGTTTCCCGCGATCTGAGATGGCCTGCCAATGAATGCCACGTGGAAGGGCGTGGACTGACTCGACCGCCGCGTGGCAGGGAGCTCCTCCACAAGCTGGGACGGCTGTGAGACGAGGTGTGTGGTGTGGGGCCCTCTATATCTTGCCAGCTCGGACTCTGTAGATATCAAACTCTATCCCTTCCGCATTAAATCGTTTATCTTTGTCCATTTCCTTCCCTTATAGGCTATAGCTAAGGTGTTCACATGGTCACCGTGGTAATAACCAAACCAATTAAATCTAGATTTTATTAATCGTGGAATAAAATGTCTTAACCAAATTGTCCAAATTAACACGAAAATCAAATTAACAAAACCATAATTTAATTGGCTTGGTTAATCGAATAATCGGATTAACCAAATAACATAACAATATGTTATTACTATCATAAACTATCATTATATATAAGTAATAATAATAATAAGACTAACCATCCATGATTATCATCATCATTCGAGTTAATACATCATTCATCGTCTCTGCACCTAATATAGTTAGCTTACAACAAACCCTTAATACATACCAATACCACTCATCAGAGAGCTAAAACTCTCCTGCAAAACACTTGAGGTGGTTGTCATGGTATTGTACGTAATCCTAAAGTCTAGTAGCTGTCCAAAATATTTAGGTTTAGTAAATAGGCAGACCCATTTCATTTTTGACGCATAATGTTTTGGCTTGTTGTGCACATGGAAATAAAATAGGGAATCATGAAAGTTTGGTTTGGTTGATTGCATGGAAGTGTAAATAATTTTGTATATTAGGTGTATCATTAATTGGTTTCATTGGTTAGCAGTGTTGAAACCAAACCACCTAAACCAAATAATCAAAAATAAATTAAGCAAACCAAACCAATTATCCAAATTAACCAAACCAAATTAACCGATATCTACCGGTTAATATGGTTACCGCGGTAACAAATCTGTTTGAACACCCCTACTTCTAGCTTACTTTCTTTCTTAATTTTTCTATCTATTCAAATGATTACCATGGTAATTACCAAACCAAATAACCCTAAATTTTATTAACTATGAAATACAATATCATAATCAAACCGTCCAAACTAATATAACAACCAAATTAACCAAACTAAAGTTTAATCGGTTTGATTAATTAGTTAATCAGATTAACCATTATAACATCACATTATCATTAAGCATAGTTAGTAAATACTTCATTTAATACACGTATATGTACCCGTATGTACTTTATCCGTTTAAAACTTCTGTATCCATATTATTGTCAAGCCATTTTATTTTTTCCTGTTCATTTGATGGCTCCCGTACTAAACACGTATAAAACTCATATAACATGATTAATATCCGTATTTAATGAATTAACTTGTCAACTTTACAAATATTTAATTATTTAATTATTTTTAAAATAATTAACTTAATATATTTATGACTATTAACGTACTATTAAACGTAACATTAGTTTATAGATGAAGTAAAATACATGCAGCTAATACAATTATCTTACAGTCAATAAAAGTAGTCACCTAACAAAAATATATGTCAATGGTATGTGGTTAATGAATTTTTGTGTTTGTGTGAATTGACTTGTCTCTTAGCAATTATCATAGGGTGAAAAAGACATTTTGTTCAAGTTTCATCTAACATAATGTATAAAGTTTTTATCTAAATGAGGCATTCATATATCATATATCATGGTCATACACTCTACGAATACAAATATATAGTATATGAACAATATTGAGTTTTATTTTTTATGAGCCTAAAAGGGAGGAGCTTTTGGTTCTTGAGTGGTTATGCAAAGTATTAAGTATGTGTATATAATATATATTAGATATACGACTAATTACTTAATTGGTTAATTTGGTTTTATTGGTTAGGAGTGTCTGAAACCAAAACATCTAAACCAAACCAGCTAAAAAATTTAACCAAACCAAATAATTATCCAAATTAACCAAATCAAATTATTTAAATACTACCGGTTGAACCGATTACCACGGTAACCAATCAGTTTGTCCTTCCCTTCTAGCTTTCTTTCTTTCTTTCTTAATTTCTCTTGGTTTGAACATAGCTAGGGTGCGCATAGTTAGTGATGACATTTTGACAAGATGGGTATCTCAATACTCATATTCATTCTGCATTAAGTGTGGTTTGCAACTGGTAATACCCGTGTAGGTACTAGGTACGAGGGGGGTGGGTCGACTAACTATTATATGTTATTTGAAAAAATCTATTCAATTTTGTTTATATGATGAAGCGAAGAGAAAACACTTTATGAATGAAATATTGTGATAATAGAATGGGTGATTGAGTCAAACTAGTTGAAAGATGAAGTATAACTTGTTGAAGAAAATTCAAAATAGGAGAAATATGAATAGATATGATAAGAAATAGAGATAGAATGGGCCAAGAACAGGGCTGGGTGGAGCAAGGTGGGTTAGAAGTAGATACCCATGCCCCGCCCCCACGCTAATGCTAGTCATATAATTCATGCACATCACCGACCAAGTTGGGTAATACCCGATGGGGCTGGTTCAAATTGCCATCCCTACGCATAGTCTTACGTATTGTTTGCTTGTTGAATTTGAAAAATGAAGGTTTTGATTAAAATTTCAATTTAAAAAAATATTGGATTTATGGGATATTAGTATATTATCGATTTGAAAAAAATAATGTTAGCTATTTTGCTTAGGTCCGACACCTGAAACCCGATGGCGTACTATTGCATCCAAGCCCGCCGTTGTACCCGAACTCACATTTGAGCTCGACACCCAATCCCACTATTGCGCCCAGCACCAAGGAGTGTTTCGCCGCTATGAAGGGCCATTCCCTATTATGAAGAGTGTTGGCAAGGTAGAGGTGCCCTCGCATTTGGAGATCCACATGGTTATCATGTGAGCCAACTCAATGCTTTTAATGAAGACAAGGAGGATGAGCAGCGGGCAGAGTCACATCGGGCACCAACACTCGTCACCAAGACACAAGAGCATGAAGTCGAAGGGATCATGGCCCATCGTGTCATTCCTCGTCGTGGTGTGCATTGAGTCATGTGGAGTACTTGGTCAAGTGGTGGAACTTTCCGAAAAGCGAGGCTAGTTGGGAGAATGAGCTCACGCAATGAAAGGACAAGGATTTGATTGAGGCTTTCCATCACAAGGACGGGGCGTCGCGAGCATAGGTTGGGGAGAAAGTGACATGTGGCAGATGACATTGAGATAACATGGTGACAACATGGCGCTTTGCACATGTGGCGTGTAAGGAAGACTAGAAGCATAGAGATGCCTCTACGGTTCTCCACCTTTATGAGCTTAATGGTGCAATAATGAGCTACATTATGGGTGATATTATGAGAGTTTGGGGGGGGGGGGGGGGGGGGGGTGACTTGATAGGTGTAGTAAAGGGGAGGGACCATTATGAGGGGGCATTGATGCCTTGTATGAGAGACCCATATAAGGAGTCATCTATCTCACTTGTAACTCATTCCATAATTTTTTAGGTGGATCTGTCCTACACGATTCTCTTAAGTTGATCTCGTGCTTCCGCTTGATGTAATTTTGTAATTTTTATGGCAGTTCCTTGAGTCGTCAATAGGGCTGCCCATAGAGTGGCACGTAAATCTCTTTCTTTGTCTTTGTTAGAGTTGGCGTATTTTGATTATAATTCTGGTCTCTAGATGCAGGAAGGGAGGGGTTGTTCTTTTGATTGTTTTTTCTTGACATTTCTCTGTTAAAAAAAGTAATTCTCCTCTTTCTTAAGTCATAGTTGTTCATTAAACGTGGCACGGGGAATCTATCGGCGACGCATAATTGACATAATATTATATATCATGATAAACTCCTTTTATCAGTGCAAAAAGTTTCAAATTTTGAGTAAGCCGAATGATCGTTAAAAATTGTAGCTAGTGATAAAAACCATTTTTGCAAAATATGTAAAAAAATAATATAATTTTGTAGCACAATTTCCCCCCAAAAATTTGAGTTAACCAAAGAAATACAGGTGGATTTAAAAAGTAAGTGTTTCGTTGGCGAAACTCGCGCGTTCAATGCGCTCTGTTTTCAAGGAGACAAAAAAAAACACAAAGTCAACACAATCGCCAAATATCCGCCGCCGAATGTCGGCGCCGTTGATTTGATCGATTAAAACAGAAACCAAGACGACCGTCAAATATTCACTGCTGGCGTCGGCGATGTTGATTTGATTGATACACCTTTGACTTCTAATCAAACAACCGTTATTCGGTTCACCACTTCTCCAAACTACGTTCGAACGAGGGTGTTCGGCGAATAACCAGAAAATCGAACCAGGAGTGTTCTAAGTTACGTTACCTCTACTCCTATGGAGGTTCCTCTGAAGAGCTCCGCGACTACGACTACAACTACTACGACTCTCCAAAGGAGGTCTCTGACAGAGAAGTTCTACGAACTAGAGAGAAAAAAGATAAATTCTGCGACGGTGCAGTTTGTGATTTGATTTTGCCGTCTCGAGCTTCTCTCTCTTCCCAATCTTTATACTTCGCTCTTCTCCCCGCAACCGTAGCGACTGCCTTCGCGCCTTTGTCTCCCACGTCTTCATTCCTGTCAACCGTGCAGGTAACTTCCTCCTTGTTGCGTAACTCCCACGAGTGCGAAACCGCTTGGACACGCGAAAACTTGGCCAAAACGACACTAAGCCAAAATCTACAATTGCTGAACTCTCACCACTGCGACGTTGTTTTCTATTAAACAACATCGTTTCAGTACCGCGACGGTGTTGATATCTCCCACGATGTCGTTTTCGACTAAACGACACCGTCTAAAATGACCCTTAAAATATTAATTAAGTAAACCGGCCATCATTGTTACCTCGCCGTCAAACTCTCACCCCTCGGCGCCGTTCTTAGTTAAACAACATCGTTTTCTAGTCCCGCGATGTCGTTGAACTTTTGAGCTTCGCGACACTGTTTTAAATTTAACACTGTCGTTTACACTATTGCGGCATCGTTTTGGCCTACTCGCGGTGTTGTTTTATAATCCGCGGTGTCGTCTCTTTCCTATTGCGGCATCGTTTTCAACTAAATGACACCGTCCTAAACACTCATTAAAATATTAATTGATCAATCCGGCCATCACTAGTCAAATTCGCGTGTTGACCAACGACATCATTAGCGCCAAAACGGCTCCGTTTGCTTCTCCTTTCGCGACATTGTTTGTTATTTTAAACACTGTCGTTTGCTAGTACAACGACACCGTTGGGCATACTCGCGCTACTGTTTTGAATTAAACGACACCGCTGATATAGCCAAAAAATATTCATCCATGGAACCGCCGCCAGTCGGCGCTCGCATTGGGCTGGGCGAATTTTGGTCACTTATCCGATATGGTTTTTAATTAATCGGTACCGCTTATCAGGATCTCGCGGCATCGTTTTTAAATCCACGGTACCGTTTTAACTCTCTGCGGTGTCGCTTGTCTCCATGCGGTACCACTTCTCCCATTCCCGCAAGAAATAAAAATAATAATAATAACTCCTTTTCCAACACCAATACTCCGCGCGCGACCCCATCCTGCTTTCTGGTAAACAGTATCGCTTCCAGTGTCGTGGTACCGGTGAGCTTCCTTGCAGTATCGGTGAGCTTCCTTGCGGTACCGTTTTTCTGTTTCGCGGTACTGTTTTAACTCTCCGCGACGCCGTTTTTTACCCGCGGTATCGAATTAAATGCCGAGACTAATTAATGCGGCATTTAATTCAGGCCAAATTAATTTTAGGTGTCAACCGTAAGTAAATTTACCAAGTTTTTAATCTCATGTATCATATTTTGCTACACTCAAAATTAAGAGACCAATACGGTTATGGACAAAATTAAGGGCACCCTAGCATGGTTGTCAAACCACTGGTATGTCGGTGGGTATAATCGGGCTCAACCGGTTTTGGACAAAAACTTGTTGGAAGATCATCGGTAGTGGTGCTTGCTAGGGGCATCTGGATTTCCTTTGTGTTTTTTTGTTTTTCAACTATCCTTTGTGTGCTTTTGCTATAATCTGTCATGGTTCTATCTCTTTCGGTTCCATAGCTTTGCTTAAGCTCTGAGCGATCTGGTACAACCTTCTCAGCAATCGGGTAATCGAGATTAGTGATTCACTGAGATGAGTCGTCATCGAGCAACTCTCAGAAGGCGGCATATAGTGTTGTTGTGTTCAACTGTCATGGTCAATCTTGTATTGGACGAGCTGTATCTTTGCTTTTTGCCATTCTGATGAACGATGTTACAAGGAGTGGTTTGGATGCTATGTCTTCGACTCAAGAAAGAATGGGCTCTTGTGTGGTTCGATGATGCTTTATTCTCCTTTGTTTTGTGTCTCTCCTCATATATTGGTGTGACTCTTCTCGATATTGATTTTGTATTTTTGGCTTCATTTGCACAAGGTAATCCGCTCTTTGTAACTGATTTTATTTTATATGCAATATGAGCTACCCTTGGGGGGACATCTCTAAGATTGTCAACTGCGGGCGACTCGTCGATTAACCTGTTTTGATCCTGACTCGGTGAGAAAAACATGCCACACTCACCCACGGGTTGACCCGCTGCAAGGTTATCGGGTTGGAGGTCACATAACGTCGTTTTTTCCCTTTGCTTTGTGAAAATGCATCTTTTTTGATTTTCCACTTTGCCTACCCTATCTTTGGAATTCTAGTTGAACATTGGAATATTAATATTATATAAGTTTGCATGAATTTTTTATTATATGTTGGATCAAAGTACGATATGTTATTTTGATTTAATGTTGTATGATATTACTGAATGAAATTTGATATAATTTATAAATGTATGAAAAATATAATAATTTTTTTATGTATTCGAACTAATCGAGTTAAAGTGGTCGAATAATTAACTCTCAACCGTCTCAACCGAACCGGAACAACGCACTAAACTGGTTGATACTTAATACCCTTGCCGAGAATGGGATGAGATACGGTGACAACCCCATTAGGGGTTGTGAGATTGACAACCCATTTTATAACCATAAGATGTATTCTCTCTCTTGTCTCTTTCTTATTTTTTTCAAATCAATGATATAGATTGGATTAAGGGTATTTTTGGACGAAAAAATTGACCACACTAGATTATTACCCTATTAATACCTAAAACCCTACATTCTCTCTTTCCTCTCTCTCTCTCACGCCATCTTTTTTCTTCCTATTCTTCTTCTTCCTCCCATCTCTTCCCTCTCTTTCTCACAATTCTGCAAACCTTCATCAATCTACTCCTTCTACCACCACCATTACTATCACTACGATTCACCTTGTGAGCCCCCTTCCTGTACTCAGCCACCAGCTCTCCCAAAACCCTTTCGAATTCGCCATCAATACCTCGGAGCTCATCTCCAGCACCAACGTCCCGCCTCTCCTCCCTCTCAAACTCAACCTCACGTCAAACGAATCCCCTCCGCCGCCGCCCGGATCCAACCTGAACCGTCACCACGAGGTCACCGCCTCTCCCCTGCCTCCCCCTTTCGTCATCCCTGATTTTTTTTTCCAGATCTGTGATTTTTCATATTTCAGATCTGATTTTTTTGTGCTAGTCTCTAGTGGTACGCTACCAGTGGCAATGGTACCGCTACCAGTGGTACTGGTACTGGTACCGCTACTAGTGGTACTGGTACCGCTACCAGTGGTACTGGTAAATCTAATGGTATTACCAGTGGTACTGGTACTACTAATGGTACCGCTACAAGTGGTAATGATACCGTACCACTAGCACTGGTAGCGTACCACTGGTACATTTTTTAACGCACTAGTAGTGTACCACTAGCACTGGTATATTAATTACCAGTAGACCAATGGATTGGTACACTTTTTAACGCACTGGTACATTTTTTCAGGTTGCTGGAGGGAGTCTGGCGGAGAGAATTCGTCGGAGAAAAAGTCTATCTATCGAAGCGGAGTGGCCGCAGGAGAAAGGAAGAGAGAGAGATAGAGATATTAATGTATAGGATTTAAATTTAAAAAAAAAATTGTATTTAATATGAGTTTTTAATTCCCAATCTGATTAATACAAAAAAGGTAATTAATATATTCCTTTTTTTCATACCCAAAATACCCTTGGTTGTCAATCTGACACCCGTATCCGGTCCCTGCCGAGAATAAAGGGCAACAAAATTCCAGCCGACATCCGAGAGCCTAATGCTGAAGTGAAAAAACGGATACAAGAACAAAATCCACATTCAGCGGAGCCAAGCGCGTGGAAAATTCGTCGAGATTCCCATCCCATTTCTCATTCTCCAACTATCTTTTTGGCACAGAAGCGGAAAACCAAATCCGGAAAATAGGAATGGCAAGGCCGGCCCAGAACCAAAACGACAGCAAGATTGGAAACTTCTTCTTGGCCACTCTGCTGCTGTGGTCAGTTTCAATCGGGTTCGAGATTCTCTTCAACCACCGCACCGAGCTCCTCGTCGTCCTCGCCGGCGCCGCCTTCTTCCAAATCGCCAACTTCGCCATTCGATCTCTCGTCTCCCGCGACCCGCTCTTCGTCAACACCTCCGTCTCGCTCCTCCACTCTTCCATCACTTCCTCCGCAGGTTCAAAGTTGTCTCCTGAATTGTGGTTTTCCAGTTTTCCTTTGCGTTTCTCGAGGGTTTTTGAAGTTTTCGTTACATGGTTACTCGCCATTTTTGAAGTAGCGATAGCATCGCGCATTTTGATAGGGTAATAGTTCCGTCGACGTAGCTGAAGTAAATCTATTTTCCCCCGTTCTTGCGTTGCATTTTTCTGTTGCGATATTTGGGTTTAGGGTTTGAAACAAAGTTCTACAATTAGGCCTTCTGGGAGCTGTTTATGGACACTCTGTTGAACGGTAGATAGGGCTTTCGAGATGGAAACTCGAACCGGATTGATGGTGATGTCTAGCTCATGAATCGCATTGGCTTCTAGCTAGCTAATAGACAAATTAGGGAGAGCAGATTCAAAACGTAATAGGGTTACCGCCTACTGAGGTAACTTCTGCCTCACAAACACTCATCACATTGGAGTTTGTCTGTAGATTTCACCTGTGTATGTGTTACTAGATTAAGGTCGTTAGCAATGTCCATGCTGAAAGTTCATGTTCAATAGGAACCAGGTTCATTTGTCATTTTCAAAGGAAGAACTACCTTACAAGACAGAACAGGTCGTGGATTGTGAGGTCAGAATGTCTACTATGGTTTCATCTAAAAATAATGTGTTTTTACCAAAAAAATAATACTGATTATAATAATAATGTGTGCTATGGTCTCTCCGTCTGTTACTCTGTTTAAGTTTGTTTGACTTACTTTGTCCCATTTGGTAGCTCCAACAGGGTTGTGTTTGATCTGTATTCAGTGGAATTCTGGATTTTGTTTGATCTACTTCGTCTCTTTTGGTACCTCCAAAAACAGATGCGTTCGACTTTATGCCCAACGGAGTTTGAGATGCTTAAATTAGATATTTTAATGACAAGCATGGTTGCTTAGATGTGTTTGTCTGCAGTTCATTCCATTTGGCTTTTTTTTCTTTCTGTTGTTTACTCGCTCTTGTTAATTGGATTCTTGTTACTCTTGTTGGGCAGTGCTGTTGATATTGGCGAATCAAATTTTGCGTACGGGCACAAATGGGATATTCGAGCACTCAGAACTGGTTGGAAGTGCATGGCAGTGGGCGTACCCTGCGTTGTGTTTATCCAGTGGTTACTTTGCATATGATCAATTGGATATGCTGATTTACCGACTCTACAGTGGTGCCTTTCCTTCCATCCTGGTGCACCACCTGGTCCTTCTGATTTGCTTCACCCTTGCTTTGTATCGAAATGTTACAATCAACTATCTCATTCTCACCCTAATCTGTGAGGTACGCTTCTGTCCTTTTTTCATCTCATAGACTCTCTGTAAAGTTTCATTCTTTACCTATCTCTAGGGATTGTCTATTTCTGGGTGTCTTCCGTGGCAAGCAATCGGTGTTCTATCCTTCTGTAGGTCCCTCTCTGTAACCCTGGAATCTTCTTAAAAGACAATCAAATTCATATTAAAACCATAACGCTGCATATGGAAGCGCTCTTGGATTCCAGTTTTGCAGTCCTGAGATGATGACTCTTTGCACAATATTGTTTTCCACAGCTGCACTCCATCTTCCTTCACGTTAGGAAAGTGAGGCGGATGGCTGGCATTCGTGACGCTAAGAGCGTGATCGTGAAGGTGGAATGGATGCTCAACTGGCTGACATTCACCGTCGCGAGAGTGGTGCCTCACATTCTCATAACCATGAAGCTGATCAGAGATGCTCCCAAGTTTGGAAAGGGTGTGGAGTGGCCTCTTGCGCTGTTTGGGATGGCCGGAATGAACATACTGAATGCTGGCCTTGGCATCGATCTCATCCATGCTTTCAGGAGAGAACGAAATCCCCGCACAAGTAGTAGTTGCAACCACCAGGAATGATGATACAGATCTCCAGTGGCAAACTGCGCATACTTTGTGCTGCACACGCCCAAGTTCTTTAGATTCTTGTGTTTTTCCCTTTGTGGTTGTTATTATTCTTTTCTTCTTCTTTCTCGTATAATTTATATGTATCTATATAGGGTGAGATATCAGAATAACACTATAACTTGTTATTATGATGCTAATACAAATAGTGCTTTTAAATTTTGAACCTATTCCTGTCACTTCGAGGAGTAGGAGGATTGAACTGATAATTAGAAAGAGCTCAGTTAGACATGGTTTCTGCACTACTAGCAAAACTCCTTCCAGAATCATGGTTTCTTTCAACTTTCTTACTTCTGTGAACCCTAAGAATTCTTCGAATTCTGAGGTATTGGAAAGTTCTTGGATTGACTAGCTAGTGCAGCCAAATCTATGGCCTCAGTTGTCTTCCCTCCGACCGGGCTAGTACGATTCATTTTTCTTTCCAATTGGACCACTGATTTGTATACAGTGACAAGATTTGGAACAAGATCAATCATCAACATATGGGTTCTAACATGCTGGAAATTCTTGTTGAGACCCAAGTATTGTAAAGTTCATCAGAGTCCTCTGGGTTAATCGCAAGGTTGGTTACTGGGATTACAAAAAACGTTCATGTTTGGTCATTAGAAATATTTAATTCTATTCGTGGTCACTAGATTTAGTAAAATGGTCCAAGTTTGGTCACTCTCTATTAGTCTCTGTTTGTCTCCGTTAACACCGTAAGTTAATTGCCGACGTGGCTAACAAAAATGCTGATTCATCCCATTTCAACCTGCCACATCATAAAGTCTGACCCGACATGTCACTAAATCCGCCATGTCAGATTATTATTAATCATTTAAAATAGAAAATAAGAAAAGAAAAAGAAAAAACCCAACTTGGATTCACATCTCTCCATCTTCCTCTCTCAGCCACTCTCTAATGTAGAGAGTAAAAAGAAAAACCATCTTTGATGCAGAGCTTCTTCTCGATCTTCTCCTCTTCTTCCCCATCTGTCCATCTTCTCCTCTTTCTTCTCCATCCAAATGCGATACATATTTTGGCCTCCCCTTCACTTGATTGGCATACATCAATATCATCGTCGTCACCTGGTACTCTACTCCTCTTCCTTGAATCTGCAGCAACGATCTCACTCCCTCCTCCTTCATCGTCGGATTCATCTGACGATGGCGGAAGTCCAGATGAAAAACTCCCGTACGCGGAACCAGATCGAGGAGTTGACACTTGCTGCCTCTCACCTCCCTATTCTTCTCCTCTCTGCTGGAGGGATTCGAGGAGCTATGCCCTCCCCTCCCAACAGGGAAAACAGAGGGACAATGATTCAGGGACTCTGCTGCTATCAAATCTGAGCCTCTGCCGGAGAAAAATGAAAGAAACAATGGCTACGAAAGTTCATTTTGGTCCCTGCCCCAAAGCCCTTCCCTTCCCTATTGCTATTCTCCTCTATGCTTCTTCTCTTTTCTTTGAATCCTTCCCCTCCGTATCCTTTTGCAACAAGGTTCTCCTCCCTCTAGTTTTCCACTGCCTCTCATTCATTACAACATAACAGAAGCCTTCCCGTCTCTTTTCCCTAGCTTCCTTCTATATGAACATCAAATCTCCCTCTTTGTCTCTCTGGAGGCGATGGTCATGCTTCGCCGCCTCTTCACCATAACAATAATCATTTATTCTTCATAGCGTTGATTATAACGGCGACCGGGTGAGGTGCCATCTGGAGCTAGTTGTCGAAGGGAGCGAAAGAAAAATGAAGAACTAGAGAGAAGATTGTTTTCAGATCTGGAAAGGAAAATGGGATAGACCCTATTTTGTTTGAGTAGGTTGGTTCATGGGTCGGGTTGGTTCAAAGTTTGGGTTGGGCTTGAGTTAGACGACATGGCGAGTTTAATTGATGTGGCAGCTCAGGTTTCATCAATTTCATGTTAAATTAGGCTGACCAGGTGATTCCGTCTGCCACGTCAGCACATAACTGTCTTCACTAACGGAGACAGATGGAGACTAACGGAGAGTGACCAAATTTGGACTGTTTTACTAAATATAATGACTAAGAGTGGAATTAAATATTTCTAATGACCAAATATGAAAGTTTTTTTTTTTAATCCCACTGACCAACCTTGCAATTTACCCGAGTCCTCTAGTACCGAAATCGCATCATCCACAAAGCTAAATTTGTGTTTGATCTTTCATTTCCACCTCCATAGATTCTCTAAAATAAGTAATTGTAGTATGTAAGTTTGAATTCGAAGACTAGGAGAAAGGAATTCACTCTGGGCAAGGCATTATTGCCTGGGTCTTCAAATGGTGACCCAAAAACCTCCACCAAAGTCCTTCACGATCTTCCTTAGTGAATCATCACCTCCAGTTTCCATGGCAAGCTAGAGAAATGGAATTGAGAATCCATACAATATAAAGATAAAAAGAGGAAGGAAAGGAAGGTATCAAACCCGACAGGCTCTTGTACCAATATGAGTAGGCCAAGTTTTTATTAGGATAGTGTTACTGGCCACCTGGATTTGTTTTTAAATTATGGTGATGTGGCAAATTTGGATGTTGTTAGAAACTATGTTTCTAACAGGTTTGTGACTTGGATCGATATTTGGGATTTTAAAGATTATAGAAGAGAATTGAGAATTTAGCGATTAGAAGATAGAAAGAGGGATTCATATTGGAAATTTGGAGAATAATAAGAATAGAATAGAGAATCGGTCGAAGTATTGGATTGAGAAAGAAAAGAAATTAGGAGTTGAGAGAAATTAGGTCAACGAGAGATACTTTTAATACTTTCTTATTGATTCCTTATAACGCAAATCAAAGTACATATTTACAGGGAATACTAGGAAACCCTAGTAATAAACCATTAACCCTTATTCTGCTAAAGACTACTAACATTATTTTAAATATCTTAATAATAATAATAATAAATAATTATGGTAGGAAACCCGTTTCCCGTAAGGAAACATGTTTCTAACATATGTAAACTAATGAAACGACCGATCTATTAGTTAACGAAAAATGTAAGTGACCTTTCATGCTAATGACCCTGTCAAATATCGATACCATATTCCAAGCCTCTATTTTTACGGGATTTTGGTAAGTCCTATTTTGAAGAAGAAAAAGAAGAAAGACTGCAATCCTTGACGAACATGAGGTAGTAGCTTTTTTTCTTGAGAAATATCAAGAGAGAACATTAAAAAGAGAGAAAAAAAATTCAACCTATGAGTAGGGGTGTTCAAATGGTTACCATGGTTATTACCAAACCAAATAAGGCCTAATTTCATTAACCATGGAATATAATATCATAACCAAACCGTCCAAACTAATACAACAACCAAATTAACCAAATTAAAGTTTAATCAGTTTGGTTAATTGGTTAACCAGATTAACCAACATAAAATCACATTATCTTTAAGTGAGACAACTTCGGTTAATTTATCAATTCACAATTTATATAATGAAAACATAACAACAACACATAGTCATAGTTGACCCTTAACATGAATACATGCAACTAAGACAATTATCTTACGGTTAGTATAGAAGTATTCACCTATCAAAAATTTATCACAATGATATGGGTTAACGAATTTTTGTGTTTGTTTGAATTGACTTAGTCTTTTAGCAATTTTTATAGGCTGAAAAAATGACCTTGCTTTCAAGTTTTCATCCAACATAATGTATGAGATTTATCTAAATTAGGCGTTCATATGTTGTGGTCTACACTCTACATATACAAATATATATTATAGGAACAATATCTAGCTTTATATTTTATGAGTCTAAAAGGGATTAACGTTCAACTCTTGAGTGGTTATTCAAAGTATTAAGTATGTGTATATATTAGATATATGGCTAATTATTTATCTGGTTAATTTGGTTTGGCTGGTTAGGAGTGTCAAAAACCAAACCAAACCACCTAAACCAAACAAGCTAAAAACTCATACCTTCTACGCTCCGTTCCTGGGATTGGCTAATGCCTTTCTCTCGGCTAGCATAAGTGGTGTCGAACATATTCCCCTCCTCTCCTTTCAGTCGAGCAACTTCCTCCTAAAGAGTAACGGAGGTGTGCGAAGGTAGGCACAATTCTTACTAGTTCTCCAACTACTTTTCTGCAGTTCAAATACTCTGAAATTTAGTGAAAAACTGGCTGGCTCCCAGGTTTTCAGGATAATAGCACACCAATTCCTCTCCCTTCGCCCTTCGATCGAACTCTCCCCCGATTTCACACCCTTGTAACATCTTCTTGAGCTCATACCGTACTCAATCTCAAAACTAGTTAGAACAGTTTGATGTACTGTCCTTTTGTGAGTTAATCAAACCTAACCAATTATCCAAATTAACCAAACCAAATTATCCAAATAATACTGGTTAAAACAATTACCATGGTAACCACACCGTTTGAACACCCCTACCTATGAGCCCTCACCTCACAAGGCAACACAATATTGATGCCATGCATCCTAAAAATCAGGGGCGGAGCTAGCTTATGGCTCGAGGGGGCCCCGGCCCCCCCGAGAATTTTGAGAGTTACGCATAAATTCGATATGATCTTTGCTAATTACGTATTACTTAAGGATGTTTTGAATAAATAAATGACATTTGCAAAAATAGAAACGTAAAGTAGAGTTGGTCTAGCGGAAGTTGTGGTGCAATAATGCCGACCAAGCTCGGGTTTGAAACCCAGCGAGAGCAAGTTTATTTTCTTAGTTTTCAATTTTACTTATATACAAACTTAGTCGCATAGTCTGTGACTTTTATATTTGATTTTTTGAATCTGTGCTATATTAATTAAATTCTTTAGCTTTTCATTTCCAAATTTTAACTATTATTTTTGCTATATAATAAGTAAATTTTATAGTGAACATTTCTTTTACCGTTGTGAAAATTGTTAAAAACATATTGCATATGAAATGTATTATTGATTTTTGTTGGTAATTAACTCATTTGTAGTTAAATAATATGATAAATTTTTATTTTAGCATTAATTCCTACTTTGAATGAATCTAATTATCTCAAATAATAATTTGATTTTCTTATTATTTGTAATTATTTTTGTGCTTTTATGGATTCTTCGATGATACGAGGAAAAAAAATTCGCCCCCCCGATACTCAAATCCTGGCTCCGCCCCCTGCTAAAAATCAAAGGACGCCAACTCTAGAGCAGACAACCAATGCAGGCAAACGCTAGTTTTAGATCATAAAAGGCGAAGGTCTTACAACATCATCATCACAAATAATACCAGTAAGTAAATTAAACCCCAGTTAACATCGCAACACAACACGTTACGGCGAACCAAACTGAAAACAACAACCAAAGAATTACAATGGCGCCTTACTGCGAGACCCAAGGCGCAATGGACACGGGAAAACCGGCAAAATAAAGGCCGTCGTCCTTGATCTCCCACGTAAGCTCATGAAGCTTCGGCATCCCTTTCTTTCTCTGGCTTTCGTCGTACGCGTTGAAAGAAAGATGCTTCTTGCCGCGGGCGGTACTCACGTCACACCAGTAAAGCGTCGTCCCGAAAATGTTCCGCGAGAAGCTCCAACTATACACGTCGCCGGCGATCAGGCGACGGGAACCCAGATCGTCGTCTTTGGATTCGCACCGCACTGTGATCTTGCGGCCTCTACTCAACTGATTCGAAACGTTGACTTGAAGCCTGTATGACATGGAGGAGCTTGGCATTGCGATAGTTGCCAGAAGAATCACCGCCAGTATTTTGGTCAACATTATATTTTGTTTTTGGGTTGGGAAGGGGACTCTTTTTTTTTTTTTTGTGGTTGTTGTTTGAGTTTTTTTGCTGTAATGAATGTGTAATTTGATTGACAGCCATGGCATTTTATAGCTATTTCTTTGGTGCATGATTGAGCTTGCGCGGGGAAAAATGAAACTACGAATGATGGCATATCCATATGAGGGGAAGAATTGGAATATATGTGCAAGTGTAACAATACTATTTAATTTCATTTTCGGGATGCAAAATAATACGTTTGCTAAGAAGTACCTAAGTTTGAAAAAATTCCCCCAGCTAGCAAAAATAATAGATCATAATATTATTGTGTTGTTTTCTGTATATATATACCAATTGCACCAATGATGCTTTTTTGTATGATGCTTTTTTGTATACTCAATTTGTTTCCATTAATCAACATTTTCATTTAGTGAAGGTATCATGATGGGCGAATTTTGTCCACATTAATATTGTCAAATTGAGTTTGTGTGCGGTTTTCATTCATACTAGTCAAACTATTATGAATTTTAAATTAATACCATCTCCATAGCTGAAAATAAATGAGAATCTAATATGACGTAAAAATACAGGATTATTATGTAAATATTGATATATGGATGACTATTGCCATTACCACATTAGATGCTTACTTGGGAGTTACATGTAACCCCCATTCCTACATTTGATAGCTCCTTTATGTTTCATTATCTCTCATTGATATAAGGATGTAGTGATTACCAAGGTGTGCCTATAAATAAAGCACACCATTGTATCAAAAGAGAAGGATGAATAAGAAAGCTCACTTCCCCCTATCTTTCTTGTGTCTTTTCCTCTCTAATCTTCTCTTGTAGTAGTTTATATTACATTAGATTCATAACACGTTATCAGCACGAAGCTCTGTCAAAATTATCATTGCTCAAGCCACTCTCGACATAATCTAAGATATTGGAATAAGATCATAATATGATCAAGGTATGTAAATCTTAGATCCTTTCTTATCGTATTGTCTTATTTGTGTTGAGATTATCTCATTCCAATATATCAAGATGGGTGCTACTTCTCATATCCATTGATATTTTATCGCGTCGATCTATTTGGATTAACAAGGAAAGTAATATAAGTGATGAGTTAATTTCGCAGTTCTCCGTGTTATCCTATTCTTATCAATCATACATTGATATGTAGAAAATGCAAGTTCCAAGAGCCCATATATTCCCCAGAAGTGGAAATTGAAGAATCCAATGGCACAGAAAGAAGTGGACATGGTAACAAGAAGATTGGTTTTGTATGTTACCAATGTAATGGAAAATTGCATTTGTCTCGTACCCGTTGTACGCAAAAGACCTTATTCTACCAAAAATCAAAGGGAAAAACTAATTCATATACGCTCCTGCAATATCAATATTATGAAACATATTATTTGTATTATAAGTTAGTATATTCTCCATTAAAGATGAAAATGATATTGCACTTGAGACATTTTCATTCCCAGAAGTGAATGAAACAATCTATTCCCCGAAGTAAATGAAACTATAAATATAATTATATATATGGTACATGTATTGTTTGGATCTTTTCACCAGAAGTGAGAAAAGAGGAGAAAAAGGAGAATTATAAATAAGTATGATACAACAATTCTATTATCAAAGTCATGATAACATAATGTACCTACATTGAAATGTATAATGAAAGACATATATAAATTTAAAATCACCTAGTTAGTGATGATATTGTTCCAAATAAAGCTTATTTAAATTTTCACAAATGTAGTATTATGATTCTTGTTTTCTATTATGTTTCATTGTGCCATTATTTTCATGCATAATTTAACTTGATAACTTTTATCTAGAACGATTAACTTGATAAGTTCGTCATTTTTGTCTTAAGTTTGAATATTCTCATTTATTATTTTAGTGTGTTTTTGTAAAGTATGATTGTTAGAAAAATTCCATATAAACTATATGGTAGAGTACATAAACAAGAAAAAAAGTTTCCGAAGAGCTTATGTTTGGTTACTTGAAGTAACTAAATTATGTACTCGTGATAATAATTTGTGATGATATTCACTATGAATATGTGTTTACTAAGAATGCATCAAATCATAAGTCCCCAGAAGGGTGGAATATGGTATAAAATATGGTAAAGCTTTAAAGGAGCTAATTTTGTGGCCTGAAGGAACCAAACTAGTGATGATGCATTACCCAATTAAAGGGATATTCGTAAAATGAATATCTTATCAAGAAAATAGTGAAACTAATATTTGCATCACAAATATGTACTACATGTATATTAGTACAATCCATACACATAAAAGTGTAAACCAGAAGTTTACAAGATTTGATAACTTGATAATTGGTTGGTCCGGTTAGACCATCCCGGATCTTGATGTGAAAAAAGGTTCTTTGAGAATTCATGAGAACATCATATGAGAAGTCAAAGAACTCTTCAACTAAAAGAGTTATTATGCCATATTTGTTCTCAAGGAGAATATAACAATTGATCAGAGCTTGTATAAGAGTTGGCAAATCTCTTGAGATTTTATATGATCACTTTTATTTTATCTAATCGCAACCCGATGTTTGCGAGATTGATTGCCTCACTATGGATACATTTTTATGATTATCCAATCAAACATCACTTTGCTTAATAGAACAAGCTGAGCCTTCTAGTCTCTTGTCGAGGACATGCTAGCTGGCAAGTAATAGTATTGGTTCACATCTAACCAACAAGTTATCATAAGTTTCCCCCCTATTTACAAATGGTTTTGGTCAGAAACCTAACATTTCCCATATGAGAATATAAGGGTGTGCCGCATACATCCCAATTGCTCCACCATAGTATCTTAAGTTGATTCTCGTTGGAAATTGAGAATTTGTGTTGGGTATGAATCCCAAATGGAAAATTTGTTTGCGAAATTATTGTTTTGATGAATCACTTTTCCAACATTAAGGGGGAGAGAAAAAAAAAACAGCTAGGAAAAGAAATGAGTTGGAATGAGTTACCATTGTCTAGTTTTGATCCTCAAAGTAAGAAACATGAACCTGAAGTTCATAAGATGAATTATCGTTACCAACTATCAATTGCCTCTACTAGCCATACGAAGTGACCAAGTCGCATATACTAGCTGTGAATGCTCCAACTAAATTTGATATCCTTGTTGGATACTCTAATATAAAAAATGTGTATGAAAGAGCGCATGAAGCGTGATAGACCAATCGGTTCCAATGATAAACATCCTCGAGAAAGAAAAGGAGCTGTAATTAGAATGGTCAACTCGAGGACATGAAAACTCAAGAAGAGTAACCAAGGATTAAGTATAATTTTAGTTCCAGAAGAACACATGTCTCTGAAAGTTGTGAAAGGGAAGAGATCTCAAAAATATATTAGACTACAATACTGGAACCGAAATGAAGTCATTGTCGAAGAAATTTGTTTCTTGTACTTCAGTACTGAATATGATATATAAAGTGAGGATCAAGAGTAAAACTCTGTTGATGCATGCAAATGATGACGTTATTGGCCAATATAGAAAGAAATCACGAAAGTGCTCAAAGAGCATAAAGTTTAAGGACCAGAAGTCCTTACACCTGAAAAGGGCAAAAATAGAGGGATACAAACAAATTTTTGTGCTACTGGAAAGTATGAAATTGTGCGAGATATCGCACAATGTTTTGCAATGGGTTTCTCGAAAAGACCTATCATTGTTTAAGAGGAGTTATACTCCCCTGTGGTAGGTACAACTACTTTTTCAAATCAATGTTTGAAAATTGTTATGATAGCCTATTTGTTTGAATTCCTCGAAGATTTTAAATATATTTGAAACTCCCAGAAGGATTATTTACTCCTAGAAGGATTAATTTACCTGAAGTAAGCAAGTAAAGTTCTCGAGAACATATAATGATAGACTAAGAATATCCCCTGTATGGTTTGAGAAAATATAAACGAATGTGAAATATTCGTCTAAGTGAACACCTACAATAGTGGGGTGAATGGACCTTAGAAGGTTAAATCTGGATAGAGTGCATTAGAGCATTTGCATTGTGCATATATAGTTGTGTTGTTTGTATGTGCTTCAAGGATTTTAAAATCTTGGTTTATGAGTTGTGTTTTACTTTAAAGTATGAGTTGTGTTTTATGACTGTGCTTTGTCTAGTTCATATGTTTCTATGATGTGAGTTTTGTTATTATCTTTCGTTATATGAAAGAATTGCTTGCATCAATTTGTGTTAGTTAAGTTGTTTTTGTGACGATCTCATATTATGTTGATGATATGACTATTATTGGATCTCCTGAAGAGCTTCCTAAAGCAGTTGATTGCTTAGAGACATAAGTTAAATTGAAGGATTTAAGATCCTTTTTATGGGCAAGGAAGGTAATGTTGAAAAAGTGGGAAATTAATTTTGCATGAACGAATTGTGTTCATCAAATAACATTAGGATCCTAAGATCACTAGAAGTGACTAAAGATCCATTTAGAAATCAAGAAAAAAGTGAAAACATTATGTCCTGAAGTACCATATGTTGATGCATTAGAGCACCAATGCACCTTGCTAGCCAAGCACCATATAAACTATCAATTTGGTGTTGATAATATTAGCAAAATACAATGTTTCCCTCAATGGAACGTTGGAAATACTTTGTTACCTTCAGGAACAATATATGCGATTGTTCTATTATGATACTATCAAAGAGAGATTTGGTGAACTATATATCCAAACCATATATATTATTTGATCCTCATATTGGTTGATCAGAGACGAGCTATCTCTTACATATGGTGATGTGATTGTTTCATAGATATCCAAAACAAACTATAGTAGGCAAGTCCTGAATGTATTTCGTTACACTTTGTGATTCACCATATCTAAAGGACTTGTGGTTGTAAACTATTTCTAAAGGAAATGATCCTGAAGATCATGGTCCATGGATAAAGAAAATCTAAAGATCATGCATAAGATTGACAATCTGGAAGATTGTTCACTAACTAACTCCCGACAACAATCTTTCTAAATGTTGTTCGTGAAATTTGAGTTCAACGACTCAAAGATTTGAAGTGATGTGGTCATGAGGGGGAGCATATACGCACTGCACTCTTTTTCCCTAACCATGGTTTTTTCCCACTGGGTTTTCCTGGTAAGGTTTTTAACGAGACAGTATGAGATAGCGTAATGCAATCTAGTGGTCATCCAAGGGGGAGTATTATGTAAATATTGATATATGGATGACCATTGCCATTACCACATTAGATGCTCACTTGGGAGTTACATGTAACCCCCATTCCTACATATGATAGCTCCTTTATGTTTCATTATCTCTCATTGATATAAGGATGTAGTGGTTACCAAGGTGTGCCTATAAATAAAGCACACCATTGTATCAAAAGAGAAGGATGAATAAGAAAGCTCACTTCCCCCTATCTTACTTGTGTCTTTTCCTCTCTAATCTTCTCTTGTAGTTGTTTATATTACATTAGTTTCATAACAAGGATCATGATTTAAAGTTCAGGGGGGCTGAGTGATTTATTATTATATTTCAAAATGCAATTTTTTTTATTATAACGACATAACATTAATTAAAACAATCAAAAGGACTCAAAAGAAAATTAATTAAAAATTTTCTACTATGTTATGCTCCAAATAAATTATTATACTATGAAAATGCATTTTAACATTTTTTTATTTTTTCAATATTATTATACCTTGAATATGAATTTATGATTATATTAATGTTTATAAAATTAAATATTTGTATTCCATAAAAAATCCTTGAAAATATGAATGTAAAAATAAAATTGTTGACTGTCACGATCGAACACATATCCAATGAGCAAATTAGGCAGCTTCTCCGCTAGAGTGCAAGCAGGTTATGGTAACAACTTCTCACTCGCACTATACATAGAATTAAACACTCAATTTATACGTAATTATCCAAATTTCCTAAAACTTTATATGTAAGTTCCAAAACCTACAAAGGTACGCCCCTGATTAAATAGATAATTAGTGTTGTTTACATAAGATTGTATTAAATTCGATGTAAGCTAATGAAACCACCGATCTATTAGTTAACAAAAATTTGAGTTACCAATTTTTAAAAAATTTAATATAAGATACCAATTTGTTAGTCGTTCCAAATGCAAGTGACCTTTCATGTTAATGACCCTGTGTGTCCGTTCCTATTTCCACCAGCTATTTTAGTAATTCTTCAAGAGAGCAAATCTCATATTTCTTTTAGTCTTTTACGTTCTAGACTTTTAGAACTTTAGGTTTCATTGTTTATTTTTTAGACGAAAATCATTGGGTTAGAATTTTTAGGCTAAATTTAGAGAAGTAATTTGAATATACTCATAAAACCATTTTCATAGTTACACACAATCTTTAATTTTATAACATAACGGTGGGCCAAATCTTTAAAATCGAAAAAATCATAAGGGATATACTAGATCCGACTCATATGAGGGCTGGGCCGTGGTGCGGGGTGGCCACCCCTGGATCCACCACCGATGACTAATTTGATATAGTAGATTTGGAAACATATCATGACTAATTAAGTGTTTAACATTTAGTAACAATTACATTGTCTATAATAAACCTTGTTCTAGCCTAATATGGACTAACTAATTGGCTATAATATATTTGAGAACCTAAGTCATCATCTCATAATAACTAAATTAACCATTAGTTTCAACAATAATTTATTTTAGAAAAGTTCACTTAATTTGTCTACTTGTTTTCTATGCTTCTACATTTGTTGCAACTTTTGCACTATACAATAAATATTTTACAACTGAAATAAAGATTTGGCTCATTAAAGTAATTTCTGAAATAGAGGACGAAACCTATAAGGTCAATCACACCCATTGACAAGATCAATGGCTTAAAATCTTTTGTTGTGTGATTGCTTTACATTTCCTATCTTGAAATCTTTACCGAAATTAGAGCTGGTTTTAACAAGTGATCGTGTGTTCGAATCTCCAATACCACCAATATTAAGATTTGTTTTAAGCACGAGGTATGATGGACATGTGCAAACTTCAAACATGTGAGTTAGCAATCATTCAAAAAAAGCGTGTTAGAGAATGACATAAAATTTATAAATGGATCTTCTCCCAACAACTCGAGTCATTGAAACGGATTGGATTATCACATGGTACCAAAGAAACTATTATCCACGTAGTAGATACTCATACTAGTTTATGTTAATCATGAAACAGAATCGATGATATCATCCTAAGACTCCAAACTAAACCCTGCAGCTGTGACGGTGGTAGGGACAAGATTGCATTGTATGAAAGTGATGGAGAGCTTAGCAATTCAATTAATTTGTCCCAAAAGAAAAGAAAGTTGGCCAACTTTTAACCTTTGAAATTAGCTATTATTTGCGTTACAAATTACGTAAAGCAAGAAAGGGATTATCCGTGAAGACTTACCATAGTTAATAAGCCTTACAATACAATGCATAAAAAAATAATAATAATAAGCCTTACAAAGGAACGAAATCTAGGTCCGAAACAACAAACAATACAAATAATAAAGTAAATTAAACCAGAATCAAACATTGCAAGACAGTACACTAAACCAAACTGCAACAACGACCAAATTATAGGTGTCGTCTTACTGCGAGACCCAAGGGGCAATGGACATTGGAAAACCGGCAAAATAAAGGCCGTCGTCCTTGATCTCCCACGTAAGCTCATGAAGCTTCGGCATCCCTTTCTTTCTCTGGCTTTCGTCGTACGCGTTGAAAGAGAGATGCTTCTTGCCGCGGGCGGTACTCACGTCACACCAGAAGAGCGTCAAACCAAAAATGTTACGCGAAAAACTCTAACTATACATGTCGCCGGCGACCAGGCGACGAGAGCCCAGATCGTCGTCTTTGGATTCGCATCGCACCGTGATCTTGCGGCCTCTACTCAACTGATTCGAAACGTTGACTTGAAGCCTGTACGACATGGAGAGGCTCGGCATTGCGATCGTAGCCAGAAGAATCACCGCCAGTATTTTGGTCAACATTATATTTTGTTTTTGGGTTGGGAAGGGGACTCTTTTTTTTTGTTTTGTGGTTGCTGTTTGAGTTTTTTTCTGAAATATGAATGTGTAATTTGATTGACAACCATGGCATTTTATAGCTATTTCTTTGGTGCAGGATTGAGCTTGCGCGGGGAGAAATGAAACTACGAATGATGGCATATCCATATGAGGGGAAGAATTGGAATATATGTGCAAGTGTAATAATACTATTTAATTTCATTTTCGGGATGCAAAATAATAAGTTTGCTAAGAAGTACCTAAGTTTGAAAAAATTCCCCCAGCTAGCAAAAACAATATATCATAATATTATTTTGTTGTTTTCTGTATATATACCAATTGCGCCAATGATGCTTTTTTGTACACTCAATTTGTTTCCACTAATCAACATTTTCATGTAGTGAAGGTATCATGATGGGCGAATTTTGTCCACATTAATATTGTCAAATTGAGTTTGTGTGCGGTTTTCATTCATACTAGTCAAACTGTTATGAGTTTTAAATCAATACCATTTTCATAGCTAAAAATAAATGGGAATCTAATAAGACCTAAAAATACAGGGGCAAAGTGAAAATTTCAAGTTCAGGGGGCCTGAGTGATTTATTACAGTATCAGAAAAATACAAAAGAAATTTATTATAACGACATAACATTAATTAAATTAATCAAAAGCACTAAAATTAAAATTAATTTAAAGTTTATACCATGCTATGCTCCAAATAAAAAAATTTATACTGTGGCAAATAATTATCATGAATTTTAACATGTATTCTTTTATTTTTTCAATATTATTATATCTTGTATATGAATTTATGATAATATTAATGTTTATAAAAATTAATGAATTTCATTCCATAAAAAATCCTTGAAACTATGAATGTAAAAGTAAAATCAATTTTGTTATGGTGCACTCACACCATTTTGTGACCACCCATGCTGATATGGTGAGATTGAAGGTGACATCTTACTAGGGATGGCAACAAAATCCGAACCCACGGGTACCCACTCGACCCTATAAAATATGCAAAGATCAAACACAAACGATTTAACGTGGTATCCTTGATCGATGAATCGACCAAGACTAATCCACGGGAGAGCTGCAAACTCTCCAGCTGATACTTTTATTTATGCTTAATGTGTTGGCCGAAGTCGATGGTTACACAAACATATATACCCTTTGTTACAATAGGTGACTAGGGTTTCTGGTTCCTCGTTGGAGGAAGAGGAGCTGCACGATGCATGGGCTGCATGCGAAGCGTCTACGGGCCGCTGATGATGGGCCTGAAGGGCTCGGTCCAATACTCCCCCGCAAGCTGGAGCGTGAAGGTTACGAACCTGCAGCTTGGACAGCAAGAAACGAAAGCGATCTGCACCAAGCCCTTTAGTGAAAATGTCAGCGAGCTGAAGATGAGAACTAACTTTGAGGGGCCGGATAACACCAGACTGGACTCGCTCGCGAACGAAGTAACAATCCATTTCCACGTGTTTAGTGCGCTCGTGGAAGACTGGGTTGGCGGAGATGTGAAGGGCCGCCTGATTATCACAATATAACGGAGTGGGCTGCGACTGTGGGACACCAAGCTCACTCAAAAGCCAGCGGAGCCAAAGAATCTCACTGACAGAACTAGCCATAGCCCGGTACTCGGCTTCAGCAGAAGAACGAGCAACAACGCGTTGCTTCTTGGTGCGCCAGGATACAGGTGCGCCACCTAAACTGATAAAGTAGCCAGTAGTGGACCGGCGAGTGCTCTCACAGCTGCCCCAGTCGGCATCACAATAGGCTATGAGAGAAAGATCATTCCTCGCAGGAAAGAAAAGATCCTGGGCCGGGGTTGTCTTGAGATAACGAAGGATGCGGACGACGGCATCCATGTGATCCTGGAGAGGGGCCGACACGAACTGACTAAGAACATTCACCCCATAAGTAAGATTCGGCCTAGTGACGGTCAGGTACAGCAGGCGACCGACGAGGCGACGATAGATAGTGGGATCAACGAGCTTATCCTCGGAAGTATTCGGCCGAGTGAGATGGTGGTTTTGTTCAACCGGAAAAGCACTTGGGCGACCACCAGTAACCCCAGCATCACTGAGTATGTCAAGAGCATATTTTCGTTGACATAAGACGACGCCATCAGGAGTCCTCGTGAACTCATGCCAAGAAAATAACGGAGCTCGCCGAGATCTTTGATGCCGAACTGAGCATCAAGAGATTTCTTGACCATGGTCATGAAAGTCATGTCGTTGCCTGTAAGTAGAACGTCGTCCACATAGATGAGGGCGACCACAAACGTGCTCCCCCGCTGGAAGAGAAACAAAGAGTGGTCCGCTGGTGAGGCGCGGAAACCAAGACGACCAAGTGCAGTAGCGAATTTGTGATACCAATTCCGCGAGGCCTGGCGAAGACCATATATTATGGAGTTTGCACACGCGGGTGTCACCGAGGCTGGCGAAACCCTGAGGGATGCGCATATAAACTTCTTCTTCGAGATCACCGTGCAAGAAAGCGTTATTGACGTCGAGCTGATGAAGGTTCCAACCGCGACTGACTGCAACAGCCAGGAGGCACCGAACAGTGACAAGCTTCGCTACCGGGGCAAAGGTGTCATGAAAATCGATTCCTTCGATCTGAGTGAATCCTTTGGCAACAAGGCGGGCCTTAAACTGCTCGATAGAGCCATCAACAAAAAACTTGATCTTGTATACCCATTTCGGGGAAATGGCGCGCTTTCCCGGAGGCAAATCAACCAAGGTCCACGTGCCATTGAGTTCCAAGGCGCGAATCTCCTTGATCATGGCATCACGCCACCGAGGATCCTGCATAGCCTGCAAGAAGGTTTGTGGTGTATCATGCGAAGTCACAGCAGCTAAGAAAGCTTGATAAGTGGAGGAGGCTCCTTCGTAAGATAGGAAATCGGACAAGGGGTACTTAGCTGTGGAGGCATGAGGTTATCCTGGTAAGGAAGGCACAGCATAGATGTCCAAGTGTCTCGGACGGGTGCGGACGCGGTCACCACGTCGCGGGGAAGGTGGTTATGGCGAGGAAGTGCCACGAGCGGAAGGGTTGTGGACCGGGGCATCAGCCAACGAGGGAGAGGGAGCGGACTCAGCTGGAACTGACTCAGCTGGAGCAGGCGACGAGGGCGAACGCCTAGCAGGGGAGAGGTGCTCCTGTGAAGCCGCCGAGAGTGGAGAAGGCTCAGGAGAGCTCGCAGGCACCTGGACGGGAGGAGCAGAGGCAAAATCAGTACGAAGCACATCATGAACATCATCATCCAAAGCAACGGGACCAGGTAAGGGCCGCGGAAGCCAGTGAAAGTCGCCGCGATGAGGTAGCTGGAAAGGGAACACATCTTCGTGAAAAACAACGTCCCGTGACGTGAAGACTTCGTGATTGGTGAGATCATAAACACGATACCCTTTCTGGCTAGAAGCATAGCCAAGAAGAACACAGGCACGACCCCGTTCACCGAACTTGTCGAGGTGAGCATGTGTATCTTTTGCATAAACCAAGCACCCGAAAACTCGAAGGTGCGTGTAAGGGGCTGATCGATGAAAAAGAACCTCAAAGGGCGTGCGACCAGTGGCCACTGTGGGTAGACGATTAAAGAGATAGGCTGTCGTGAGTATGCACTCTCCCCAAAAACGGAGGGGAAGGCCTGCCTGAAACAGAAGAGCACGCGCCGTTTCAAGCAGGTGTCGATGCTTGCGTTCGACAACGCCATTTTGCTGAGGCGTATCGGTGCAAGACGTCTGAAGCACAATCCCTTCAGTGGCATAGAACTCTTGCAGAACCAGTGTAT